CGGAACAAATTGCTCGCGGGAGCATCTGATAAAAATCATCATCCAAGTTTAATTGCACTGAGCTTAATACATGTTGCCATCGTGTTATAAAAAACATCATTTTTAGAAATGGGTATTTTTGCCTTTATAGTTGCTGCATTAAGCTTATCATTAGCCCGTAAAAAATGCGACGACAATTAGTTTTTTACACAAAACGTCAGTGTGGAATGAGGTACTTGTTTTTCTGCACCGTTCTCGTCGTGTGAAAAGCATTGAACTTTTTAAATGACGTCACATTGTTCTTTTGATAAATACCACTGCCGTGTAAAGCAATAATTGTTTCCAGCAATTAATTCAATTCTATGACTCATCCTGAGATTTCTTAATGCAAGGGTAGAAGTGATCTGAAGAATTTTTTAAAATGGGCGATCCACTACTGTTACAAAGCCTTTGTAAATTGAAGAACCTTGTCATTAAATAGAGACGAGAAGTTCAGATCATTATCAGGTCTAAGGACCACCATATCGGATAGGTCGCACTCCTTAATGGCCTGACTGAAATCGTCCATTAACATTCGTCTAGCTCTAACATATCAGTGAGAGACGGAAGGACCGCAAGGCCGACTTCACTATCCACCTGACCTGTCACTCCATCGACTGGTGTATGTAGCTGATCGCTGGCATCGCTAAGCAACATTACAGACGATTCTCGTCTTACAGCCTCCTTTTGGCGTCGCTTACTTCGCTGCAAAGAGACTGAACTCCTTGAGGAGGACGGAACAATTGGTCCCACAAGATAATGATATTCTTCAATCTTAGCGTGCTCTTTACAAAAACGCAAAAACTATTCTTAAAAGGTGATTAGGTTCTCAACCTTAGCGTGCTCAATACAAGAGCTGATGTCATTACCGACATCCGGGTGCAAAGCTAACTAACTTGAGCTCAATACCCGGTGACTTGTACGCCACTGCACATATGCCAGGGGATTCTGAATCATGATGTCTAGGTGTATGGCCAACAACGCCATAAGCGGCATCCATATAAGGTGCCATGGCGGCCACCCTCACTTTGTGGATGTTCACGTGCAACGGCACATGCATCAGAGGAGCCTCGCTTGAGGTGCCGGGGCTTTTCGCCAACAATACAATTTTCGACATTTACGATGATTCTATTGCACCCGTCCTCACTCTGTAGCTGTTCGCCACTGCACATATATCGAAGAAACTACACCCTAAATGACTCGACCTGGGGTCATTAATTTCAATAGAATCCAATGGTTCATCAAATCGAGAATTCCACTTAACGAAGAAAGTGCCGCTTCACTATTGCCATTGACATTAGAGTCAACTTTACTCAGACATTCCAATGCCCAGCACACTAACCGAATCAGTCAGTGACTTGCGCCAATAGCGCTTTTGTTGCCTAGCAAAGGTGGGTTGTTGACTCTCCAAAATTTCACTAGAAGCATTGCGCGTTGCGCTTAAGGTCTTTGACATCCAATCTATACAAGGATCATGGCGTTCCATACAAACCGTGCCTAGAATTAGATCAGGTCCCGAGTATAAATCCAGCACGAGACATCATTTGATGCGGTTTATGAAGTTTAGAAATTTTACAAGTTAGTTCAACAAAAGTTTAGGTACGGTGAAACGGGCCCCAGTTGATGGACGAAGCATGATAATATCGCCTTAGTGAATTATTTAGCGCTTCAGCATACTGCAAAATGCCGTTAGGGAGAGTATTCGTACATAGTTGCCCTATGCCTTATAGCCACTAAAAATTGACCACGGCTTCTCAAATCTCGTCATCGTTGCCGAGACAACCAAAAAGCCTTATTTAAACTCGTATTTTGTGGTAACGCCCACGAGATCGTTTGGAGCAAATCCCTGTTTAGCTCTACCTCCTAAAGACTCTAATACGTTTATTCCTCCTAAGTAGGGCGCTCGCGCCTACTGAGAGTCGACATATTCCCGCTTGGTATCAGATTTCTTGTTTGAGGCGGTGTTACAGCTCGTCAGATATTTCGCGGTTTACGCAATGGACAGTTGGAGCGGGGGGTGCCTTGTGCTTCCGCACGTGCAACGTCTACGAAATTCAAGTTGTTGTTCCGCAGCTTAAAGCTGTGTTTCGTCATTGTCCGCAAGACTGAGATCCATGGGCTCTGCCTTATCAAACGAATATTGGGCGTGCTAACGCTTACCATAGCAGCATCTTTGAAATTAAAATCGGCGTTCAACGCTATGTTCACAGCCTACTTCAAGCTTGTAAGATGACTACAAAAAACCTTGCTTCGGGCAACCCAGTACGAAGACCTTGCATAATAATGGTGACACGGAATTTTTTAGGGAATAGAGTCAAATGTGTAGCAGCAAGAAGAGTTCTTGACCCTTGGGTATATTTCGATAATTTCTTCTTCCCTTGTTGCAAGAATAAGAACCGTGAACGCACACTTTATAAGCCTCATTGGGCGGTGCGAACACGCAAGACATCTGTCTCTTGAGTGAATACCACATGATAAAACGCGGCGTTTACAGACGCATCACACGTCAGAAATTATTCTCAAACTCTACGGACAAATTTTAGAAATTGTTAGCTTAACTACAATGTGTACCATTTCCACCACACCATAAATTATATTAGAAGAATTACAGGCGGGTAACACCAGACTACGAAACCACCAAAAAAGAATTTGCTTCCTGTCGGTGCCATAGGATCTTCCTATCATTGAGGTGTGCATTGTAGTACGTATAGGGAAGCAGATCATCGCGTTTAGACCACATGAATTCGCCTTCTCACGCAAACTCCTTGTATAGCATAACAATAGCCAACTGATCTTCCTCTCGTTTGGGTAAGATATGCTGAAAAAACAAAACCTCTTGCAGCGATTGGACCTGCCTCAGATGCTGAAACGTCAGCCTTACACCCAATGAGATACACAGTACCGTCTGTATGTGGCGTCACGTCGTCAACAATGCAAACACCTCGCTCTGCCGCGAATGCATCTTGCTGGTAAACGTATACGAAATCAGTAACAATTTCTACCATAAGTTTCTGAATCACCCACTCGTTATAGCCAAAAACACGTCACCGAAGGTATCGTCTACAGCGAATACAACCCTCACATCTATTTTGGTCTCTCCTTTATGCTCGCTATCGCTTGTTTTTCATGTGGCGAGCACCGATGGGTAGCAATGGTCAGCTGTGCTTTTCATCCATCTTTTAAATTGGCGGTTAAAGCGGTGGATGGCTGTACCGAAATGATGTAAAAATGGTGTGACTTCCGGACTGCAAACTTGTTGTCGGCTACTGAAAACACATACAGATAGGGTAGCAAGCTCTGGAGCTCGCCCTTTGATATAAGTAATCCAGTTTGGAGAACTGAATCAAGTTGCAAAACACTATACAACAGCAGCAGTCACTGAAGAAGGAGTATGATGATGTGAATGTATAAATCAACCTGGAATATTCTCATGCAACGCGATCAGCCTTTGCTTATGAGCGTCCAGTGTAACGGGGCACCCTGAAGCTTGTACTGATGACAGTACAAGCTACTTGTTCCGATAACAGAATAAGGCGGTACATCGGAACTTCACGTACACTCGTACGTGCAGAGGAAGACGGTAAGAAGAAGCGAGTACTTGGTTAAAGTAAAAAGTAGAACTGTATTTATCATAGTCAATGTCTGTTAATAAATCAATATTTATCCTCATCTAACTATGTCTGAATATAAATGTGCATATCAACTATCTGCTCACCACTCATTGCGTGCGTCTGTCGTGGCGCGTCTTCGTTGGTTGATATATTGGCCTATATCAACCAATTAGGAACTACTCGTAAGTGCTGCAGAATATTTGTCCTTATGACAATATTCTGAGAGTGTAACTCTTATAGTTATATTCTATTAACAATTTCTTATAAATTGTTATGTAACGATGCACCCCGTTACATCACCCCCCCTTAACCATCGGTCACTTTAGTGACTGTTTGACTAAGTGGATACTCGTCCCAAATCATTTGGGACAGGGTTTGCACTTGTTGGTCCGAGTCCACTTTCCAACAATTCATCGCATGGTTAACAAGCCCATGCGATGCGCGAGCAAGGCCGCCGAGAGCGCGTCCGCACGTCTCTGTCCGGACGCCGAAGCAGAGACCGCAGCAACTGATGTCTCATCGGTTGCTGAAGCGACTCAGCCTGTGTCACTTGATGATGCAGGCGCTGGTCATGAAGACACTCATGTCTTCACAGAGTATGAGCTCGGTGTCTCATACTCTCCTGATACGGAAGACGGATCCGTATCGACGGCGATCGTATCCAAGCCGTCTGCCAAGCGTGACATGGATGATGCTATGCGTCGTAGCATCTTTGGTTCATCTGATGAATCAGATGAACCATCGCCGAAGCGAAGGCGCTCGAGGTCGCGAGACTCGGGCGCTAACAGTGGTGTCGGTTCTCCTATTGGCACCACTTCACAGCGAGGTGCCAGTACTTCTGTCGGCACGTCGCAAGAAGAGCGGGACCGCGACGTGTTGCGTCTCGCTCCCGAAAAGAAAGCATGGCTGCCTCCAAAATCCGTCATGGATCACTTGTCGGCGACGACGAGTGATCGTTATCGAACACGGTTGCTCGATTCGTCAAGGATCCATCACCTTGACCCCAGTGCAAAAAACTATCGCGCTGAGAATGAGTTCTTCATCGATGCTTTCTTTAAACATCGATGGTACAGTGGGAATCATAAACGTGATGGTCCCTCACTACTTTAGGCGTGGAACGCCTACATCCATAACCTTGAGGATGTAGGTCGTGACGTTTGATACGACAAACTCATCAAAGCTCGTAATAAGTTTGAATAGCGAACCCCGACAGGTGCACGCTACAAGCTGCATCTTCTGTCAAGGGAGAAAGGATTACCCTGCCTCTCTTGGGGAGACTCGTGCCCATGTTGTGTGAACAACTCTGCACGAGCACCTAAGGAGGCTTACCTCCTTACTAGCCCGTGGTGGCTCGTATGTATCTCTAGTGAGATGTACGAAGGGATTGACAATCTGAAATCCCTTTACTACCGTGCCGGGAAGACTTTCTCCGGCGGTCCTTCTGCAGCACAGGATGTGCCGCGTCGTACTGCTCAACCAGGCCCAGTACGTCAACCATCAGTTGGGAGCGGGGCTCCCAAGTATCCCAGGACGGGGGATAGCCGCGCCACCGGACGAGATAACTCGTCCGACGTCCGTTCACATCGCGGTAGCTCAACAGCTGCTCAAATATATAGCGCTGGCCACCGCGAGAGTCATCTAATGGAGGTGAAGGAGGAGGGAAAACGCTCTCCAAACTATCGTGGGGAAGCGTGTATCCCCAAGAGCCTCTTTGATCGCGTAACGCAAGCGTTACGCGGCGATCTCGAACATGAGCGGGACAGGCGTCTCCAACTGGCGGACACTGTCTTGAAGCATCAAGCTGAGTTTGCCTTTGCGTAGCTTGAGAACGAGAGAGCTCTGACATCTCTGCGTGACGAGCTAAGGGTAGCTCGTGGGGATATTGACTGGTCTCGGGCTGAGATAACTGCTCTTCAGACCCTTATCGATATCCAACATCGGGAGCACAAGGCCCTCTGTGAGATGCTTGAACGCAAGGTCGTTCTTCATCGGAAGAAGCAGCGTACTGATGGTACGGCTTAAGCCGACCAACGTAAAACGTGGGATGCGTTCGCATCTTACGTGGCAGTTCGATCGTGTATGCGTTGCCTAGGCGATGCAGCACACAAAATGGGCTGATGTACTTGGGTAGTAGTTTACTACTACCCAAGTTAGTCACTACATGCTTTGGTAGATTAACCGTAGACAGTAGGACTAAGTCACCCTTATTGAATAAAAGAGTGTTTGCCCTTCCATTCTTGTCAGCGTTTTGCTTTTGCTTATCCACCGCTTCGGCGAAGGATTCTTGCACAAAACGGACTTCCGTTTCACGAGCCAGTATGAACTCATCTGATGACTCGTTAGCTTCAGTGCGCTGTGAGTGCACTGCAGCAACATCAATCTTTTCTTCAGTGAGAGCTTCCACGCTCTCACTGGCATCATCTTCTTCGATATCGATGTTATCGATATCAGCATCAAACGCAATGACCTCATCATCGGAGCGTGATGAGCGTGAACCAAATCGGTTTTTGCTCGCGCGAGTCTCTCCCCCCCTTAAGCCAGAGTTACACTCGAGTAGAGTGGGTACACGCGGATGGCGCAAGCCATTCACGTAGAACGGTGTATGTGTCGTGGACGCATGCACCGAGTTGTTAATGGCAAACTCTACCATTGGCAAGAGCTAACTCCAACTCTTAAAGGAGTGTACGTATCCTCGAAGTATCTCTTCGAGGACACGATTGGCTCGTTCCGTCTGACCATCTGACTCTGGATGATCAGATGTCGACATCTTCAAGCGCGTTCCGAGTGATTTGAACACGGAGCACCAGAAATCAGCTGTGAAGCGTGGATCTCTTTCTGATACGAGTTCACGGGGCAACCCATGAAGTCGGAAGATGGTGTCGATAAAGACACAAGCACAGCCACTTGCTGTGATTGACTCGGGCACAGCCACAAGGTGGACCATTTTGCTGAATCTGTCAACAAATACAAGAATACCCGTATTGCCGCGTGCGTCTTTGGGTAACCCGAAGACGAAATCCATTGAGATGGCTTCCCAGCACTCTGCCGGAACTGGTAGAGGCTGTAAAGGTGCACGCAGTGAAGGACTTGACTTCACTCGTTGACAGACTTCGCATGCGCGAACGTACTTGCACACAAACTGATACTGGCGGGGCCAGTAAAAGTCTCTACTTACCGTGAGATATGTTTTCTCCCGGCAACGATGTACTCCTATAGGAGCATCGTGATACTCGAACATGATCCGCAAACGCAGATCAGTATCATCTGGAATGACAACACGTGGTGTGTCACCAGAAACGGCTGTATAATACAGTAACCCGTTGCGAGTAGTGTATCGATCTGATGCAGATCGATACGCAGACGACAATCGTTTCAACGATTCTCGAGATGGCTGTGAGAGATGTGTCAACAACTTCACAATCTCACCATCTTGGGCATATGCCCGCCTCACATCATCATACAACGTTGTAGATGGGACTGAGGACGTCATAACCGCAACAGTGGCTGTCCCACTGTTGGGTTTCACGACTGGTTCAAAGTCGGGACGACGTGAGAGTGCACCAGCGACGATATTAAGTCGTACCGGTTTGTACTCGACCGTAAAGTTGCATTCCGCAAAGAGTGACAACCACCGCGCATTTCGTTGTGAAAGGTGCGGGCTGTTCACTGCCGTGCGTAATGACGCATGGTCAGTGTAAACAATGAAGGGTCTATCTCCTAATAGATAGACTCTGAACTTCGCGAGTGCATACTTCATGGCAAGGAGTTCCTTGTCATGCACTGGATAGTTCCGCTCAGCTGGTTGCAGCTGACGCGACTGATAGAAGACGACGCGTTCAACGCCTTCAAGGTCGTACTGCATTAATGCACAGCCGATTGCGAAATCGATGGCATCACAGACCACATGAAATGGCCTGTCCTGATCGGCAATTGCTAGGACTGGGGATTGTATCAAGCTCTGCTTGATACCATCAAAGCAGCGCTGACATTCAGCGTTCCATAACCACCTCTCGTTCTTTTTCAACAAACGAGAGAGGTTTACAGTCATCTCGGCGGAATTGCGTGAATACTTGTGCAAATACGCCGCTAGCCCAAGGAATTTTCGAAGACCTTTGACATCAACCGGCAGGCCAGTCGGTGATCGCCTTGATCTTTTTGGGCCAGGACGTACACTGTTCTTACCAACGATGTACCCAAGAAGTGGTATTTCGCTTGCTGCAAATATACACTTCTTGAGGTTTGCATACATTGATGCTTTCGCATGATTGTAAGAGCCTGTCGGACGTGGAATCTGTGAACCTCAACGTCCGGCTTTCCATCCATAGCCCGACTATGGATGAATACGTCATCGAAATAACTCGGCGCGAATTCTCGTACTGGTCTCAACAGATGTGACACACATCTGTTGAATGTGGCAGGGGCATTACTAAGCCCTTGTGGCATTACTAGCCATTCCCAGAGCATGCCGCTAGGCGTGCTAACTGCGATATAGGTTATATCCCGTTCTCGCATAAGGATTTGATCGAAGCCATCCATCAAATACGTGGACGAAAAGATGGTACTCTTTGACATACCATTAATGATTACGTCCTTCCTGGGTATCGGCGTCTGAGCCGGTACCGTTGCAGCATTCAACTTGTTAAATGCATGCACTATCCGCCACCCTCCTGCTGCTTTTCGCACACAGAAGGTCGGAGAGCTATGTAAGAAAGTTGATTCCCTCACATGGTCCGCAGCTGAACGATCGGCAAAGAACTTGTCGATTGCAAGTACTCGTTCACGAGGCAGTGGCCACTGCTTCATGACACAGTACTTCGAGCCTGGTTTAAGCTCGACCTCATGTCGAATACCTTTATCCTTCGGTAATTCGCACGGAACAGTTTCAGGGAATACATCCTTGAATTCAACCAAATCTTCATAGAGAGGATTTGTCTTGAGCGATTCCCACGATTGGGAGTCATATCGCTCAACTCGTGTCTTTTCATCGAGGACGCTCTCGTCCATCGATGAACTACTGAGAACTCTCTCGTTCTAAGTGAACACTGTTGCTGACCTTATGTTGGCTACGCACTCGTCGTCAACGACGAGTACGCAGATCTGCTTGACTTTGCCACTACGCAGATCACGCAAGAACCTTTTATGTTCGAGCGTTGGCAACTGAGTGATCTCCGAAGTCAACTTCGGAGGCGCAATCCGATCAAGTGTATAAGCGCCTACACTTGATCCGTCATTGACTAGGACATTCAATGTCTCTGTCATGTCCTGGGGACTTATTCCCTCAGGCCTCGAAGGACTTATTTCTTCGGCTTCCCGGGGACTTATTCCCGCGGGTTTCGGGGAACTGATTTCCGCCGTATTTATAATATCGGGACTTATTCCCGTAACTTCCTCGAGCTGGGGTTGTACAACCACAGCGAGATCCTCTACGAAAGACTCTCCAGTCGATCTAGGATTATCGTTTCGCTTAACCTGAGCGATCGATTGTTTCTCTTCTAGATGTTCCCCGCTAGGGATACATCTTTGTCCCGGTCCACTCGACTTATTCAAGTAGTGGACATTCGGCGCAGCCTGTGTTTCCTCACAGCCGCCGGAACTTTGCTCTGAAGTGTAACCGTTTGTTACACTAAGGTTTTGTGCAGTCGTACAAACGACCGTACCACAAGTGAGGCCATCGCACTCACTCGTAGTACATCCACACGCTTGTGGACGCTCCAAAATGTTCATCAGATGGCCACCTGATGAACAAGCGGCAGGCATCGTTACTGTTCGATGTTGCCAGTTTACCCGTGGTTCGTACCTTCTGAGCCACGGTATTCCAAGGATGACATCAAATTTGTCATCCAAATCCAATACGATAAAGTCACCGTCATATTGGGTATCTTCTAGCGTATAGTGGATCTTCACTATACGCTTCATGACGGTTACGGATGCGCCTGTCGCAAGACGTACCGTCATCCTCGTAGGAGGTGTGTCACATTCACTAAATTTAAAGTGACCATCTTCTAGCGATTGGCGTCGCACAAAATTGTTGGACGCCCCACAATCGACTAGAGCTCGAAGGGACAACTCATTTGTCACTTCGAGTTTCAAGGTAATGAGTGAGACCTCATTACCTAGAGCAGCAACGCACAACGTTTGTGTGTTGGGAGCAACCTTCATCAAGAGGCCTACAAATTCTCTTGACGTTGCTAGACCAGTAGGGTGCTCCGCACCTACTGATCCTGTCCGTTTTTTGACGGTCCATCCCGTTGTTGCGTCTTTGCACCAACTGCGGACCCTCGTCCCTGCCCCTTTCTCATGGGTGGACGGTCACTACGCCCAGTGTTGCGAGACACTGGACGAGGGGGCACTACACTCGTAAGCGTAGTGTCCTGTCTTTTGACATCTGTTGCATTTCTGCAACTTCTTGTAGCCTGTAGAGCGAGCCTTCTCGCTCTCTACATAACAGAGTTCCATCGGCTCTGGACCTCCGTTGTCATATCGTCTTGGTTGACGATATGATGTCGAGCTGGCGCGAGCCTGTCTCAGACTGAAGTCTTCCTGCTCCGCAATGGATATGGCTTGTTCTAGTGAATCTAGTTCAAGCCGGAACAGGTGAGTCTTGACGGGACCATCCGCAAGACCCTGCGTGAACACCGAAACCAATGTGTGTTCATCCACCGGATTGGAACTTATACAACTCGTGAGATGTCGTATATGTTGGGCGTAAGCGTGCACATCATGCTTACCCTGCTTAAAGTTCAAGAGTTCAGTTCGAGCTCTGAACTCAGCTCTAGGCGGTTCAAACGTTTGTCGGAGCCGCGACTTGAAGACTCCTAACGACCCAAACGCATCTGGGTCGCGCAACTTGAGCCCCAGTGCCCAAGTCTTGGCACGTCCTGCCAGATTTGATTGGGCAAATGCAACTTGCATATCCCCGGCGTCGATGCGACGCGCCCTTATGGCGTCGTCTAATTCGACAAACCATCTCAAGAGGGAGTCTACTTCGACTCCTCTATACTAGGAGATGTCAATCTTCAAGGTTTCGGGTCGACGCGAGTGCATCGACCCACCAGCAGCAGCCTGCTACTGTCTCAACAGTTCAAACTGTTGAGCACCCTGTTCTCTCAACAACTCTGATTGTTGAGAACCTTGTTGGTGAAGCAAGGCTACTTTCTCGTGTTCAGCGTTAAGTTCATTTTGAATAAACTTGGCGATAGTAGCATGTTGGGCATCTCTATCGAGAGCCTCCAGCATGACGCTAACAGCATGGATGCCCATGGTTGAACCCATCCGTTCAACCACATCCCATTCGACATTGCTCAAATGGGAGTAGCCGTCACGCGTAGCGTGAAAGCTTTGGTCATCTTCATCATCCAACATATTCATGTTAGATGTGAACGTGGTCCTTGGACGGGCTACGAAGTGCTACCAGGTGTGACGGGGCACCCTGAAGCTTGTACTGATGACAGTACAAGCTACTTGTTCCGATAACAGAATAAGGCGGTACCTCGGAACTTCACGTACACTCGTACGTGCAGAGGAAGACGGTAAGAAGAAGCGAGTACTTAGTTTAAGTAAAAAGTAGAACTGTATTTATCATAGTTAATGTCTGTTAATAAATCAATATTTATCCTCATCTAACTATGTCTGAATACAAATGTGCATATCAACTATCTGCTCACCACTCATTGCGTGCGTCCGTCGTGGCGTGTCTTTGTTGGTTGATATATTGGCCTATATCAACCAATTAGGAACTACTCGTAAGTGCTGCAGAATATTTGTCCTTATGACAACATTCTGAGAATATAGCTCTTATAGTTATATTCTATTAACAATTTCTTATAAATTGTTATGTAACGATGCACCCCGTTACATCCAGCATTCGCTTGCACAATTTTCACCTTTGATCGATTTTAAGCTAATCTAGTGCGTGCGTCACAATAGTGACAAAGCCAAAGTGTGATTCTGGATGATCCCATTATATACCAATGAGAAGGGGACAGGTTTAATAGCACTTGGCACGAGTCAAGTACACCCAATTGCGTTATTTACATACACACATATAATTACAAACAGACACACACAGGTAAGTACAATGTACAAGTTTGGCATTCAGCCTTGTGCACAGTCACTAATAGCTTCACCCTTCGGCCTCGCAACCATATAGGGACAGGTAGTACGTGTGATAACGTCAATGAATTAGCTGCTCCTTTCCGGCTATTTGCCACACTATACATAAAATGTTCCGGCTGTGAAAGTCACCTCAACTTCGTATACAAGAGCGTAAGGTGGTGCGGTGCGCCTGTGATCATCTAAATAAAAGTTATCGTGTGGTGAATTTTTTAGGTAAAAAGTGTGATAAAAATAACAATTCCCTATTTTTTTTCTCTCGTTCCTCTTGGTCTAGTGTTTAATTCCCGCAAAATTGCAAAACTGAACTTCTTCCAGTTTGTGTTATTTGATTCACCTAAACGATCGTTCTAAAACTCAGACCCAGCTCTGCACGACAATCGTCCCCAGCGCGTCGACGCACGAGATGTCCACTCACGTGGTAAGTTTCGACGCTTGATACGCGCTGGTGCACGGTACGTAATACATTCCAACGTGCTTCCTGTCTTTGCGTTATGACTCGTGCTCATTCAACAATATAAACGTGCAGATGGAATTATGAACGCGGTGCCAAACTCTACTTGGTGGGCAGCTTTGCTACTTCTGTGATGACCTAATTGTGTACGTACGTTACGACCTCATGTAATTATGGCAGTGCATTAACATCACACACTGGAGCTTTCGAAACAAACTCGGCGGGCGTATCGACGTCACTGGAGCTCTGCCGGAGCCGCTGGGTGTAGCAGGAAACAATGGAGCAGCAAATACTCGGTCAGCACATCCTCGTGCCCGCCGACATTGCACACGTCTAACGATGAGGTTTGTCCTACTACTCACTTGGCTGTCTATTGTTTGTTGGGTGCTTTAGCTGTTCACACGCGCAGGCGGACATATATCTGTACTGCTGTATACATATATCGGCTGACGACGCATATACAAGTGGGCGATCTGGTTACTTCGCTGGTGGTGGCTGCTGGATCTGTCCCGGCGGAGCTCGCGTGGACGACGTGTTCAACGTCGGCGACATTTGGTCCAGTGACGCTGGCATCGGGATTGGCGTCTTCGTACCGATGGATCTATTGGACGAGCTCAGGTCAGCAGTTAGCGCCGACAACACCGCAGAGCTGCTCGCAGACGACACGTCAGGCAGAGGCATTGGGCCGGATGCTCCGAGCGCGTTCGTGTTGTTGATGGCGTTCGTGTTGCTCAACAATCGAGCGATCATCGCCACCTTCTGCGACTCGGAACAGTCTGTGCGGTTCAGGATTAATTGAATCTTGTTCTTTACCTCGGGCATGCGGTCCAGGACATGCAACAACGTCGACGTGGTCACGGGCATTGGTGCATTACGCTGCGCTTCACGTGAGGCAGTCGCGATATCCACGGCCAGACCCGCATTGGCTTCATTCGCACCCACACCATGCACCACCCCACCCCACGCTGCTGTTGTCGCTGCTGTTATGGTTTGTGCTTGGGTACCTGCTGGAGCTGTGGTAACAGCTGCTCCTACGCTCGCCGCGCCCGTAGATGGCATTGTCGAAGTGGACATTACACCAACAGCATTTGCTTCGCTTGTGAGACTTGCAGCATGCAAGCGGCGTGGCATTGAAGTACTCACAGAGACTCCGAAACCCGAGCCAGCACCCAGCATCACGTCGCCACTCGCTGAAAGTGGCGACCCGTCACGCCCAGTGGAAGCCACGACCGCTGCCGCTTGTACAGCCACAACGGCCGCCTCTTTGCTGCGCTTAATTACTTCGTCTGGGCTAAGCACAGCTCCTGGAAGAAGCGAAACCATGTCCGTGTACGACTTGTGTGGCGGCGGCACCACCACACGATTCGACTTTGTGGCCGTGACTGGTGAGACGGAAGCTTTTCTAAACACTTTTGCGCTTGCTTTAGTTGGAGTAGATGGGGCTGAACTAGAAGTTGAGACGTGAGAAGATGGAAACGATGCAGCTGTGAGTGACGCCTTTGTACCCAAGTCCGTTGAGCTTGCAGCAGGTGGCGCCGCGGTCGGCCCGGGCGTCGCAGAACTAGCTTCAACAGGAATTGGAATCGGTGGTGGTGACGTCTTGCGCTTCACGCATTGGATAATCGCGTCAAATGAGGCTCTTATTGACCCTAAGTCCTCCAGGGCTCCAGCATTCGTATATATTGCCTTTGTGCCAGCATCAGCATCAGCCACCACTTGTCTTTGTCTATAGGCGAGCGTCAATCCTTTCCGGCTCGGTGCGCTCGCGATAGAAGGTGGCGGTATGCCAGGTAGAGAATAACGTTGTGGGAACTTCACAAGCAATTCGTTACGCGTCAATCCGATGCGCGTGTCCAGTACTGCGGCCGCAACACTTGTAGCACGCTGGACTTTGACAGAAACGCCGGGCTTGCTTTCGGTCGTTATAGCTACCATTGCACTAGCAGAAGCCCCGCTTGAAACTGCAGCGAGACCACAAGAAATTATCTTGCCGTAGCGGTCATAACACTGCCGAGGTGAGCGCTTTTTACAGACGAATCGAGAGACCGCAGTAGTCGAATTGAAGACCTGCGCGATGAGAGTCCAGTTGGCACCGTAGAGTTCGAACAGTTTCTTAAGGATGGTGTCATCTTGCCCGGTCCAGGCATCACGCCCAGAGTCGGGCAAAGACATGCTGCTTTTTCGAGCTCGGCCTGTTCCCATCTTCGCCTTTTTTGAGCTCTTTTGAAAGCCTGTTTTGAAGCCTGATTCCACATGCGCTCCTGTCCCGCTCCCCACAATACCGCTTGAGGTTGACGCTGTCGACGCACCTGCGCCACTGGACGCTGTACCAGACGAAGAGACTGTTGACGATACTGCTGGTTCAAGGGCGCCCACGCTAGCACCTAGAATACCGCTATAAAGAGCAGGATCGTCCCACTCAGCGGAATCAAGAGCATCCAAGTTCGTGTCCCCCCAGAAATCGTCATCAGCGAATTCAGATACGTCGGGAACAGGAATTCCTTCGAGGTCCACACGTCGCTCCTTTTGAAGCCCCGACTTTATCCCAGTCAACTGCGTTTCAAGCTTTCGTTTAACACCGGCAGAGTTACTTGGTAGATTCGTCAAGCTCGAACCAGGAACAGACCCATGCACACTAGCTCGGGATCCTGCCACAGCGGCGAGGCTGACCCGCTGTTTCTTGCTAAGCTTGGTAAGTCTAGATGCATCCCCAAGCTGGCCGACAATGTGATCAAACTTTGACTTTCCGACGTGAGGAACTGGTGGCAAAGGAGCCGGCACACGATACGATATCCGAAACGTCATCCGAGTGTCGATGCTCGAAGCAGCTGTTGAAAACAGGACCACTGGCTGTAATCTTGCGGTCCCCAAGCGAGGTACTCGTGGGGGCTCGTAGACATCAAAACACGTTTCCATGCCTTGCATGCGCATCTGCATGAACAGTTCTTCAAGCGCGCTTTTATCCACTGTACCATTGCGAGTTTTGACACTGTAAAAAAGTTGCGCTGCGGCATCACCTTCTTGCCACAGACGTTTAGCCTGTAAGACAGCAAGGTTATCAAATGAGCGCTGGTTCGATTGTAACAACGTGCCACTTTCATTCCAAGAATGACTACTTTCGTCTTCAATGCTTGCAACGACTCGCTCAGCTCTCCTCTCGTCACTTCTTTGCTGTTTTTTGTCGGTAATGCCGTGGACGTAGTCAACAGCGTACCATTCGACGGGAGTTAGCTCGTCCGTATTAGCCAGCAGAAGATGCTCCTCTGCATGCAAGTCCACGTTGTGTACAATGAGAGGTACTTCCAACTCATTAGGACCGCCGCAATACTTTTCATTTCTTTCCACCTCGTCAGCCACACTGGCAAGATCGACTGTTAGCCCACCGGCCGTCAGCCCATTCAAACTACTACTGGTCAAAGACCACCAGCTAGGTTTCTCAATCATCGACGCCATGTCCGACGGTACTGCAAGCAATTCTAATGGACTCATTTTGCCGAATACTTTTTCAGTAAGCGAAGCCCCCACGCGCAGTAATGATGCTTCGACAGTATTTTCACAGTGCAGTCGGTACACTGGAAGAGTGTCCGCACCACAAGCAGCCAATTTGGCCCAGCTTGCCCGAAGTTTTGCGTCACATGTTGCATTCCAGTCACCATCAACGACCACAATGGCTTCACTACCATATACTGACACTGCATGACCTCCGTAAGACGTGGACAACCGAGTAGAGGCGAGTGCTACGCGAACTACAGGGCGATCAGCAAAATGATAAAGCGCACGACGCTGCATGGAGATCGAGCCAGTAATGCGCACGTAGCTAATGTCTAGCAGAGAAAGAAACAGCTCTAATACAGGAAACATACCGTGAAACTGGCAATATATCACCACCTTCTTGCCTTCCTGAAGCGCTAGTCGACGTAGCAACGGTTCCAACGCCTCTAGTTTTGCTGAACAACTAGTCAGCAATCGCAAATCAGCATGCCCCAACTTTTCCATGTCGGTTGCAAGATCAACGCAATTACAAATCTGACGGAGACGCAATAGAAGTTGCAGCCAAACACTTAGCCGCTGTTCACGGCCACTGGCACTGTCCAGTGTTGCAGTGAATCCGGCAAGCTCGTTTCGGTATTGCATGCTCTGGGACTGGCTAAGTTGGCAACCCAAGCTGATCTCCTCAATCTTGCGTAACTCCGGCTCGACTTCGCTGCGAACACGCCGCAAGCTGAGGCAAGACATGGCCAACAGTAAAGCATTCAAATGTCGCGGAGTAACGTCCTTCTGGGAGGACGCCTTCCACAAAGCCCTATGGACACTTGACGATTTGCCGTACGCTTCCATCACCGCTGCCACAGATGACCTCTCCACCTGAAGACCCTGTTTAGGCCAGCATTCTGTTCGATGCTGATGACTTTTACGCACGTTGCTATCATCAAGAGCAGGGGCTTCCCACACCAAAAATTCTGCGTACTGCAGTCTTAATGCAGTGTTTTTCCAATTTTCAATCGATTGACCGTTGCACAAGACCCGCCGCTGCTGTTGTCGAAGCTGTTGCAGCGCAGACACGCACGCCGAGTCATCAAAATGACCACCATGCTCGTTTTCCACAACAACCATCTGCCAATATGGAAACGCCATAAAAGCTTGTCGGTCTTCATTGAATGCATTTACGGGGCACAGCACACAGTAAACAGGTTCAGCACGCTCATCGTCGTCCAATTCTTCACCATCGTCATCATTAAGTGAGGCTACAAGAAAATCGTCTTCACCTTTGTGAGCTTGAGCTCGAAGCTTAGTCTCCCATTCCCGTTGTAGCCGTTTCCTATAACGTAACGTTTTGCCAGCGCCATCATAAAACTGAATACGCCGGTCAGGGTGCCATACTCGAAGATAATGCCGCCACTTATGGAGCTCGTCGTCTGATACGACTATCAGATGCGGACCTTTTGTGTTCTCAGCCCGTGCACGCTCTGTGGTGGATGAACAAACCGAACTGCTTTCTTTCTGCTGCCTATGTTTATGAGAAGACGCAATCTCAATCAAGCTAAAGAAAGGCAACGATTGTGGCTGCCTTGCCCATACCGAGCTGGTCATTCAAAAACATGTTAAGACCGCTAGAATATAAGTCCAACATCCACCTCAATGCCAGAAGCTGGAAAGCGGCTAGAATAATGGTGGACCCTCCTTTCACCTGCGATGCAGTACACCGTGCCTGCAAATCTCGAAATGCCACCTCACGTAGAGACCGTGCTGTAGACCTATTTGTGTTCGCACATCCGGTTGACAAAGATGTCATGGCGCTGCGCGCTCGCTTTCCTGCACTCACGATATAATTCATGTGTGCTTTAGCAGTTGCTAGCACTGCTTCTGCTTGCACCGCCTCTTTTCCATCACTCCTTACATCGACCTCGCCGCGAGTTGCGATATCGATGGTATGGTACTTCAAGGGTAAAGTATCATCACCCACACCAACCACTTCAAGATCGTCGTGTTTGCGATGATCTTCCTGAACTGTGGCGTGCTCACCTGTGGCAGCATCATCCAAATCACCACGAGCTGAACGATCGCCTGCAGCTTCAAGACGCACTCGTGACCTTGCAGCAATCCGTTCCATCGTGCGCCAGAATGCCGATACCTGTAAAGCAACATCACGTGCCATCTGACGATTCTCTAGTTCTTGACGTACGCTGCCTAAATTTTGCGCAACCATCACGTCAGCCGCAAGCCGATATTGCAGCACTCGCTTCCAGTTACGTTCCTGCGTAAAATCTGTCGCCATCCATTTCATCTCCTCTAGTAAGCAGTCCCAGTGAGTCTTGCAACGCGCTGGTGTTACCAGGCGCGGCAATTGTCGTTTCCTCGTCACAGGCAGGCTGCGTTGATTCACTTCCCGGCGAAGACGCACAGACTCGCGCAGTCTGTGCTCAAACTTCATATTCACATCTGCGGAAACTAGAGAGCTTCGGGGCGTTGTCAGAGAACGTTCAACACGCAAAACTTCGTTCGTACTTGCTGGTGAAGCTAGCGGAACTGGCTGTTGCCGGTAGCGAGCAGCTTCGCGATCTGAAGATTCCTCTTCCCGCCTCTTTTGCATAACATACTTGCTCGGAGGGGTCGACGTCCGCGCAACACAGTGCAAGGTGTTTTGGGTCAGAACTTGCTGGTGATCAATTGCAGCCCTTTTTAATTTGTCCTCCGTGGCGCTCATTGCAAAAGATTCCTGCCTGTCAGACTTTCCATTATGCTGCTGGTGCTCTTCGTGACTTGTCTTTGTCTTTTTTGACAGGCGATCGGTCCATCTCGACTCGAGCTTCTACGTGCACCTGTGCTTCTGCCAGCCGCCGCTTTTTCAATACAATCTCTTCACATGGCTGTTCACCCATCACTTGCTCCGACTTTTCCGCAATCGCACGGCTTGCAAGAGGAGTGCAACCCGCTCGAACGATGCTCTGACCATTGTCGGCCTGCTTTTGCACCGACGCTCCAGCTCCACCATCAGCGAGCACTGACTCCTTCTTCTTTGGCTCGATCCTGCTCCTCCCGCCGTCCTCCTTTCTATGCTCAGACATTTGCGCTACGCTGGCTGCTGCTGCTCGCACCGCCTCTCGCTCGTCCACCAGCTGTCTACAAAGACGCATTCAACCACCCTTTGTAAGCACTGCCACCGTCCTTCTCTTGCCTCCAGCAGTCCACACACGACATACCGCACAAGCGATTCGTTATATTCGACAAGTTTGGCGCGAATCAACTGGAAAAGGACCACGCTGCGGGTGTCTCGGGTACGACTAGTTCCCGTCATCATGGGGTTCACTGCAGTACCAAAACGACCACACACAAAAATAACCGGTATCATACCGGTAAAACCTGTCAGTGACCATCACTCGCCAAATCCTCGTTGAACTGCCGCGTCGTACGTGCTGCGTGCGTCTCCCCCATTCGCGGCGCTAGTGCATCTACGCAGCAGACAGTACAGTACATAGACAGGACGTCAGCTCACGCACTCAAACATCAAAGGCAACTACATCAAAGGGCGTGGCCACGTGTATCCGAGTCGAGGCAAGAATCGCGTGCGGAATGAGGGAAAATGCGTCTTCTTACACGCAACAAAGTACTTGATCGATAGACAAGACGCTGCTCTTTCCAATGCAGCAATTCTCCCCTCGATCCGAGCACGGGAACAGGTCCAAATGACGTGTTCAAGTGACTTCAGCGACAGCTTGGGCCCCAGAGCAAGTCAGAGAGCGCGCGACACGCGGTTGGAAAGAGGAGATGAAGGAGATGAACAGATTGGGGAGGGAGGGACGCTTACCGGCTATGGTGGAGGACACTCTCGGGCGGCCTTTGCGCGAACACAAACGACTCGCGGACTTTCACGTTCTCTCCGAGCCCCGCAAAAGTTTCTCCCTTTTCATAATTATGCGGTTCGACAGGTTAACGGGCCGTCGGGTGGGAAAAATGGTTTTAGCGAATGACAAAAGAGGATGCTGCGTATTTTGGCGAATGAGACGTTCGAATCGATCGATGGCTTTTCATCGTGCACCGTGCAAGGCTGTAGCGTGGGTTGGATCCTGTGGCCGTGCAAACATCTCATGTGTTAGAAATGAGGAGGCTACGATACAGAAGGCATGATTATATTGTTTTGACTTTTTTTGCGTAAAAGAGGGTTTATATGGTATAAACGATGAAAGGAGTTTATCAGTGGAATGGCAGGGGGACCTCGAGTTAAGAATAAAGCGATGAAACGCGTGTTACTCAATCGAGAATGCGTTTTCGCATCGGTTTCAGGCCCGATCTCAGGACTCGAGTCTGATTTGGCCGGGTTGATCCAGAGCATTGCGTTTGACAGCGTAGCAGAATACATGAGAGCAGTTGTAAGACTGATTCAAAAACGGTTGTTTTCATGATCGGAGTATTCAGAATGAGTTCGCAGGATGCGAACAGGACGGACGGTGTTTGAGTACGCACTTCTCACTACGTTGGTTGCATCATACTGCAGCACAAAAGGGATGCTAGTGTGTGGCAGTGTGATACCTGCATACTGTTCCACCGGTTGTCCACTAAATCAAGCCAGCGTCAGGTCGAGATGACAATGACATTTATATCCCGCACCATTTGTACTGATGCACGTTACCAAGTCTAAAACGACGCCTTCAAACATGTAGCTGTACGGGTACCGCAACAATCCAATGCGGTACCTATTCGACTGCATCAGAATAAAACGCTGATGTCAAGTGTGAACACACTGCCTCAAGATCGACGTTTCAACGATATTCGCTTCTCGATCTTTTGCGATGACAAGATCATTTTATACCAGCGGATGACATGATCCCTATAGCTGGGCGTAATCTTGGCACGAGCAGCTGTAACAATCGAAGGCAAAAAAAAGCGATCAATGGCCAACGACAGCGAGTACATGGGCCCGGAATCTGTTGTACCAAAACAATCGCTGCAAAAACGTTACCAACACGGCAAATGCTAAAACAAAACGAATGAGCAGCCTTTAGGCGTTGTACCGCTGGCGAATTGACCTGCCACTTCAAAAACGTATCGAATCGACAACAAGGGACAACGTATCGGGACCACGTCAGACTAAATCAGAATACCAGCAGCAAAAAAGCGTCAAAAAAGCTTCAGTCTCGAGCACATTTCACAAATACCGCGACACCAATTTGTGCCTCTGCTTACAAACGCACACTGCTACAATCCCAAAATCACGGTCGCTACCGCAAAACCGGTCAGTATACCGCTCCACTCGGACCGAACCCACCCTCACTTTAGCACCACCCTCCATTAAGCTCTTTTCGTGCGTAACTCCACCGCGACGACCATGGACTTCCAGAACCGCGTGGGCTCCAAGCCCGGCGCCGGGGGGCGTCGCGTCTGACTCCCAGCAAAATGTCGACCGTCGCGAGCGGCTGCGGAAGCTCGCGCTTGAGACCGTGGACCTCACGAAAGATCCATACTTTATGAAGAATCATTTGGGCTCGTATGAATGTAAATTGTGTCTCACTTTGCACAATAATGAAGGTAATTACTTAGCACACACGCAAGGCAAACGTCATCAGACAAATTTAGCTCGACGAGCAGCAAAAGAAGCCGCTGAAGCAGCTCATTCCACTGCTGCTGCTAATCTCCAGGCTGCGAGAGCGGCAGCTGCAGCAGCTGCGGCTCGACCGCGAGCCCTTAAAATTGGTCTGCCCGGCTACAAAGTGACTAAACAGCGAGATCCTGATACAGGTGCACGGATTCTTTTGTTTCAAATTGCGTATCCAGAGATAGCTGAAAAGTTGCAGCCTCGTCATCGATTTATGTCAGCTTTTGAACAAAAAGTAGAAACACCGGATAAACGCTGGCAATATCTTCTCTTTGCTTGTGACCCGTACGAGACCGTGGCGTTCAAGATCCCCAATCACGACGTGGACAAGAGCGAGGGCAAGCTCTTTAGCAATTGGGACAAGGTCGGCAAGACGTTTACGCTGCAATTGACCTTTGTCGAGGGTGATGCGGCGACAAAGAACCAACCGGCACCACCTCCCCCTCGTCCGCAGCTACGGTATCTCTAGCTGGTTTTGCTTGAAGCTGAAGTCTTTGCTGGATCGCAACATTGACTAGTGTGTGGGGCGCACAAGAGCAAGCGCAGTTGCGAGTTACGAGTTCGTTGTACAAGAAGGAGTGACCCTCGTCTCCTGGCATGGATGTGTGCATTGATTCTCGGTCATCACTGCTACCACATTAGACACCACGCACCATCAAAATGGGAGCACGCTTTCGACTTTTGCCGACCAGTAGTATACTGTCCGATGTCTTCGCACTGGTATCCACAGTCAGCCTGATGCCGCTGTTGATTCCGTACATTTCATACACAACGTGCACTAAAAAGAGGGCCTCAATCGTGTTCCAGCCACTCTTGACCAAAAGCCATCGAGCCGCTTCACCCCCCCCCACATACCACCGACATGAACCGCCTTGCAATAAATGACCCCCACAACATTACCGCCGCCAATTCGGTATTCTCTCAGTATCGTCCCGATCCTCTCCCCTTCTCAAGTAAGTCGACACGAGCGTTTCTATCGACAAACACCATCGTTTCCAAAGGCTCTACGAATCTCCAGGTCGATTAGAAACCCATGCACCTCACTCACAGCAAACATCCCGGTGTCAATCCAAATCCACCAATCAGCTGTCGTCTTTGCATCCAGCTCAATTTCTAACGCGCGTGTCTTTCTACCCACCGCGACCTCGAAGTCGAGTCGCACTCATGGCCGACGACCTCCTGCAGATGTTCCAGAGCATCACGACGAGTGACCACGACGAGCTCGTTGACCAGTTTGCGCACTTACTGCAGCTGGACGTGCAGACTGCCACTTTCTTCCTCGAGTCGTGCAACTGGAACGTCGAGACGGCCGTGAATAACTACTTGGTTACAGTCGAAGCCGCTGGAGGTGGCCACAATGCGGCCACGAGAGACGCAAGTGAGGATTTAAGCATGGAAGACGAGGGCGAAGGAGCGCCGCGGCTATCAAGGAAAACAAACCAGCTCCATGTGGAGTCGATCTTGTATCAGGCGCAATGTACGAGCGACTTGTCCGCGCTACAGAACACGCTCTTGGCACCCGAGACGCCAGTGCAGATGGTAAGTCAGAGGACGTCGATCGTCGTGGATGGTGGTACTTTATTTCTATTTCTATTCGTATGCGGAGGCGATGGCTTTGTGCTAAAAAGCACTTTCTTGTGGATTGCTTTGTTGGTGTCGGGTTTGGTAGCAATGGAGTTTTGTCAATACTGGACAAGACGCATGGCCGACAGATACACGACTGTTATTTGCACAAGGCACGACCTTTCAAGGACCAGAAAAAATTCATGTTGCAGCACCAGTTGGTCAGCGGATAGACATCCACGCACCTCTTTGTATGCCGTCGGAACCAGGATCTTATGCTGGTAGCTGGAGACTGCACTGCTCGGGAGGGTTTTTTGGCGACCCAGTGTGGGTTGTTGTCAACATAGGCACCCACGAGGCAGCGGCGGCGTTTGCGTTGCAGCATCAACAGACGACGGGAGCACCGGCGACGGCGGGTAGCAGTGATCCGTCCAAGTTTCAATTGACTGATGATGATCTACAGCCTTCTTCAACTGCGGTGGAAGACATGGATCTCTAGCGACGTCTTGCTTGTTGTTGACACCTGAGTTGGATAAAGTGCCTCCTGACTTTGTGCGGCTCGTAGATCCCATTCAAGCAGGGATATAAATGAGAGTGTGAAACGCGAGAGGAGGGGCGACATGCGCTCACTTGTGATAGGACTGATGGTGGTGCTTAGCGTGAGTAAAAGTATACAACGTACGCGTGCTGGAAGTCACGTCTTTAACGTCTATACACCCACGGCAATAAACGCTGCATGACTCTCGAGTACCAATGTATAGCATTCATTATGATTGTTGTTTTCTGCCTTGTTTCATGCTACTCCTCTTCTCCCCGATCATCACGCCGCGTGATGTTGCTGCTCTCCTCATCCAGCTGCGTGGCACTACCATCGCACCCCGCATCCTTTCAATGCCGATAAGAGCAGCTCCACAGTACCTTGTTCAAGCCGGTCTGCTTCCCACTCAAGATGCCAATCGACGACGTGTGCAGCGCGATGCGACGCAGAGGAGGAACAGGCGCAGTGAGAAAGCGTTTAGCTGTACATACCATCTTACTCATCCGTAAAACCCGTGACTTCCATGTTTATCACCAACGACAACACTTCCTCCAGCTCCTTCTTCGACTTGTACAGCGGCAAGTCAATGCGGTTGAAGCACGTATGCGCCCGCGGATAGGCATTTTCCGGGAAAGTAACGGCCTTTAGCGTAAAGTGGCAAATGCGCCCGTCATAGCTCGTAAGTGCCTTAAAACCCTGCACGGGCACACGCGACGAGCCCGTAGTAAACTGTAATAAACGTGCCCGCTCCTCGTCCGTGAACGCTTCTACGGTTTCCCAAAACCACGAAAGCAGCTCCTCAGGCAGCTCATCCGAGACCTGGGTGTGCGCTTTCCAATCATCCACATCAATAGAAGGTACGCCACACAGCACCAGCTCCAGCTCTTGGTAGTCAAAGACGAGGATCAATTCCTGCGGAATTACCTCAAATACTCCAGCCATGAGGTGCTGTAGCTGTTCAGCATACGAATCCAGCATGATGTAGCGTAGACGCAAATAAATGTACTCCTGCTTGTTCTCGTCTGTCAACTCAATGTCCTTGCCGCCTTCCTTCAACTCAATAGTTTCCACCTCGCCGTTCAATTTGCGATTTGTAACAGTAAAGTCCAGACCAAGTGCATCCACACCATTATTCTCTTTCATCCACTTCAACGAATTGTGCACTTCCTGGTCAAAGAACTCCAAATCACTAAACGAAATAGGAACGCCAAGCAAATGCTTTAGCACAGGAAGCGCCAAGTGAGCCTTCATCAATTGACCTTCCAGCAAAGCACGACCGAGCAATCGACCTGCACCCCGAAAGTATAGCAGATGGTCAGCCGAGGCCTCAACTGAGTTCGGATTAATAACGTAAGCCAGTGAGTCCACGTGCGCACACATGAACAGACCAATTGTTTCATCAAACAGACGCTCCGTCACGAGCGAAAACCATTCGCGCTCTAATCCGCCTGCATCAATAGCCACTTCACCAATAAATTCAATACGAAGCGGCATATGTATGTGCTCCATCTGCACACCCAGCAATTGTTCCATAGACTCGACCAGTATATTTTCACGGTGGACCCGCATTTTCAAATGCCCATCCTCCCACGGTTTAATCAAAGCCGACGTCTGTTCCAAAAACCAAGCGTATTTGTCCTTAAACGGCAACGCCGCCACTTGCTCGAGAATTTCCAAATCCTGTTCCGAAATTTCATAGCCCCGAGACGCGACACGAGCGTCTACTTCACGATACTCTTTAAAAGTCATGCGGCCCTCCGGATGACGCGGCGTTTGCGCCAATTGCGACACAAACGCCAATGACGGCTGATGGACCAGTTCCTTTCCAGCATCCGTCGTCCCTGCCACAGTACCAGCAGCACCTGTCCCGCTCTTTGGCGACAGCAGTCCAGCGTCTGTGACCGAGATATCGAGCCGAAGACTCGGCACCTGGACACTCTCATCAGTCGAAACTGCTTGACTCGTCTTGTCTGTCAAGGGTTTGGCATTGCCCAACGGGAACGGCAGCTCTCGCTTGGCCCAATAGCGTTTGCCATCAGTACCGACTTTCCGGACCCAGTCCTGTCGATTCCGTGCGCCCCGTTGACGGGCGTTGAGCATATTGAGCCGTCGAATGGCAAACGACCGCGTGCGGTTGAAACTCTTTTCCCGCGGGACGTCCGTCCCCACTGTAAACGACGTCGTCGTTGACGTCGTGGCACGGGCCGGCGGCGAGTGCAGGCCGAGGCTAAAGCCGCGCTCTGTGCCGCAGAGCACACAGGCTTTGGTCGAGCTCTTGTTCTGGAAGTCGCACACTTCGCACTGCCACTGCGTCGTCACTTCGTCCTGCGACTCTTGCACGTCTTGGCGCGTCATGGGCTGCCCGTCTTCCGTGTACTGGCCGCCCAGAAGCGGCTGTTGCAGGTTTTCGTCGAATCGCGCGCGGCGACAGCAATAATAGACGATAATTATGACCAATAAGCCGCCGGTGACATAGGCGAGCCACGTGGGCAGCGAGCTGTTGGCAGCATCGACGGACGGGGCCAGCGCTGCGTAGAGAAGGGGCGGGAGCCACCGCGTGCAAGACGCAGGGGAGGAGGAGGAGGGCAGACGCATGCGACTGGCGTCGTGGGCGAGGGGGCGGACGAGGAAGTGGCTACGCTTGATCGAGAACGCGGTTGCTTGCTTGCGTGAGGTCGTCCGAAAGTCGTAATAAGAGAGAGAGCGAGAGAGAGAGAGGGAGCGCGTCGTTTGTCAAGGGAGGAACGAACGAATGGGCCAAGTGGCGAGGGGTGCTGAAACTCGATTAGTGACTGGACGAAACGAGGGCGGGAGAGGCAGGGTGCCACGCGGTCATTGGTGCAAAAGGGACATCCCAGCGCGATGTGCCCGTCGTAGACGAGGATGATGGCGGAAGGGGAAGGGGACCGCGGGTGTTAGACAGTGGAGGGAGCTGACCTTTCTGTGCGTGTCTCGTGTTTTTTTGTGTGTGTGGTTTTATTCGGTTGTTTCTTCTTTGGGTTGGTGTTTTGGACCCATGCGTTTTTTTCTTCACGGGTGAACAATCGCCCAGCTGACTAACTGCCTCGTGTTGGGTGTGGTGACTGTTTACGTGTCGATACGTTCCTTGGACGACGAGAGTGGCTCATTCGTACTTAGTCGATCGTACAACACACGCCTTTTGCCATCTACCTACCACCGACGTAAATGTGCCCCGCAGCCGCGTACTGACGCTTCTTGTCGCCGTTATTGAGCAGTAGCGGCTGCTCTAACTTCTCTTGCATGCACGTCGTCTCTTGCGTCAACTTCTTCTGTCGTCGCCATGCAAAAAACGAGCTACAAACGCCTCGGTCTTGCCGTAAACACGACTCGTTTGCTTCCTGGTCATCTTCGTAGTGATGATAATGGAGCTGAAAGACCGCGAGGACCAAGCTCGTAGCTGCAAAGCACGCACTCAGTAAGAAAGCGGTTTCCCATGCACTGAACGCGTCTTCTTCCTTGTCCGCACCAAAGATGTCGCCACTGCCGCCTTGACAGACGCTGCCGTTGCACGCAAAGCCTACGCGCATGTGCTCGGCATCAAAGAGCGTGTAGTGCGTCTTAAGGAAGACGTCTCCGAGGACCCAGTAGGGATCACTTGTCTCTTCCAACTGGAGCGTGCACCGACCATAGTCGAGACACGAGAGGTAGTCCTGAGGCTGCAGCAAAAAGACATTGTCGGGCACCATGCCAAAGCGCAGCACGGGGAAGTCCCTGAACGATACAGCGTTGCAGTAGACGCCGTCGCAGTCATTGTCGCCAGTGATCTCACGGATTACGTCGTTGAAGTCACTGGCTGGGATGCTGATCAATGACGTGCCCGTGTCGACGATAGCGTAGCAAAAGGGCGTGCACATCTTCAGAGCGGCTAAATTCTCGGGACTGGCCCCATTGCTGACGTCGGTGTCCATCTTGTCCGTATGACGAGAAAGCACTGAAAAGTCATTCATCTGGATCGTCCAGTACATGAACGAGTCGAATGGAGGCAGTCGGACCACAGGCGTGTAGTGGAAAGATGCATTGGGACCGACGACGGACAAGTCGTACCCTCCAAGATGCAATTCACTGCCTATGACAGAAGCTTCCGATGTGAGATGAAAAGCAAACATATTTGCCAAGTCGGCCTGTTGCTCTGCAAGTGCTGCAAACGCAGTGGGTCGAGTAATCCGAGCAAGGTGTTCGAACCCCAAGCCGAAGACACCATCGGCTAGAAAGGTCTGGAGTCGTGTACTTTCAGCAACAGCTACACCAAATCGGACGTGCGTTACCACGAAACCAGAAACAGTAACTGAGTCTACCCCCACAGTGCCGGACACGGAGCCGCTGCCGTACTGGCAAGAGAACCATGCACAAGAAAAGCAAAGTCAGAAAACTGTCATAGCAAGCATGACAAAGAAAAAATAAAGTGGCAGCAGGAAATAAGCACCAACCTCATCGTAGAACTTCTCTCTCGTGTCGAAAAAAGTCGTCGATTTTGACACATCGAATCGATGGTGGGGACTACAACTGGCACAATGGATACCGGGAATCCACGTATCACTAGAGCCAGTGTCAAAGGCCATGTCCACGTATTGCGGTGGGTTCCCAAATCCCACGGATCCAATGTACTGCACGTTGCCAAAATTCTGGAGCTTGACACGGTTTCCAGGACGTAAGGCTCCATTGTCCGCAATAACCTTCGGGTTTTCAAGCGTATAGTCAGTCTCTACACGAGTGCGACTCGATCGGTGCGCTGCATCTTTGAATACGACAGAGGTGGTCGGTCTACGAACGGTCTCAGGCCCACGTCTTGCGAGTGGTAATCGGAGCACTGCGACGGTAAAGTGCGCGTTTAATGCCAGTAGGAGGGTCAGTTGATGCAACAGCTGCATAGGGATATGAGGGGTCACTTATTTCGAGAAAAAGGAGGCAAGCGTAGGATGGGGAGGGGGGCCGTGGCTCATTTGAGACCATAGATTCGTGCTCATGCGACACGAGTGTAACGAACGGATGCTGATGATGCATTGCTGATGTGAGACTTCCGGACCATCGATTTGACGGTTGAAAAGCGATAACGGTATCATCTATCGAGCGGCGGAACTGGAAAGAATGCTGCGTCAACGTAACAATGAGACGCATTCTGTACGGCTCTGACAAAGCATGGCATCTTTTTGTGACCAGATGAATGGCAGAGTCTCCCCTCCATCTGTTCTCTCTCGGTTGTTCGCAGAGGCAGAGATGCAACATCTAAATCTTATGTGTTTGCAAGGAGTGAGGTCTGCAGCACGACTGCCGTCGAGCGTTCGACCTCAAGTACTGGAGCAGAAGCGCTGGCTCCCTCGTAACCCGTCCATAACATGCAGTATGCATTGCAGTATCGTACCGCTTTCCTGGCTTGTGACACCACCTTCTTCAGTAGTAACACATCATTGCGACCATTACACGCTAACTGTGCCTGTTGCGGCGACTTGCTGCAAGGGACATGCTGAGTAATCTGTACGATCGATCCTTGTCGCCACAAGCACAAAAATATCGTCCACTTCTCATAGATCAATGCAAACGTGTAGAGCATTTCGGCTGTCGGTCCCTTCGCACCTTCCTCAGCACTCGGCGACCGAGCTCGTGTCGATATTGAGATTTTGCTCTAGCGTAGTACGATGCTGAGGCGGGATCTCCAGGGCGATATCGTCCATAGTAGATAGATCGACTGCTGTAATCTAGAAGCACGGACTCAGCTCAGCCACTACCTTCGACGCTACTTTGTCGGACGCAATTGTGCCGTATTTACATCAGTTCATGTACTTGTTTTGCAATAGATAAGCGCGTGCATTCTTTTGATACCTGTCATGCATAGAATCGACAAGCCATCGTTGCCACTGATGCTGTTACAGCAGACCGGTTGCTGGGAACACCTGCACGCCAATAATGAAGATAAATCAGGCAAGATGATTGATGCACATACTTCGCGGTGCATGGCAGACGCAAACATACGACGAGTAGGCTGCTGCAGCTGTTGTGCAGACAAATGGATAACTACCGATCGGATCGACCCGGAACTTGATTTTCCACAACCTAGGAGAAGATTGCGGTGACACTTTTTGATACGCTCTGCATTATGCGGCAGGCCGAGAATCATTCTGCTGCAATTGTTGTGATCCGCCTACTTGACAGTAGATACCGAACCTCTAAGCACGCGCAACCGGTGACTCGGTCCAGAGACTCGTCGCTATCGGATGTGATGATTTCAAGGCTGGCTACACTTGGTAGTCGAATCGTACACCGTTATGGTTGCAGCGTCCACCTTTGGACAGAATGACCGTGAGCACCGTCTCTAGACTGAATTTAAATGGGTTGGAATGAAGGAATGCGCAAACACACGTGTCTGCCGCTCTTCTTGATGGATATTTGGATTCCGTTGTACTGACAAATCGGGGAGCAATTCGCTCACTACAGCTTCGTATCAATACAGCATCGCTCGAGCAGAACGATACTGCTCTTTCGATCTGACTGTTGTGCGTTGTTTGTGAGGTCGTCACGACCACCAGCGCTAGAAGCACAAAGCTGTGGGATTTAAGGTCTCCTCTGTTGATTATGGTGAGCTCGCTCATTTGATATTGTTTACGGTCCTGTCGTTGTCGCCAAAGAGTGCAGCGTAGATGTGTACTGAGTAGATCATGTCGGACATCATCACCCTTGTAGCCGTCTTCCGTCCATAAAACTGAGAACTGTAGCGGGATAGTTTGCGGCTTTTGTTGATGTGGCAGGTAGAATGATAGAAAGAACGAGTGGATCTTACAAATCTTGATTTTTTACAGCAGAAAATGATCTAGCTTCTTACACCGCATGTACACGAGAACTACACCGTGTTACAAGCTAGATCAGTTTCGGGGACTCCGCTCGTAAGTAAGGCTCTGTAGGGAATACCGTGGTACGGGTTGTTGTCGTTTAAGCAAGAAAAGTTGGTTGCTTGACTGACTCCGTTTTTATCCCAAGTCTAGCAAAATGAAGTCTTGGCTGCAAGACCAGCCGTTCGACTAAATTCACGAAGGCAGATCAAAACGACGAGGGATGATGGTATTGCGTATGTGTACGTTCCCCTCGATATAGTAGACTCTGCATGAAAACAGTGGTGATTGTCAAAGCTGCGATTTCGTTTGTGCCTGCTACCAAGACAACGACTTCCAGGCAAGTCTAGTAATTTGCTTCTATCTTTGAGGAAGGATAGTGAACATTGTGAGCGTGATCCTTGTCATTGTGGTAGTCGCGTACGTCGTACATCGTCCAGTGAACGCTGACCTGCAGCAGTACAGCTCATCCAATCCAGTCCATGTTTTGACCAACACTCAACATTAAATCATTGCAATAAACCTCATCGAAAATGCCGGCAGCATGCTGTACCATTGTGTACGCCGGTATGTAGAGACTCGAACGGAGCTACGAGTGTACAAAAGATCTCCTAACAAAGCACTACACTGTCAGTCTCTGGTCCCACCCAACCAGCCTAAAGCTCGTCCTTCATGATCTTGCGCAGCTCATAGGAAATGTGGATGGCGCTTGGACGCTGCACCGGGTCGAATGACAGACACGCGCGTCCCAACTTCACAATAGAAATCGGACAAGACTCATTGAAGCTCGGCTGCAGCTTGCCAGCTGACACGAGCTGTAGGATGGTTACATCCTGCATCTTACCGCCGTTAGTATTGGTAGCGTCGTGAAAGGGAGCCTTGCACGTGTCCAACTCAGACAGCACCACACCGAATGAGTAAATATCCGCAAATTCCGTGTAATGTCCACCCAAAATGACCTCAGGGGCGATCCAGCGAGCCGTGCCCACACCAGCAGTCATAGTCTCATCGAAGCTGCGGTTACGCGAAATACCAAAATCACTCAGCTTAGCGCCACTGTGTGCATCAATCAGCACGTTTCGAGACTTCAAGTCGCGGTGGATGAGCTTCGGATTCAGCGTGTGCAAGTATACCAAAGCATCGGCAATATCAATGGCAATTTGACACTTCAGGTTAGCCCACGTCAACGAGCTAGCACGACTCGAGTCCAACAGCGACTTAAGGTCGCCGCAGTCCATGAATTCGGTCACGGCCTGAATAGTCAGTGCGTTGGCCCATGACACACCGATGAAGTGAACGACCTTGGGGTGCTCCAAACGCGCCATTACTTTGATTTCTGTTGCAAACGCCAGCGCATCCTGCATTGTTTTCTTGTCACTCAGCAGCCGCTTGATGGCGACATTTTCGTTCATGTACAGACCTAGCCAGACTTCACCAAATCCGCCACGGGAGAGCAACTTTACAGCTTCCACATCGCGGTGCTCGATCCGTGCTGCAAGCAAATCCGGGTCGTCCCAAATCGACGAGCCAAACGTCGTGTCACCGTCCGTAAGACTCGAGCCCATATCCGTGCCAAAGATCGTCGATCCGCTCTTTGTAGAAAACGCTCGACCGTGTTTCTTGCGATACCACACGAACGCAATGATGGCGAGCACGAACACACTGCAACCTACACCGAGCACAATGGCGAGTGTCTGACCGCCGCCGCCGCTGGACGACGACGACGTCGATGCTGCGCATACCTGCACTTCAGCGTTACTTAGCTTCGTGGCCGAGTAACCAGAGCCACACTCGGTAATTGTCACGTCGGCATCAAAAGCTGCTAGATTCTGCAACAGTGCCAGCTGCGAGTCTGACACTTGTACATTTGACAAGTTGCAGCCAACCATAGACAGGTATCGAAGTGCACCTGATTCTGCCATCGTGTACACATTGTCTGGAACCGACGTATAGGCGTTTCCGGACAGGTTCAGTGTCTGCAAATTGTTCAGCACAACGGGGAACTCCGTGAGCGTATTGCCAGCCAAGTTGAGGTCAGTGACAGTCCCAAGGCCCGACCAGACACCATTGGTACTGTCGGGCAATTCCGAGATATAGTTCAGGGACAGATCGAGCTTCGTGATTGCCGAAAACGTGCCCAACTGCTCTGGAATTTGGTTCAAATTGGTGTTCGTCAGAAACAGCGTCGAGTACGTTGTCGCAAGCGACACGGTGGAGAGAACGTTCCTCAAGTTGACACTGATCAAGAACATGCTGACAACGCCGCTCGGTGTGTCAAAAAAGGACTGGTCGAGCGAGATATTCTTGACCACGCTTTTATCGATCGACTCGCTCGGCGATCCCTGTACTTGGCTAAGTAAACCGAAACACACATAGGTTGCACATACAGGATAAGAAACACACATAGGTTGCACATACAGGATAAGAAAACCAACCGTGGCACTTGAAACGGTGACATAGATAGAGCGAGATCGTCGTCACTCCCCCTAACTGCGACTCTATCTCGAAATACGTACACGGATAGCGTTGACGGGCTGTAACTCAACTGGGCAATCTGCGTGACGTGCGCCATGGTCTTTTCGTCCGTATTAGCGTTCGCCTCAAGGGCCAAAAGCCACTGGTTCCCGTCCCATAACAACGTGTCCAGGCACTGGTAGGTCAAATCACACTCGGTGGCTGACCCGGGCACCTCATAGTCGCTCTCGTTATAGCACGGGCCACTGGCGCCCAGCTCGATGCATTCTTTCTGCGAGGGCGAGTACAGGACGCATGGCGTACTCGCACAACGCGAGGGGCAGCCCACAGACGTGAGAACGTTTTGTGTGAGCTCATTGCACGGCTCGGCTTTCAACTCGCCAAGCTGGAGCGACAAGAGCAGCGCCGAGAAGTGCCACGCGACGTGGTGGTGGCCTCTCATGGCGGATAGTGCGAGACGAAGCGCTGGGTTAGAGCACTGCAACAACAGCTGTAACTGCGACCGTAAAACGAATAGGGGAAGAGAACTGGATCGACGGAAGAGGGCTAGGGGAATCAGATCGCAATAGCGTCAGCGCAGCGGGAGAGGTGAGGTGAAACTGGCGCTTTTTGTTGTTGTATCGGGTCGCATCATCATGTGGACGTCTTTTTTTGACGGGGTATACACACGAAAGAATACAAACGGGTATACACGTGTTGACGTCGACTGTCCGGTCTCTTGTTGTCTATTCGGGCAAAACAACATTTGATTACGACATACCAGTCAAGTCGGACTTTTGCCTTCTCTATTTTAGAGCTGCAGAGTTCAGGTGGACGACCACGTCACACACAACGACAGCGATAGGTATTTCTGGTTTGAGGTGGTTCAAAGCTTAGACGACGATGCCGATAATGTCGTGTCACGTTTCGGATGAGGATGATGATGTTTCCGGAAGTAAGCTCGGTTTTGTTCGCTGTATCGGAGTCATGTAGTCAGGTCCATACGCCTCCGTCAAGAAGAAGTGCGGGTCGTGCACCGTGTCAAAAGGCATGCCATTGATCATTACTTGCGAGAACGGCTCGACCTTTTTTCTCGCCAGCAGGGAACCGTGGCTGCCTTCTAGCATCGCTACATCATAGTAACCTCTCGTGCCATTCTTCACTCTGTACAAGTCCAAGTACGGCACGCTGTACTCCGTCGTGAGTGGTAAACTGGGGTCATAGAGACGGGAAGCCAGCGGATGTGTTGGCGCCACACACACGCGCCAAATGTAGTAATCGAACATGTGGTACCCTTTCTTTCGAAGCGCTTTTTGGACCTGACGTGTCGCTCGGAATTTGTTAACGTATCCAATATCAATGTCTTCCGTGTACGGGATGACGGATCCATTTCGAACAGCACCAAGGAGCGAGCCATAGAGGATGAGCGGAATGTTTCCCGTCGCCAAAAGTTCGTCGTACACATCGACCAGTAACATGTGCAGCACGCTAGCGTAGCACAGTGACTCGGGTGTACGCACGTTTAGTAGATCCGTTCGATCAGCTGCCGTGCAAAAAGGGGTGTCGACACTTCCTGAGATCGGCAAGCAGTAGGTGTAGTCCTGCTTCCATTGCATCTCTTGTCCGCATAACACTCTGTGGGAACCACGAAACGTTGGCGCTTCGAGTGGACTCATGTCCTTCAATGCTGAATAGAAGCGGTGGCCCGAGTGGTACTCGATTTCACTGATGTTCGAGACCTCGGGCATGCACCAATCTCCAGTGGAGACGTTCAGTTCCACGGGCAAGGGCGCCCCCACCATCAGTTGAGTCTCCGCCACACACCCGAGCACCACGAGTCCGACCAGTAACAACACGAGAGCTGGAATGAAGGTTCTCTTCGTGTGCAAGTATTGGTCGGGACCCTGTTCGTTAGGGTCAATGGGAAGGGCTGGGGAATGTTCATCAACCTCATCATCGATCTCCTCGACCTCTTCATCGATCTCCTCGACCTCTTCATCGATCTCCTCGACCTCTTCATCGATCTCCTCGACCTCTTCGTCGATCTTCTCGACCTCTTCGTCGATCTTCTCGACCTTCATGATATTTAACAATGGACCGGAAGGAGGTCAAGAGCCGGTGGAGGGTCGACGATCGAACCACGTGTCGAACTTAGTTGGATTGATCGGACTGAGTTTCATGTTTGAGGTGGGATCGCTGGACGATACCATTGGCTGAAATGATACCTGGCCAAGACGAGTGGCTCGACGCGCGACGACTGACTGTTGTTACCAAGCAAAACTTCAGAGCGTCACGAGCAGTTGTTTGTACTAGGAGGACTCAAGTTGCTGTCCAATCAAATAACGTGCTTTTTTTGTACAGTCGGTCGTAAAATACTGACATTGTATAGTAACATCAACTGCTGTGAAGTTTTCTTCGTAAAAGTTTTAGCGAAAGTTACACGGATTTCTAAGTGGTTCTTAATAAGTTCGGTAGTACGCACGGCTGGAGATGCTCGAAGTCTGCCCCACATTTGCACCTTGAAATCTGAGGTCTGCTCCAATCACGGTAGAAACCGAGAAACCTTAAGCGTTCCATTCCAACTGGTGGTTTTACGTGTGCGATCTTGGCGATCACCCCCTGCTTTTACGCGCTACTCGATGTCATACTTCTATCGTTTTTATACTCGTCTTTTGCAGCTAACCCACAAGTGCGGACAGTTTTACCATGAAAGCGACAAGGTGCTTCTTAACCAGAAATTTGGCGGTGGCTCGGTAGGTGCCGTCATCGGATTATGTCTGTATGTACAAGCAGTGCTATCTATGCTTGATTGAGCCACCGTCGATTCATTAGACTAGCTGCCACGCTCCGATACATCAACATCTTGGAAGCTCGAACCTGAAGTAGCTGCTGCGATATCCGACGACTTAGTGATTGCAGTGATGAGAGCAAGCAAGATAGCAGTAAGCATAGTAGCTGGCAACAGATCCGTTGATCACAAGGGCAATGGTTTCACAGCATTCATCGTGTAGTCACCTGTACCGATGCAACAAAATTTGATACTCGAAGGGAGTCCACCATTGGTCTAAGAAATTGCTAGATGAAGCCCCTCACCGCTCTAAAAGCGCAAATCGTCAAGGAGATTGACCGATTGTCTTGCTGCAGTACAACCGTCGTGTGACTGCTCCTGCTTGTTATCTTTAGATGTCGAAAGAAAGGTACATATATGTTGAAGGTGTTGCATTACGATGATGATGATCCCTATCAGCTAAGCGCAAGACAGATCGTTGCACTTACAGATACGATACGAAAGCTGTACGTGCGCTTTCAGGCGCAGCATGCGAACCATTGATGCGGCTTGTTGTAACGATTCAACTTGTTCTGAAAAGGATACCTGCCATCGCGTGTAGTGCTACACAGAAGGAGCCGGCCCTTTGATCGTGCTCATGAGCTTGTTCAAAGTGTGACTGGATGATTTGTTAACCTGTTTGGTACCTTGACAAATAAGCTTCAGCTCTTATAATCAACGGAAAAGCAGCAGCCATCGACGACAATTTATCTCGTTTATTAGGACTTGCTGTCTGCTCAAAGAAATCCACTTTCGGTGCGATTAGCCAGGCACGATCGCAGCATATAGTAAACCTACATCCACTTCATCCGAAGCACACAAGCCAGAACGAAATGTTCTGATAGCAAAGCACGACTTCCGCAAGAGGCCTCAGTGTTACCGAATTAACGCGAGCTACAGAACAATTCGAGGTACATCTTTCAGCGATTCCCGTTTACTCAACTATACATGGTGGCCTTGTAAGCAAAGCGACGTGAAGGCGAAATGGTTGAAAGTGACGATGTAGCCAAAGCCATATGTCACGGTCCGATCATCACTTTTAGTCTATTCAGCAGACAGGTCGTAGCGCTGTAAAACGCAAAAGTATGTGCGTGCAGTGAGGTTTTCAGCAACCAATTGTTGATCAAGTGATCGCATTCGCACAGTTTGTAGACCTAGTGTAGCGCTGACGATCTTGAGCGGGTGTGCAGCACTATTAGTCTAGTCAACACGGATCCGACACATGAACGGATTGAGAATGATGTGCAAAGGTGTAAAGCAAATTGAAGGTGGTAGATCCCTCATACTTTACCGCGAATCCCTGGACACGATGGATTGCAAAGGTAGATTCTTGGATGAACCGAAATGTAACCAATTCACATGTTCCATCTAGCAAGCAAATGCCCGTATTTGCTATTGTCTGCTCCTCTCGCTATTCGGCCATTGCGCAGTCCCTGGTTCGTCCTTCTTTTTTCTTCGTGTTTACCACTCGTTTTGGGCACGTCACTTGATCACGTTTAGTACGACATAGCAACCTGCAGTGGCCGTTGCGTCGCTTGCACGTTGCGTGTCTGCGTCAGTAGCACTTTCGTACAACGACCAGCAAAATAAAGGGAAAAACAAGAAGCCAAAAAAATCAATCATTTACTTGCATGTGTATGATGAGTATCTTGTTCCACGACATGTATCCCGGTCCACGACGTGACGCACTTGGCGGTACGCGCAGATTGGTGGCTGCTTTCGATGCGAGTTGCGTAAATGAGATAATCTTAGCTAAGGATAGATGAAAAGTTTGTTCAGGTAGTTGCAACATCAACTCAATGCCACTTCGATCCTTTCGATACTGTCAACCGCTTCAATGATTAACAACGTTTTGCACCTCTTGTTGCATGCAAGAAATCGTTCTTGACAACCTCAGTGCCATCTATAACCCCCTCATCTGCTAGCGGGGTCACGATTCATTTGTCGTGCCACTACCGTTGTTCGATTATCTACCATCATGCCACGCACCAATGCGTTCGCAATGCGTAGTGGATGCAAAAAAAGCAGAGCGAGGAAGTCATGACATGTTATAAATGACGAACCTGGAAAAGAGCGCTAAGGACTAACCAGCAAAGCAGCCTGGCATTTGAACGTAACTTAATGTCAAGCTGTTCAAGCTGGCAACAACCCTTGTCCGCAGATACACGCAGCAAGCACATTTTCTCTTGCTATCAGCAGCACTTGTCGGTCCCTACTTCCGCGGCTTTGGGGTCATGTAATCTTCGCTGTACATCTTCCTCAAAAAATAATCTGGATCCGCGACCGTGTCGAACGACAGTCCGTTGATCTTCACTTGAGAAAACGGCTGCATCTTTTCATGAGGCAGTGTACTGTCACTGAAGCACTCCATGCTCCAGTCGGTGTCATTCAACTTGTCCATTGCGTACAGATCGAGATACGGCACCACAAAGTTCGACGTGATGGGAAGTCTCGGATCGTACAGTCTCGCAGCCAGAGGATGCGTAGGGGCCACACAGACCCGCCAGATGTCATAATGGAAAAAGTGGTAACCCTTTGCCACCAGAGCACGCTCGATGTCGCCATCAACGTCAAGGGGTCCACTGTATGCTAAATCAGTGTCTTCGGTAAACGGGATCATAGACCCGTTACGAACGGCACCAAGGAGGGAGCCGTATACTAAAAGTGGAGTGTGTCCAAAGGCATGGAGCTCCTCGTAGACTTCCATCAAGAGCATGTGCAGCACACTAGCGTAACATCGAGACTGGGCCGAGTGTGGGGTCAATAGGTCCATGCGGTCAGCCCCGGTACAAAATGGCGAGTCCTTGCGGCCAGAGATTGGCAAGCAGTAGCTGTACTTGAGATCGTGTCGACGACTTTCGTTGCATAGGACAGTGTGTTCGTCTTGGAAACGAGGAGAGGCAAGAGGAGTTGCATCTTGGAGAAGCGGGTAGTATCGATGACCGGAGTGGTACTCGATCGCACTCACATTGACTACACTTGGACTGCACGTTGACTCCTGAGTAGATCCATTGGAGGCGCTGCTGTCGTTGATGTGGAGTTGCAGAGACTCGAAGCGACTGGAGACGATATTGGTCTCCATGACGACGTCGAAAGCTACGACTCCAGCCGTCAGTAGTGCCACAAGCACTAGCGCCATGCTGCCTCGACATCCAAAGCTAGGTTTTGCTGGATCATCTCTATAGAGCAATATCCTGGATCTGGATAGCAGTGCTGACGGATGTTTAATTGGTTTCATCGGGAAAGCTGCAGGATGACAGGCTGACTCCAGCCTGTCAAATAGGTTGCAAAAGCAGGAGTGAGGGGACAGAACAACCCAATCCAAAGTTCGCGCGCTGCTGCTGCTGCTGACGATGAACTTCCAATGGCGGAGCAAAGCACCAGATGACGCAACATGAAGCAGAAGCTGCAAAGGACCGTATCCTGATCTGCATCCGAATAGACGCTGGTCACCAGATTAAGTGATCTACTCTATGGACAGTGCGGTTCTATCTTTTCTGTCATCGCTCAAGTACACATGCGCTTCCATAACTGGCAGTCGATCTTTTGTTCGAATGCTGGATTCCTAATGCTTGACGACTGAGTGAAATGGCGCTGATGGATTCCAGGAGCACCACAGCATGCGCTCACATCTTGTTGACCTCAAGCTCTAACTGTTCCATTCGCCAATTGTTACGTGAGCTCTGAACGTCATATGCAATGAGTGGCTCTTGATGGTGTGGCATCGTTCTCGTTCGCATTAGGAGAGAACTTTGACTGGACGCTGTTGGTCTCGCTTTCTGCGGGTCATGTTATCAATCTACGGCAGCTAAAGGTTCTCAGCATGAGCGGTGATGGCGTGGATGCGTAAAGGGCATTGCGTGAGGACACAATGAAGTGTACCATACGTCTCGATATACACGATGCACTGTCAGGGTCAGCTAGCAGCTACCCATCAGGTACTATTGTTCCTTTCCATCATCACACGCAAAAGATGACCAACAAAAGGCTTTGATCTCTTTCTTGCAGCAAGTGGCCACTGTCCGTCGGACATTTGACTTGTAGATACCCTACATCTCGTCCATCATGTTACCTAGTTTGCAACAACACTGAACTGGTAGTCAAGCATGCATGACTCCTCCACAACTGCTTCCCACAATTAGCTCGTCCAATATGGGCACGCGTCAAGGCCTCGACGATTGCTCCGCTAATCATTGATCGAACATCGCAACTGATCTCAAATAGCCACATCAAGTCGTACCTGGTCGCAGTGATACAGACCCTCGCCTCCTTAGAGAGAAAAGACCTCTTGAGAAAGATCAGGCATGTCGTCTGCCAAAGCACAAAAGGTGCTCCGGAGACTTGAGTTCCTCATTCGAAAGACCGATCAATAACATGAATTTGACCACCGTGTTCATAAGCGTAGATAACGTTGCGAAGGAAACGCGTGCTGCGAAGATGAAAGTCCTGTCCTAGTCGCTGGTGTTGCTACGATCATTATAAAGCAAGGCCACGTTTTCGTGTCCGAGCGCTTCCGTCACATTGCCTGGCGCTCACTTTCACCGATCATGCCAAGCTGACCGGTTGTCCGCTAAAAGCTACAGACGTTAGTTCACGTCCATGCCGCGTCTTGCAAATTCAAGAACCTCTTCCATGGCGCTGGCAAAGAAGAACGTGTCTGCATTATAGGCTCGGCGGGCGTTGGCTCCGATTGCAGCTCGCTGTTCAGCTGTCGTGGACTTGACCATTTCTTGAACAGCTTTGCACACTTCGGGACCGCCGAATGATCCAACCAGTCCATCGACGCTTTTCAGACCGTGCGCCTCCTTGTAAGCGCCACCCATAATCTGCCTCGACTCCTCACGTCGCTCAACTGGGATCAGGAAGCCTGTCCGGCTCGAGACAATGAGCTCATTCATCGGAGGTAGATCAGTGGTGATAACCACCGCTCCAGCGGCACGTGCCTGGTTGATGTAGTGGCCATAGCCCTCGCTCACACTCGGACACATGAAAAATGCCGCCTCTGCAGTCAGCTTAGTGAACGCGGAGCGCTCGATCATACCTACGTTGACGTTAAGTGGACTACGACTGTGCTGCATCGATTTCCTCAAGCCGTCATTGATCGTTGCATTGAATGCCCCCGTGTCAATGTACACGTCAAGGGGAGGCAGATCAGGCTCACTCACCCAACACTCTACCAGCTGCCTTGTGCCTTTGAGATTGCTAGTGCCTGCTGTGTGGATGAACTTGATGGTAGAAAAGTCTTTCGGGGCAATAGCCTCTTCGCCCAGGCGTTTGCGAGCAAAGTCGGCCTGATCTGACGACGTGTGCTTCGTGTAGAACACCCTTGTATCGAGCGGGTTCCCCTCTTGTTCGTACCATCTCGTCACTCTGTCGTAACACACCTCTGTCTTGCAGAGCACCGCAGTCACTTTCCAGTAATCGTTGGCCGTCATTTCAAACATCTCAATGTTTGGCATCACGTAGATGGGTTTGTCCTTGGGCCAACGGGGCATCGATGGCACTCCATCCCAGTAGTGGTTGAAGAAAATCACGGGCGTTTTCGGGCACAAGTCAAAGTAGTCGACTTCGCGCCCGAGATCCGGATCAAAGAGCTTGACTTCGAGTGTCCACTGCAGCAGCAGTCGCGACTTTAAATCTATGCCCCAACAACAGGACGTCGTGAGTCGAGAGAAGGCCTTAGTATCAGATAACTAGATCAACCCATGGCTATTGACAAGAAACACTCACACTTTACATACGCCACGGCATCTTCACAGTACCCGTTTCCGTGTATACCAACTGGCAGAAAAATGTCCACGTCGGGGCATTGTCGAAGTTTTGCCAAGATGTCCGGGTCATCCTGGTGCATCAAAACCTCTGGGTTGCTTGCTGTTGCGTTCGGGAGTTGATAACCTGGACTCCCAAATGTCCACGGCAGTGAGGCACTGGGATCCTGGACACAATTTTCATGCAGTAGACTCAAGTGGAGTCGATCTGCCTCCAACACCTCCTTCCTACTAACCTTTGCCTCCTCAAAAGTCTGCACTCGTAAGACATTTCCTACGTCTCGCTGGGATCCAGATTCTGGAAAGTATCCGAACAGCGGCATCATCTGTAGTACGAGGGTGATCCATCCTAACACAACGAAAGCTGCTAAAGCGATCAGTAAGCGAGAGCGCCTGCTTAGTGGCCTCTGTGACCGTCTAGGTAGTTTCATCTGTGACGTCAAGACAGCAAGTGGGAACTGCTGGTCAAAGCGAGGCGTCTCTGGTTCTCACTGCTTTTCAAGGTATCTACTACTACTTTGCTGGAATGTTGCGCATGAATCGAATGGGAACGGGATGACTACAGACGTTGCATCATTGTGCGGAACAAAATCCGCATCACGGGACCATGCGCAGAGAATCGATCCATATTCGATGCAGTGCTTCGGAACACGAGGTGGAACATGGGTACGACGTACGTCCATAAAACTAATCGTTCCATATCGATGCATTACAAAATGATACCGACGTGATGACAGCACAGTTCCTGGACATGGGTTGGCACCATGCAAATGTGCGTTTCTTGACTAGACCAACGCACCTTCGTACACTGTATTTGTTACGCTTTTTCTACTTACGGGTTGGCAAACGTACGTAGCTTCTCCATCGCCTTTGCGAAGTACTTCGTATCAGCATGGTACTGCCGACTGGCATTGAGACCCAGCTTGGCACGTTCATCAACCGTCGTTGACTGCATCATACGCTGAACAGCTTTGCAGACGTCAGACGCCTCGAACGAGGCCACGAGACCCTCCACGTCCTTCAACCCCTGTTCTCCTTTGTAGTCGCCACCCATTAGAACCATCGGATGCTTGACACGACTCACCGGGATCAGCACGCCCGTTTCATTCGTCACCAGCTCGTTCATCGGGGACATGTCAGTCGTTACAATAACAGCTCCCGAAGAGCGTGCCTGATTCAAAGTGTGACCGTAGCCTTCGCCGTAGCTCGGGCTTACCATATAGAGAGCCTCAGCTACGACCTTGCTAAAGGTTAGATGGTCATGCGTGCCCAATCGGATGTTCACGGGGCTCAAGCTGTGGGCAACTTTCGATTTAAACGACGGCGAGAATAAGCGATAGAACGGCTTGCGGTCAATGTACACGTCGAGCAGAGGCAAGTCTGAAGTATGCAGCCAGCACTCCAAAACCTCTCTTGTGCCTTTCACAGAACTCACACCAGCCAGGTGAGTAAACTTCACCTCAGCATAGTCCTTGGACGCCACGGCGTATTCTCCCAAGCGCTTGCGAACCAGCGTGGATGGACTAGAAGAGGTGTGTTTTGTGTAAAACACGGACGCATTGCGCGGGTTTCCCACTTGCTTATACCATTGCGTCACCCGATCGTAGCACACCCGTGTCTTGCACAACACTGCATCAACCCGAAGGAAGTGCAAGGGCGTGAGCTCCATGATTTCAATGTTAGGCATCATGTAAATGGGCTTGTCACTTGGCCACCGAGACGTCATGGCCACGCTACTCCAGTGATGACCTAGGAACAGCACGGGGGTCCGGGGACACAGACTGAAGTAATCAACTTGACGTCCGAGGTCAGGATCGTCCAACTGGACATCCAGAACCCATTCCGGAAGTAAGCGTGACTCCAAATCTACACAAGAGCAAACACGAGATACCAACATTAGTGCCAATACAACCACATCAAAAAAGGGTGGTATTTCTAAAATAAAACCATGACTTTAGCCGTACATTTGACATATGCCGCGGCGTCTTGACAGTAGCCGGCAGTATGTGATTTATGAGGTAGAAAGATATCCACGTCTGGACAGTGACGAAGTTTCGGCAACAGATCGGTGTCGTCTTTGTGGACCAGAACGTGAGAATTGTTGGCTGTTCCACCCACAAGTTGGTGCCCGGGTGCCCCGAATTGCCACGACACCGAAGCATTGACGTCGTTCACACAAACTTCATGCAGCAAACTCAAGTGTAACAAATCTGGAGCGGGAACTGTCTCTTCCGGTGACAGCGTCGGGAGGCGATAGGGCCACGCCAGCTGACGCAGTCCAACGAGGTGATCCCCTAGAGGTCCTAGCAACGTTATCATCTCGGTAATTACTATAAGAGCCACTATGCACAAGATTGGGGCTAACACGAGACACACGCGGCCCTGGGGCCTCTGAGGACGTTCAGCTTCCCTCCACTTGGTCATGACGTCGAGTATTCCGATGTCCCAATGGCGAAATGGGTGGGGCTTGAATGACTGTGGACGATGACTAACGACTCTAGTTGTTTACATGTTGACTTTTTATCGGTAGTGATTGGTACAAAAGAGGGCGGTGGGGTGAACGCATTTACGCTTATTTGCTGTGGGCTTCTCTAAATTGATCGTTTAGTGCGTTTTGAGGTTCCGACACCCAACTGTTTTGTTCAGCTACCTGATCTTGGCAGACGAGACTGGGGAGACCTACGGCTCGCAGCAGTGAACTTTGTCTCGTCGCGACATTACTGTCGTCATCGTTTGGCGTACCACTAGCTTTTATTGCCAATGTTTGCTATGGTTTGAGATCGATGTTATGCTGGAGGGTATGCATGATAAGTGCCACTACTAGCCAGGAAACGGCAACTCATTCGCCGTGTCAGTGCATATGAAGTGGAGAGGACATCAGGTGTGCGACTTACCATTCTTTCGTGCCACTAACCGAAGGAGTTTCTTACGTGGACCTGTGGAGACATCAAGCGTGCCTCAATATGAAGAACAAGTGGATTGGACTGAGTGCAAAACTTCGCTGAAGACTAAGCACCATCAGCGAAGTTGTGGTTTCTGATGTCTTTACAAGCCACACAAGCTATATCATTATCTACAACTCACTCGAATCGTTTGCGAAGACTCTGCGTAGTTGCGTTCTCGAACATTCACCTCCATGCAGTTTTACACTCGGGCATCCACCACGTCACAACTACGTCCTACGTCACAACTACGTCCTAGTTTCTTCAGATTCCATCGCATACAATTACCATTTGTATACGATGAGATGCTGACGGACGAGCTCCCAAAGCCGATGTGATCTACGAAGGTCTTATGCGTAGATGTACCGGGCACACGCTTCTAACCAGATACTCAATCTCATTGCATGAGTTTCAATTTATCGTCTGGTTATGACACCAGGCCGCTACGATAACTACCGCTCCGCGCAGACGCATCCATTTGTCGGCGACGCTTGAGCAATGAGCACGCTAAGCGACTCTACGATCGAGTCAATACAGAGTCACCAAAGAAATCATGAGCCCTACAGCAACGCTTGTAGTCGCATGATCGTAAGCATAGTACACAAAAAATTGTGAGTGCAAGCGAGCCACGTCAAAGACGACGATGACATTCATAATGTGTCAAGGATCTGTTCTTTAGCGTGACGCAGTAGCTTTGGCGCTGGCGCATCTTATTGAATCATGGTAAGATTAACAGTAAGTTTGCGCTCCACATGCAGTGGGTTAGCAACAAAAATCGCAAAGACCACCACAAATAACTGATGACCATCCAAAGACACTCCAACGCATCCAGAATTGCAAAACTTGCTCACCCGAGTCTACGTAAACGACCACCAAGAATCTATAGTGTACCGCCGCAACGTGCTATTTCGGTGGCGGATATGGCTCATGTACGACCACAGTCGCGAAACTTGCATCTCATGTGCAATAGTAACGCTATCGATATGCTGCTTCTGCTCAGCCATGCCAGCTTGCTTGCCGCAGTCTTCTGGTATTGTGTTTGCTAGCAGGTCTGTCTCGGTGTCTTCAACAAACGTATAGTATCTTTTCTTTACGGAGTCATGTGCAACGCTATCACGCTCATCTGCTAGACGATATGTGCGATTAATCCGCGTCATATTGTAGACGGTGGAGGCCAACCCAACATCATCTATAGACTACTTGACATTACCCATTGTTCGAGCAAATTTGGGAATCCATTTACCCTACAATGCTATGCACGTTTCTCTTTTTTAATATTTCCTCTTTTGGGTAGATAACAAACAAATGCACCAGATTGTAATCATTTATTACATATCGTGTCAATATTGACGTTCCCGACTCAGATCGCGTCACCCCTACCCTGAGTCCAGTTCACTCCGCGCGTCGTCGTAATTATTCCTATTCAGAGAGAAGTCCGTCCATCGAGTCGCCGTCGACGATCTACAGCAGCATCAGCACATAACAACTCAAATACTTTCAATCGTAAAATGATATGGGAACAGGCTCTGGAGCTCGCCCTTTAGTAAAGTAATCCGGTTCAGATAACTAGATCAAGTTGCAAAACACTATACTTTAACAGTTGCTGTAGAATTGATGCGATGCTGCTAATGTTGTATTGACCCAGTACAGTAAGGTAGGCAACACGATCTGCCTGTGCTAATGATCGTCCAGCATTTGCTTTTGTAAACATTTTCACCTTCGATCAATTTTAAGCCAATCAGGTGCGTGCATCAAAAAAAAGGGACCTGGCCAAAGTGACCTCGGATATGCCTATATACCTATGAGGGGGGACAGGCTAGATCGCACTTAGTACGTGCAGCGTACACCTAACCGCGTTATTTACAGACACCACACACAGATAAGTACGATTTGAACGCTCGGCATTCAACCTTGCGCACAGTCACTCATAGCTTCACCCTTCGGGCTCGCAATAACTTTCATACCCGTCATAACGAGTTATGGGTCACAGCACCAGCCATAAAGCACCAGTAACTCACATGGACAATACCAAGCCGCGTATCGAGACTCATCGACAGTCAATCCGTGTACGAATCCAAAGTATCCTCGCAGTTATCATAGGTGCAAGTGTATGCACGCTAGTATTTGAGATCGTGACCCTAAATGGTTCCCTAGATACAATTCGACGTCTGGCATTTTTCCAAAATATTCATCCATACAAAAAACCAGTCACAGACTTGACCTCGAGGATTTTTACCGAGAAAGATGCCGAGCAAGACACTCTAATCGAGTTGCTAAATAGTATGGAAAACAATGCTTTGAACAATTTTCAAGACGATCAAGAAGTGAAGTCTGCGGATCTGTATCATCTCAGTTTATTACATGGAGCGTGCGTAAACTATACGGACGCTATTGTTTCGTGGAAATTTGGAGCTCCAGGACCACATCAGGATGAGGAGGCGTACCGCATGGGTACCCTGGTGAATGAAGACGATGCAAATTTGCTCGAGAAACTAAAGCAATGTCCAGATATAGACTTGTTTCTGCCGTCCAAGTTGCGGGGCTATGGCTACTGCGAGGATGCCATGGCATATACCAAGTACCTGCACACAAGAGTCTTGCCACTATGGGCGGTGACGAAAAAGATGTACGACCCCGAGTCGCAACGCATTGTGGACTATTTTGATCTGTGTCCAAAAACACCAATGCTTTTCTTCCAACACTATTGGGAAAATATTCCATCGTCGTCGCGGTGGCCGCGGCAGAAGAAAATGTATTTGATGCCGAATATTGAAATGTGGGAACTCGAGTCAAGCCACTACTGGAGAGTGGATGTGGTGCTGTGCAAGACGCGTATTTGTAACGAACGGGTGACCAAGTGGTACGAGCAAAGAGGCAATCCGAACGACGCCAAGGTCATTTACACGAAGCACACGTCGTCAGACCATGCAAGCTATGCTCGACGCGTTCTTGGAAATCAGGTGAAAGCGAAGAATTTCACCGACGTGCAGTTTACTCACACTGCAGGTGGTAGTATCTGGAAAGGTACGCGGCAGGTGATTGAGTGCTGGTTGTCTCGACCTCACTTCCCTTCGCTGGATCTGTACGTTCGAGATGATTTGTATGAAACGATGTTCAAAGACGCGTACAACAAGCGCATTGCTAGCAGTCAGATCCGGCTCAACACTGACAACTTGAACACCAGCACGTTTCACAAGGCAATCGCTCAGAGCGCCTACTTTTTGTGTCCAAGTCAGTTAGAAGGGTACGGACACTACTTAAACCAGGCGCGCGCATCCGGCGGCGTTATTGTCACGACCGATCTGGATCCGATGAAGGAATTGATCGAAAGCGACAAGATGGGGTTGAAAGTGCCAGCACGATCTATGCACGACTACGACGCTTTCTTGGGTGGAATGAGCTCAACAAAACTTGGCCTCCGAGATGAGCCAGGCATGATGGCTATATTCACAGCCGACGAATTGTGTGTGACAGTAGAGCACCTGCTGAACGACTACACGGTGGATCAGCGAAGAGACATGGGCAAGAATGCTCGACTGCAGTATCACAAGGACACTAAATTTTTCGAGCTGGCAATGCTCCGGTTACGCATTCTTGCGCGACAACATGCAAGTGCATACAGCGATAACGATAACGGCATTGATATTATTACAAGCGCACCTCGCAGGCATATCCGAGACGGATCTACGGTCCGTTAGTGAAGCCGAAGAAACTCCAGCACGTGTTCGACAGCAGACGCGACTTTGTCATGTTAACAGAGATGAAAGTCAGATCAAAAGTGCGCACTAGCTCTTGATTCTTGAACAACTCCATATTAGCTGACCTCATATTTCGAACGCTTGCTTGTCCTTTGCAGATTGACCGCGGTACAGCAGAGCCAGGAGGAGAAAACTCCAATGTAAGTCTCTCCAGAAGCAAATTGCGGTTGCGGTGTTCGTGATGACAGTAGAGGCAAGTCACTATTATACCCGTACAACTCTACCTCAAGAAGTGTCATGGATAAAAGTCATGCCATGACAAGCTTGTACATTCGGCCAAGTCAAGCCTGGATGACTCCTGTACATCTTTCGATCGTATATGGTCCCCTGGCTGATCCAATCGAGTGCGCTTTGACCTGTAACATGAGCCCAAACCTGCGCTGTCGTGCATTTTCATACTAGCGGAAGGACCAGTCAATGGTTCAAATGCACTCGAGCCTCTAATCGAGGCTCAAGGTAGCCTTTATTATCCAGCGTATATCGAAGCGTTTTGTAAGAGTCATCTTACAGTCGGTCGACGTCAAAGAAAGGTAGACAACGGCTTCGACCTGCAAACCTTGACATCGAGTCATTTGTCGCTGTCCTTGTTCAACTCATTGATTCTTTGCCTCGGTAATTGGTTCCACCAAGTATTGTAAGGTAAGCATTTGACGCCGAGATCAAAGTTGAGGGCGAATGAGGAACAACAAGTGGCAAAGACAGTAGAAGCGTCACCATGAAAACGAACGGCATACCTATTTGATCGGTTGACAGATGACAGCAGCAGTTTTTGAGCGTCCAACCTCTCTGCCGATGCAGCAATGTCAATTGTTATTCTTGTTGATCTCGCGTCTCTACTAGAAGACACCACCACCACTACTTTGCACCATAGTGGGCGTGCACTTGCACGGTTCACACTAAACTAAAGCTTCTCTTTCACACTGAAACACTGGTTCAGGACAATTTTAGTCTTTGTTAAGGAGAATTCGGCATACCACGTAGATCCAAAACGTCCTTAAACGCATCTCAGCAAGCGTGGGTAGTTTTTCACCTGAATCTCGATTATTGCTGCACTACGTGCTTTCAAAGAGCTCGCGTTGCTGTGAAGGAAGTACCTGGGCATGGCGGTCGACAAGAGAAAAGTGGTCGATAGCTGCTGTCAGACTACTACGAGAGAGAGTGCCATGAGATGGTACCCCAACAAACGACACGCGCACGTCAATACAACGTGCTGCGTAGCCGGCATTTGTTTCCTGTGGATTCACGCGTGATTAAGGCGTATGATCAATCGCATCAAACTCTGGAGCGATGCAAGCCTAGCTTCACAAGTGTTTTCACGAGGTTAAGATGAAAAGCTTGACTTTGTCAAGTACTTGTGAAGTCTGAGCACGTTTTGCTACGACTCGATGGAGTTGTGCCGATCTGTAATGTGCACCCGGCACTTACCTACCACGACGTACGTGAACGAGTTCCGCCTCACTGGATTTAGCTTCTACGTCTATAGACTACTACAACTTGTACGAGCCCAGCACAAAATCGCTAGTGATCTCGTCGCGCAACGACGTCAACAGTCAAGCTTGTGGATAGTCTAGGCATTCGGTTCAGTTTTCTTTGCAATACTTATGACCATGAGCACGTGCTGTTCGCCTTCAAGCTACTCCGTGTCCGTGTCTTTCCAGGTTATAGACGCGAGTCATCGTGAAAGCCCCTAACGTCAGGTAGGTAGGTAGGTGGACGTCAAACAAATGCCGCTGTTATTGTCATCTACCGCTACAGCTATAAAGTCCCCGACTCGATGGTGTGCTGCTATAACACCAACGTCCTATGCGGTGCATCCTGCTCCAGCGTGAAAAAAAAGCTGTCAGCCTCGCAAGCAGGTTGTCATCCGTCATCTTCCTGCTGAAATACCACCCAAACACCGCGACAATGTGGTGTCATGATGACAACGTCATGCTTGTACCTGCCTCCACACGAAGCAGACGTCGATATGCCGTGGCGGTGACAAGGTGCAAAATGAGCACGAACCTCCTGATAGCAATGACTAGGTCAAGCTGCCGCCACTGCTGCAACCTTTGTAGAGGCAGCGCAGTAGTAGAGATGGCAAACATGAGCAAAGCACAGCTGTCGTGAGGGTCCGTGATCCTCCTTTACTTATCGTCGTCGACCGAGAAGAAGTACTGGAAGACAACAGCGTGCACGTCTCGCGGTCAGTGCCGTTCACGCGACCTTGAGAAGCGGTTTGAGACACTCGTCTCATTGAGACCTAATGACACGCACACACGCGTGTTACATCCATCCATCTCTCCATGCGCGACCCGCTCATTTCGAAAGAAAGGATTTGCACAAATGCCTGTAGTAGCCAGGGACCCGCGCATGGTCGTCGCTGGAAAATACATTCAGTCGACAGAAGCGAGAGTGCCTTGAGATGGGATGTTGAAGGGCGAGCGCCATGCGTAACATAAGTCTCTGCTAAAGACGGTGGGACTCGTCCCATGTCCTGCTCTTTTTGCGGGGTACCGTCAATTGGCTAATGCCCATGTCCAAACAAAGACGAGGAAGTCCTCGAGTGCGACATCTCGTCGTGACCTGCTGTCCCATCGGCGGACGATTATGACCGTTTCCACTTTCCAACTTGTCGACTGCTCGAGACAGCGAGCGAGCGAGTCAATCCATCCATCCATCCATCGACTGTCGTAAAGACCCGATTAGTACTGGACTTGTCGACTGTCCCCGCGAGCAAATGAGTCACCGGTTTCCACTGCACGACAAGGTGTTTCCTCCGCTGCACTTGTCCGAGTCGACCAAGGCGACATTCGTCGACATGGCCCACCAGCAGCTCACCTTGGCGTTGCACGACTACGATAAGTACCGGAGATGGCAGGCGTCTCGACCCCCGAGTCTTCGGCACCAGTTGCATCCAGCAATGTGGAAACCTGTCAAGTCCTGTGAACAGCTCACTGTCTACCGGCAAGTCCCGAGAGACGATGCCGTCGTGACGATTCCATCGAGTACGAAGCCCCGCCGGACACGGAGTCGAACTCTGGACGGCATCGACTTGCCTCCCACGACTTCAATCGCCACGACTGCAACCACGGACTCGGTGTCGTCGTCTGCTTCATCGAAAAAGTCCGTCACTGTGTCCTCGTGGACGATTCCGAAGCGAGGGTCAAACCCAACAGCTACTAGAGAGTGGCTGCTGCCAACGTTGCTGCAGGTCGGAGCCATTAAAGGAGCGCTGGACGACGTCATGTACGGCTTGACTTCCTTTGACGCTGCTGGGTCGTTGATCCGCTCGTCGTACACGGACGAAGAGGTCGTGGACGCCGACACGTTGCATCAACTTCAGGGACCAACCCGGAAGGAGCCATTCCGGTTCCTCGGACTCAAGTGGGTCGTCCGATCGGCTTCGTCGACGGTCAAGGCGTTTATCTGGCCACGAGACGTGACCGTCCTTGCATCGACTGGAGTGCTCACTCGTCCAAGTGGTGAACGCGTGGGGTATCACTTGATGCACTCGGTGGACCTCGGCCAAGGCTTTGGTCCGCTGGAACGAAAGCGGATTGTTCGTGGCCAGGTCTCGTCGTGTTATCTGTATCGCCAGACGTCGACAAACACGGTGGATGTCCACATGAAGACGAACTTTGAGCCGCATGGATCAGCTCACGAGAGCGTCGCGTTCATGTTTGCGGTAAACAGCCTCACGTACTGCTTGAAGTCGGCCATCTGTGCGCAAAACAAGAAGTTGTCGTGGCTACTTGCTCGCCCCAAGACAGCCGAGCCGCAGAGTGGTGCGTCCACTCGACCGGACAAGATCACCGTGAAGAAACAGCGCTCGGACTGTTGCGTGTGTACGAAACCCATCGGTCCCTTCTCGCGAAGCCACACCTGTCGCGTTTGCGATGCTCGAGCCTGTCACACTTGCTTTGTCAAGAAGAAGCTGAGCTTCTCGGGTTCCGGGCACAAGACAGTGGAGCAGCGCTCGGTTGTGATCTGTACGCACTGCCTCACGCATGCGCGAAGGTTGGCGTCGCTGGACATTGCACGACAGGAAGTTACGCAGCGTGAGCGGTTGGGTCGAAGACGTGGGCTGCTTCATCACGGCACGGACGCGACGTCACGGAGCCGGGGTCGTCGTAGCAACAGCCGAGTGAACAATCCCGGCAAGAATCGATCGACGAGACACGACGATCGAGACGAGTTGAGAGCTGCTGAAGCCGAGCGGAATGTTCGCTCTGCACCGGTGCGACGGGCGAGTCGACCGCTACTTCGGGCCCGTTCGCTCCGAAAGGTGACGTCAAGTACGAAAGCCGCTTGGGATGACAACGCCGACACGGAAGACGACGACGATGATGATGAGAAGCAGTCGAAGTCGAATCGGTTCGCCGACGTTCAGCCTCGTACGAAGCACCGATCAACGCAAAGCGATCGTGGCAGAAAGATCGTGCTTGAACCCGACGTCGTCAGTCCTGTGCTGGAGGATCGAGAGCTGCAGAGTCTCGACATTGACGTACAAGCCGGACGCAGTTACGTCGTGAGTGTGCAGGCAACTGCTGCAATGCCGATGCCGGATGACTTACTGCCTGAAGCGGTGGAGCAGTACGCGTGGGGGGCAGTCGTTCCCTCGCCGGTGAATTATCAACCGGTTGAGCCTCAAACGGCGTGGCCGTCACCTCCGTCGTCACCGTCTAGTTTGCTGTCACTGCCTGAAGGTGACCGATGTACTGGTGCGATATCGCAGGTACCGCAGTCGTCCATTCCTCGTATCCAAGCAGGAGCATCGACGCAAGAAGTGCTCGCTCAGTTTGCCGAGCTTTGCCATGCTGCGGACAATGTGTACTGGGCAGCGAAGATGCACACGGTGGACTTGCCGGAGCCGACGTTGTTCTCCAAGCGACGAATCTCTCGACTGGACATGAGCGCAGTGGACTAGAAGCATGGCTAGGGTGTCAACTTGCGACGTGGGTCTAGGTAAACCCCATGTATTTGGTGCTGCACTTGATGGACAACTTCAACCTGTGTAGCCATTATTATCACTATTAACCACCACTTTCGACTACAGCAGTGTGCTCCCGTTTGACAAGAACTATATCGTCCATCGTCGCTCTTTATACCGCCAATAGTCGTCGTGTCACCCATTCCTTCTGCTCTCACGCTACTACAATGAGCTCATTACTATCCTGTTCATACCCGTTTCCTTCCCTCTCGTGTCACTTTCAGCAACTAACTCAACACCTGCTTTACTCTCTCTCACCGCCCTCCTCCTCCTTCCTCCACCAGTCGGTTGCGGCTTACACTTCATACGCTTGGAGCGTAGTAGGCGCTTTAGCGTGGATTTGGTCGCACTTGAGCTGAACAGCCATCTGACGAATCACACTGGCACTACGCAAGCAACCCATCGTGCGGTCGTTCTTGCCCGAGCCAGCGATCTCAAGACGGTCCCGAACGTGCTTGCGCACTCGGGACACGCGATGGCCAACAGCCACAAAGCTAAACACCGCGAGCAAGAGGCAAATGGCAAACGACACGAATCTGCCACTCAAGAGCGCAAAGATCGTCAATAGCACCAGCACCAAGCGACTCGCATAAGCAAGGAGACCAAGTGACAACCCAAGAGGGTACGACTTAGTAAGACCCAGACGGGTCTCGAGCTGGGCCAATGGAAAGCACGGACAGCAGGAGACCCACCAGTAAAAGGCCGTGCGCCAATCGCCATCGTCAAGTGTGACCGTCCACTCGTTCATGCGGAACCCATTAGGGTCAAAAGCATTTGACGCTGTATTCGGAGTCTGTACCTTGTGGTCGGGGGGTCAGTACACTCACGTACTCGTCGTTGGTAGAATTCTCTCCGACAAAACCCGGCATTGCGGGCAAGCGGGGTTGAGAATGGTGCGTCTTGTCCGTCATAGCAAAAAGCAACTCGGTGGTTCTTGAGGCGTTTGATGCAGACTTGGTGGTCAGAAGTCGTGCAGCTTGTAGCTCTTCTTCTTCTTCTTCTGGAGCACGTGTCGCAGATGCACGGACGTTGAGCGGGGGAGGGGTCCTGTGTCTCGGACCGTGGAATTCAAAATGAGCTCTCGAGTGAGTTCCTTTTTTTGTTTTTCTTGTTCTGGGATGATGCCCGTTGGTCGCATCAAGCGACATGTTGAACTTGGATGGGGCATGCACCTGCGCAAGTCGATATACACGTGTGACAAGAACAACAGACGCAGTGGGGGAATCGACACCTACGATAGTTACTAAACTTCGGATACGAACTGATCAAGAGAGTCGCACAGGCTGCGCTTTGTCCGAATGAAAACGGGACAAAAACTGGCCATGTAGCTCCATCTATTATGGGCGCAGGTAAGTACGTCTCAACGGCTGCGGAACTAGAATTCGGACAGGAGCAGGTATACGTCGTATACGTCACATACGGCGGCTCTCCTGCGACATGGTGATGCACGCATTTAAGTATTCAGTCTCAGGAACATGAAATCAGTGAGCCTGCACTTATCATCATTAACTGGAAGAGACTGTTCTTGAAAAGGTATCCTGTCGTAGCGACAATAGAAGATGCGAGACCGTGCGAGCGTCTGTATACATACACATTCGTATAGCGTACGAAACAGCCAGGACAGTCCCATGAGCACGCGATCCAGGTCGACGCAGTCCCAGCGCGTGGCGCGCCTTCGTAACCTACTTGCTCACGATCTAGTTACTGTCATGCCATGCTGCTACGATGGATTGAGTGCGAAGCTTATTGAGCGCGCAGGCTTCGAAGTGACGTTCATGACTGGTTTTGGCGTGTCTGCCGTCCATGGCCTGCCGGATACACAGGTATACGTGTATACTCAAGCTACTCACTTTTTGGCGCATACACTTGTACTTTCTGCCACCCCTAACCCCCTCCTAACCCTATATCCTGCTACTTGTAGCTCGTGTCGTTTGGCGAAATGAGTCGCACTGCTGGAATCATCTGCGAGTCGCTACGTGACATTCCGTGCATTGGTGACGCTGACACGGGCTACGGTAATGCCGTGAACGTGAAAAGGACTGTGGCAGCATATGCCCAGGCAGGTATGGCCGGTATCCTGCTGGAAGACCAAGTGTCGCCGAAACGATGTGGCCACACTGCTGGAAAATCGGTCGTCTCGCGAGACGAAGCGTTTGCTCGCGTGCGTGCGGCGGTAGACGCTCGTCGAGAAGGTCAATTTGACCTTGTCATACTGGCGAGGACGGACGCTCGTGGAACCCATTCGTTGGATGAGGCGATTGCTCGCTGCAAAGAGTTTGTAACCCTCGGGGCAGACATTACGTTCCTCGAGGCACCACAGTCGATCGAGGAGATGGAGACGTACTGCAGAGAAGTGCCTGGTCCTAAGATGGCCAATATGGTGGAAAATGGTCTGACGCCAGTTTTGCTGCCGGAACAGCTTGGAAAAATGGGATACACGCTCGTGGCGTACCCGATTACATTGCTGAGCGCCAGTATCTCTGCGATGGAAAAGGCGTTGAAGCTGCTCAAGTGCCAGACAGGTGAAAAGAAAGAGGAAGGCTCTGCCGAAAACGCCACGCCGTGTGCGGCACTGGACCAGTTGCTGTGCGACTTTGGACACGTAAAGGACGTTGTGGGCTTTACGGAATACTATGCGGAGGAGGAGCGATACAAGGCATGAGCAAACGATAGCCGCTACCACTGGCCATCGGATCGGACAAACTAATGTTCGAATGCCGCTTTTCCTCATCGCTTGACTTCAACAGTATCGCCCATTTGGTATGGTGAATGTTTACGCTGATTGCGGGTAAAGCAAAGCAGTGGATACATGTGTGGATGTGTAAATTGGGTCGCTGATTGCGGTCTTCTGTGCGCCTGACAATGTCCGCTGACCAGATTGTTTTGAGCTCGATTCATGTTGGCAGGACCATCTGCTTTGAATCGAGAAGATTCCGTGAAAGCGCAAGCTGTTCTCAATTGGCAATAGGTCTCTTACGATACGCAGACTTCACCATATTCCCGACGGTCATGCTGTATTTTTCAGACTGTGGAGGGTCAATAGAACATGTTACGGGCAACATTCTAGTGTGTGACTTTATCTCGCGCAGGTAACTTTGTGCTTTTCACTGATTCAAGCTCGCTAGTTCTTGCATTTAGGCTGGGGCAGAGCGACGTCCGCTGTTTTGTCAACACATCATTGGACCCGACTTTACAATCAAAGTTTCCATACATTTCCCACATCTTTTGCTTCCATGCAAGTAATTTCCTGGTACACAGTTGAAGTCATCCACAATCCAACATACACTTTGCTCTTCTTCTGCGCGCTCTACGTCTTACTCTACGAATAAACGTAATTCACCTACGTCCTCTCTATTGAAGAAGCAGTAGTCGCTGCAAAAACGTGGCAGTCGGCCGACCACTTCAGTTGAATGGCAGTTTCTATCCTGGGATGGTGTAGTAAAATCAGGGCGAAAATGGTTGGTGTCGAAGAGATGGAAGCATGGTAGAAACTTGGTAACGACAATAACACTTCTACATTTTGCATTGGCATCTTCCTATTCTAACAGGTTATGAGCCCAAACGGTGATACTGATGCCGCTGGTGCAACTGGCGCGCAACCTAGGGCACTGACTGGTCGCGAAAGGGCCAGCAGCCTACAGGGCGAAAATTTAGAAGTCAAGGCAGAGGCGGTGCCAGGGAACACGGAGCAAAGGATGTTGGACCTACTGACGGGACTAGCGGAGCGGATGGCTAAGCTAGAGGCGTCACAAGGGACCAAGGACCAGCCGATGGACAAGGAGTCCAGTGTGTTCGGGTCAGCAATAGGCCTGGGGCAACCGATGAATCGGCGTGCTCTCGACGTGACACCGCCGAGGGCTCCTTCTCCACATATGTCGCCGGGGACGTACTTCGGGATGAACCAACCGGGGTATGCAAGGGCGGCTGAGAACGTCGAGAGGGCACAGGCGCCGCAGCCGGGGTTACCACAACACTTTGTGCCACCTCCAGTGTGCCAGCAGGCGCAGATACCGCAGCACGTCCCGTCGTATGCGAGAGTGCCGGACGCTAGACAGCGCAAGCTGAACATCCGTCATTTCGATGGAAAAGAGCTTTACCAGGGGCTAGGGAGCGGTTTTCTATCCTGGGGGAAGAAGTTTGTACGGGAAGTCTCTTTTGCTGAGCGTGCGAGCGGATTTCCGTGGAGTGAGGATGTCAAGATAGACGTCCTTGGACACAATCTCACGGGAATGGCTGAGCGGTACTATAATCGCCAAGTTGAAGGGTGGTGGCAAGAAGAGCCAACATTGGAACACGCCATGCAAAGGCTGCTTCATACATTCGCAACTAAGATAACGCCAGCGCAAAGTATGAAGCTATTTACTGCTGCCAAGAGCCCCAAGCGCAGCTGGACAGAACACTATTTGTATTTGGTCGCAGTAAGCGAGGCATGCGGTGGAGCAGACAACTTGGTCCAAGACAACATAGTCCACTACGCTGATCCGGCAATGAGAGTTTCAATGCTGGCGCGTTTGAATCTAACAAGATTTGATTACTTGCGCCAAGCGGAGGAGCTGGCTCACTTCGCGCAGTCGACGGAGATCGAGCTGCGCGGAAAGCACATTGGAAAGGACGTCGTCAACAACGTTCGACATGTGCGCGAAAAGACACGAAACGGGCGTAAGGACAATCGCAAGTGCTACAGCTGTGGGAAATCTGGACACATAAAAGCTGCGTGCCCGGGGAACAAGGTCTCAAGAGAAGCAAGCGTCGACGTGGACTTTGTGCTCGCAGTGGGCAACTTGAGCGCTAACCACGGCTATTGGATACTGGACAGTGGCTCGAGTAGTCACCTGGTAAACGATGTGAGCATGCTCGAGAACCCAGAGGACTGCCAAAGCGAGTGTATCGCAGCTGACGGAGGGCCCTTGCGCATAACGAAGCGAGGAAGCGTCACAATCACGACCACTGTAATGGGCAAGGTCACTAAAGTGCGACTCCTGGACGTGCAATATGCCGAGAACCTCGAAAGGAACATTATATCCTACGGTATATTGGAGGCTAAAGGGTTTGGGATAGCCTACATGGGTGATCGCAGGGTCGTCGGCAACATTGACAGTGGGGTGGTTGTCTTTGACGTGGAGAAGAAGAACAACGTGCTAATAGTGCGGGACCACGATCGCGGAAGTGTTCAGCTACCATCGGACATACTAATGACGGCTTTAGCGCAAGGAGAATTCGAAGTGAGTCAAGACGTGCAACGGGGCACGCTTATGCATTTTCACAGAAGGTTGGCTCACCTGAATTATGACACGATCCTTCGCATGGCAAAGGATCCAGCCTCAGGGATACAGCTGACCGATGAAACGCGTGAGAACTGTCTAGCTTGCGCTCAAGGTAAACAGACCAAGAACCAGCAGTCGAGAAAAGACACTGGCACGAATGCGCCGATTGATGTTATCGGAGGAGTCATCTGCTCTGACCTGAAGGGTCCCATGACTCCTCGCGACAGATTAGGAAATCGTTACATGGTTAATTTTGTGGATCATCGCACGAACTACTGCAGAGTTTTCCTGGCGAAGAGCAAAGACGTGGCGGCCCAAAAGTTTAAACACTTCATGGCATTTTTCGAGAGGCAATTTAATTGTCGCATTCACGTGCTGCGAACGGACGGCGGAGGAGAATATCGTACTCTGGACCTCTTTTGCAAGGAAACAGGAATTGCGAGGCAAATTAGTGAGCCAAGCAACCAAGCCAGCAATGGGAAGGCCGAGAGGATGCATCGCACCATTATGAATATGGTGCGTAGCATGGTGTTTGCGTGCGGACTGCCGCTGAGCTTCTGGGGGGACGCGGCGGAGTATGCGGCCTACATACTGAATCGAAGCCCAAGTAAAGCCAACGCTGGTCGCCTATCACCTCTACAGATGTTGACCAAGAAGGTACCTGTTTTAAGTGATATTGTGGTTTTTGGGTCACCGTGCACTGTGCACCAGGACGCGAAGAACAAGTCACTAGGAGCTCGTGGCAAGCAAGGCGTGATCATAGGCAAGAGCGATGAAGTGAAAGGGTACCGTGTGTACATTCCAAGGGACAAGGTCGTGGTCGTAACTCAACATGTTAAGAACGTTGAAACCCTTACGAAGGAACAAAACGATCAACTACGGCGTGTGCATCTGAAGGAGATTTATGAAGTTGCGTGCGATGGCTCGACGCAGAAAGAGAAGACGCAAGCGACTGTTCATGATGCGATGAGAAGAAACCACTCGAAAGTTGGTGGCTGGACGCGAGAGGCGCATGTGACGAGGGCGACTTCGAGAAAGTCACGCGAAGACAATGCAGAACAAAAAGAGGAGGAGGTTTCGGATGTGGTGAATGTCATTCGTGAGAGCGACCCAAAATCCTACGGTCAGGCCATGAAGAGCGGCTTAAAAGATAAGTGGGTGGCAGCAATGGATGAGGAGCTGCGAGCTTTGGAAGACAACGATGTGTGGAAGGTGGAAGTGCCGCCCAAGGGAAGCCATGTCCTACACACCAAATGGGTGTTCAAAACCAAGTTGAACGCAGATGTAACGGGGCACCCTGAAGCTTGTACTGGTGACAGTACAAGCTACTTATTCTGATAACAGAATAAGGCGGTGCCTCGTAACTTCACGTACACTCGTACGTGCAGAGGAAGACGGTAAGAAGAAGCGAGTACTTGGTTAGAGTAAAAAGTAGAACTGTATTTATAATAGTTAATGTCTGCAATAAATCACTATTTATCTTCATCTAACTATGTCTAAATACAAATGTGTAAATCAGTTATCTGCTCACCACTCATTGCGTGCGTCTGTCGTGGCGCTCTTCGTTGGTTGATATAATGGCCTATATCAACCAATTAGGAACTACTTGGAAGTGCTACAGAATATTGTCCTTATGACAATATTCTGAGAATATAACTCTTATAGTTATATTCTATTAACAATTTCTTATAAATTGTTATGTAACGATTCACCCCGTTACATCACCCCCCCTTAACCATCAGTCACTTTAGTGACTGATTGACTAAATGGATACTCGTCCCAAATCATTTGGGACGGGGTTTGCACTTGTTGGTCCGCGTCCACTTTCCAACATCTCATCGCATGGTAAACAAGCCCATGCGATGCGCGAGCAAGGCCGCCGAGAGCGCGTCTGCACGTCTCTGTGCGGACGCCGAAGCAGAAACTACAGCAACTGATATCCCATCGGTTGCTGAATCGACTCAGCCTGTATCACCTGGTGATGCAGGCGCTGGTCATGAAGACACTCGTGTCTTCACAGAGTACGAGCTCGGTGTCTCGTACTCTCCTGATACGGATGACGGATCCGTATCGACGGCAATTGAATCCAAGCCGCCTGCCAAGCGTGGCATGGACGATGCTTTGCGTCGCAGCATCTTTGGTTCATCTGATGAGTCAGATGAACCATCGCCGAAGCGAAGGCGCTCGAGGTCGCGAGACTCGGGCGCTAATAGTGGTGTCGTTTCTCCAATGGACACCACTTCACAGCGAGGTGCCAGTACTTCTGTCGGCACGTCGCAGGAAGAGCGGGACCGCAATGTGTTGCGTCTCGCTCCAGAAAAGAAGGCATGGATGCCTCCTAAATCTGTCATGGATCACTTGTCGGCGACGACGAGTGATCGTTATCGAACACGATTGTTCGATTCGTCAAGGATTCATCACCTTGACCCCAGCGCGAAAGACTATCGCGCTGAACATGAGTTCTTCATCGATGCTTTCTTCAGACATCGATGGTACAGTGGGAATCACAAACGTGATGGTCCCTCACTACTTCAGGCGTGGAACGCCTACATCCATAACCTCGAGGATGTAGGTCGTGACGCTTGGAACGACAAACTTATCAAAGCTCGTGATAAGTTTGAAAAGCGAACCCCGACAGGTGCACGCTACAAGCTGCATCGTCTGTCAAGGGAGAAAGGATTACCCTGCCTCTCTTGGGGAGACTCGTGCCCATGTTGTGTGAACAACTCTGCACGAGCACCTAAGGAGGCTTACCTCCTTACCAGCCCGTGGTGGCGCGTACGTGTCTCTACTGAGATGTACGAAGGGATTGACAACCTGAAATCCCTTTACGACCGTGCCGGGAAGACTTTCTCCGGCGGTCCTTCTGCGGCACAGGATGTGTCGCGTCGTACTGCTCGACCAGACCCAGTACGTCAACCATCAATTGGGAGCGGGGCTCCCAAGAATCCCAGGACGGGGGATAGCCGCGCCACCGGACGAGGTAACTCGTCCGACGTCCGTTCACGTCGCGGTGGTTCAACAGCTGCTCTACTAGATAGCGCTGGCCACCGCGAGAGTCCTCTAATGGAGGTGGAGGAGGAGGAAAGACGCTCTCCACACGATCATGTGGATCGGTGTGTTCCCGAGAGCTTCTTTGATCGCGTAACGCAAGGGTTACGCGACGATCTCGAGCATGAGCGGAATAGGCGTCTCCAGATGGTGGACACTGCCTTGAAGCATCGAGCTGAGTTTGCCTTTGCTCAGCTTGAGAACGAGAGATCTCTGACATCTCTTCGTGACGAGCTAAGGGTAGCTCGTGGGATTGTTGATCGGTCTCGGGCTGAGATAACTGCTCTTCAGACCCTTGTTGATGCCCACCATCGGGAGCACAAGGCTCTCTGCGAGATGCTTGAGCGCAAGGGCGTTCTTCATCGGAAGAAGCAGCGTACTGATGGTACGGCTTAAGCCGACCAACGTAAAACGTGGGATGCGTTCGCATCTTACGTGGTAACTCGATCGTGTATGCATTGCCTAGGCGGTGCAATACACGAAATGGGCCAATGTACTTGGGTAGTAGTTTACTGCTACCCAAGTTAGTCACTACATGTTTTGGTAGATTAACCGTAGACAGTAGGACTAAGTCACCTTTATTAAATAAAAGAGTGTTTGCCCTTCCATTCTTGTCAGCGTTTTGCTTTTGCTTATCCACCGCTTCGGCGATGGAGTCTTGCACAAAACGGACTACCGTTTCACGAGCCAGTATGAACTCATCTGATGACTCGTTAGCTTCAGTGTGCTGTGAGCGCACTGCAGCGACAACAACCTTTTCTTCAGTGAGGGCTTCCGCACTCTCACTGGGATCATTGTCTTCAGTGAGGGCTTCCGCACTCTCACTGGCATCATCTTCTTCGATATCGATGTTATCGATATCGGCATCAAACGCAATGACTTCTTCGTCAGAGCGTGATGAGCGTGAACCAAATCGGTTTTTGCTCGCGCGAGTCCCTCCCCCTTAAACCAGAGTTACACTCTAGTAAGGTGGGTACACGCGGATGGCGCAAGCCATTCACGTAAAACGGTGTATGTGTCGTGGACGCATGCACCGAGTTGTTGATGGCAAACTCTACCATCGGCAAAAAACTCACTCCAACTCTTAAAGGAGTGTACGTATCCTCGAAGTATCTCTTCAAGGACACGATTGGCACGTTCCGTCTGACCATCTGACTCTGGATGATCAGATGTTGACATCTTCAAGCGCGTTCCGAGTGATTTGAACACGGAACGCCAGAAATCAGCAGTGAATCGTGGATCTCTGTCTGATACGAGTTCACGGGGCAACCCATGAAGTCGGAAGATGGTGTCAATAAAGACACAAGCACAGCCACTTGCCGTGATTGTCTCTGGTACAGCCACAAGGTGTACCATTTTGCTGAATCTGTCAACAAATACGAGAATACCCGTATTCCCGCGTGCGTCTTTGGGTAACCCGAAGACGAAATCCATTGAGATGGATTCCCAGCACTCAGCCGGAACCGGTAGAGGCTGTAAAGGTGCACGCAGTGAAGGACTTGACTTCACTCGTTGGCAGACTTCGCATGCGCGAACATACTTTCGCACAAACTGATACTGGCGGGGCCAGTAAAAGTCTCGACTTACCGTGAGATATGTTTTCTCTCGGCCACGATGTCCTCCTATAGGAGCATCGTGATACTCGAACATGATCCGCAAACGCAGATCAGTATCATCTGGAATGACAACACGTGGTGTGTCACCAGAAACGGCTGTATAGTACAGTAAACCGTTACGAGTAGTGTATCGATCTGATGCAGATCGATACGCAGACGACAATCGTTTCAACGATTCTCGAGATGGTTGGGAGAGATGTGACAACAACTTCACTATCTCACCATCTTGGGCGTATGCCCGCCTCACATCATCATACAACGTTGTAGATGGAACTGAGGACGTCATAACCGCAACAGTGACTGTCTCACTGTTGGGTTTCGCGACTGTTTCAAAGTCGGGACGACGTGAGAGTGCATCAGCGACGACATTAAGTCGTCCTGGTTTGTACTCGACCGTAAAGTTGTATTCTGCAAAGAATGACAACCACCGCGCCATTCGTTGTGAAAGGTGCGGGCTGTTCACTGCCGTGCGTAAGGACGCATGGTCAGTGTAAACAACGAAGGGTCTATCTCCTAATAGATAGACTCTGAACTTCGCGAGTGCATACTTCATGGCAAGGAGTTCCTTGTCATGCACTGGATAGTTCCGCTCAGCTGGTTGCAGCTGACGCGACTGATAGCAGACGACGCGTTCAACGCCTTCAAGGTCGTACTGCATTAATGCACAGCCGATTGCGAAATCGCTGGCATCACAGACCACATGAAATGGCCTGTCCTGATCGGCTATTGCTAGGACTGGGGATTGTATCAAGCTCTGCTTGATACCCTCAAAGGAGCGTTGACATTCAGCGTTCCATAACCACCTCTCGTTCTTTTTCAACAAACGAGAGAGGTGTACAGTCATCTCGGCGTAATTGCGTGAATACTTATGCAAATACGCCGCTAGCCCAAGGAATTTTCGAAGACCTTTGACGTCGACCGGCACGGGCCAGTCGGTGATCGCCTTGATCTTTTCGGGATCAGGACGTACACCGTTCTTACCAACGATGCACCCAAGAAGTGGTATTTCGCTTGCTGCAAATATACACTTCTTGAGGTTTGCATACAATTGATGCTTTCGCATGATTGTAAGAACTTGTCGGACGTGGTACTTGTGAACCTCAACGTCCGACTTTCCATCCATAGCTCGACTATGGATGAATACGTCATCGAAATAACTTGGCGCGAATTCTCGTACTGGCCTCAACAGATGTGATACACACCTGTTGAACGTGGCAGGGGCATTACTGAGCCCTTGTGGCATTACTAGCCATTCCCAGAGCATGCCGCTAGGCGTGCTAACTGCGGTATAGGGTATATCCCGTTCCCGCATTAGGATTTGATAGAAGCCATCCATCAAATCCATGGACGAAAAGATGGTACTCTTTGACATACCATCAATGATTACGTCCTTCCTCGGTATCGGCGTCTGAGCCGGTACCGTTGCAGCGTTCAATTTGTTAAACGCGTGCACTATCCGCCACCCTCCAGTTGCTTTTCGCCCACAGAAGGTCGGAGAGCTATGTGGGGAAGTTGATTCCCTCACATGGCCCGCTGCTAAACGATCGGCAAAGAACTTGTCGATCGCAAGTACTTGTTCACGAGGCAGTGGCCACTGCTTCATGACACAGTACTTCGAGCCTGGTTTAAGCTCGACTTCGTGTCGAATACCTTTATCCTTCGGTAATTCGCACGGAACAGTTTCAGGGAATACATCCTTGAATTCAACCAAATCTTCATAGAGAGGATTTTTCTTGAGCGATTCCCATGATTGGGACTCATATCGCTCAATTCGTGTCTTTTCATCTAGGACACTCTCGTCCATAGATGAACTACTGAGAACTCTCTCGTTCTCAGTAAACACTGTTGCTGACCTTATGTCGGTTACATACTCGTCTTCAGCGACGAGTATGCAGATCTGCTTGACTTTGCCACTACGCAGATCACGCAAGAATCTTTTATGTTCGAGCGTTGGCAACTGAGTGATCTCCGAAGTTAACTTCGGAGGCGCAATCAGATCAAGTGTATAAGCGCCTACACATGATCCGTTATTGACTATGACATTCAATGTCTCTGTCATTTCCTGGGGACTTATTCCCTCAGGCTTCGAAGGACTTATTCCTTCGTCTTCCCGGGGACTTATTCCCGCGGGTTTCGGGGAACTTATTTCCGCCGTATTTGTAATCTTGGTACTTATTCCCTTTACTTCCTCTAGCTGGGGTTGCGCAACCACAGCGAGATCCTCTACGAAAGACTCTCCAGTCGATCTAGGATTATCGTTTCGCTTAACCTGAGCGATCGATTGTTTCTCTTCTAGATGTTCCCCTCTAGGGATACATCTTTGTCCCAGTCCACCCGACTTATTCGAGTGGTGGACCTTCGGCGCAGCCTGTGTTTCCTCACAGCCGCCGGAACTTTGCTCCGAAGTGTAACCGTTTGGTACACTAAGGTTTTGTGCAGTCGTACTAACGACCGTACCACAAGTGAGGCCATCGCACTCACTCGTAGTACATCCACACGCTTGTGGACGCTCCAAAACGTTCATCAGATGGCCATCTGATGAACAAGCGGCAGGCATCGTTACTGTCCGATGTTGCCAGTTTACCCGTGGTTCGTACCTTCTGAGCCACGGTATTCCAAGGATGACATCAAATTTGTCATCCAAATCCAATACGATAAAGTCATCGTCGTATTGGGTATCTTCTAGCGTATAGTGAATCTTCACTATACGCTTCATGACTGGTTACGGATGCGCCTGTCGCAAGACGTACCGTCATCCTCGTAGGAGGTGTGTCACATTCACTGAATTTAAAGTGACCATCTTCTAGCGATTGGCGTCGCACAAAATTGTTGGACGCCCCACAATCGACTAGAGCTCGAAGGGACAACTTATTCGTCACTTCGAGTTTCAAGGTAATGAGTGAGATCTCATTACCTAGAGCAGCAACGCACAATGTCTGTGTGTTGGGAGCAACCTTCATCAAGAGGCCTACAAATTCTCTTGACGTTGCTGGATCAGTAGGGTGCTCCGCACCTACTGATCCTGTCCGTTTTTTGACGGTCCATCCCGTTGTTGCGTCTTTGCACCAACTGCGGACCCTCGTCCCTGCCCCTTTCTCATGGGTGGACGGTCACTACGCCCAGTGTCGCGAGACACTGGACGAGGGGCACTACACTCGTAAGCGTAGTGTCCTGTCTTTTGACATCTGTTGCATCTCTGCAACTTCTTGTAGCCTGTAGAGCGAGCCTTCTCGCTCTCTACATAACAGAGTTCCATCGGCTCTGGACCTCCGCTGTCATATCGTCTCGGTTGACGATATGATGTCGAGCTGGCGCGAGCCTGTCTCAGACTGAAGTCTTCCTGCTCCGCAATTGAAATGGCTTGTTCTAGTGAATCTAGTTCAAGCCGGAACAGGTGAGTCTTGACGGGACCATCCGCAAGACCCTGCATGAACACCGAAACCAACGTGTGTTCATCCACCGGATTGGAACTTATACAACTCGTGAGATGTCGTATATGTTGAGCGTAAGCGTGCACATCACGCTTACCCTGCTTGAGCTTCAAGAGTTCGGTTCGAGCTCTGAACTCAGCTCTAGGCGGTTCAAACGTTTGTCTGAGCCGCGACTTGAAGACTTCCAACGACCCAAACGCGTATGGGTCGTGCAGCTTGAGCCCCAGTGCCCAAGTCTTGGCACGTCCTGCCAGATTTGACTGGGCAAATGCAACTTGCATATCCCCGTCGTCGATGCGACGCGCCCTTATGGCGTCATCCAATTCGACGAACCATCTCAAGAGGGAGTCTTCTTCGACCCCCCTATACTTTGAGATGTCAATCTTCAAAGTCTCGGGCCGACGCGAGTGCATCGACCCGCCAGCAGCAGCCTGCTGCTGTCTCAACAGTTCAAACTGTTGAGCACCTTGTTCTCTCAACAACTCTGCTTGTTGAGAACCTTGTTGGTGAAGCAAGGCTACTTTCTCGCGTTCTGCGTCAAGTTCATTTTGAATGAACTTGGCGATAGTAGCATGTTGGGCATCTCTATTGAGAGCCTCTAGCATGACGCTAACAGCATGGATGCCCATGGTCGAACCCATTCGTTCAACCGCATCCCATTCGACATCGCTCAAATGGGAGTAGCCGTCACGCGTAGCGTGAAAGCTTTGGTCATCTTCATCATCCAACATATTCATGTTGGATGTGAACGCGGTCCTTGGACGGACTACGAAGTGCTACCAGGTGTAACGGGGCACCCTGAAGCTTGTACTGGTGACAGTACAAGCTACTTATTCTGATAACAGAATAGGGCGGTGCCTCGTAACTTCACGTACACTCGTACGTGCAGAGGAAGACGGTAAGAAGAAGCGAGTACTTGGTTAGAGTAAAAAGTAGAACTGTATTTATAATAGTTAATGTCTGCAATAAATCACTATTTATCTTCATCTAACTATGTCTAAATACAAATGTGTAAATCAGTTATCTGCTCACCACTCATTGCGTGCGTCTGTCGTGGCGCGTCTTCGTTGGTTGATATAATGGCCTATATCAACCAATTAGGAACTACTTGGAAGTGCTACAGAATATTGTCCTTATGACAATATTCTGAGAATATAACTCTTATAGTTATATTCTATTAACAATTTCTTATAAATTGTTATGTAACGATTCACCCCGTTACAGCAGAGGGAGAGATCGATCGTTTCAAAGCGAGGCTTGTGGCATGCGGGAACGAGCAGGTCTACGGTGTCGACTACGGGTTGACGTTTGCTGCGGTGATGGAATTGAGCACGGTGAAGGTCATACTGGTACTTGCCCTACGTTGGGGAGTACCAGCAAGACATGGTGACATACCTAACGCCTACGTGAAGGCGAACAAAGAGGAACATTTGGAGATTTTTCTTGCCATACCTCAAGGCATGACTGTACCTGATGTGATTTTGAAGCAATTTGGAACACAAGGCAGCGACAAACTGGCGCTCAGGCTTAAAAAGTCGCTTTACGGCCTTAAACAGGCGGGTCGTCTTTGGAGCAAATTGCTGGACACGAAACTGGTCGAGGCTGGTTTTAGTCGATGCGTGTCTGACGCATGTCTGTATTTCAGACACGATGGAGGCGAGCTGACAATTGTCGGGGTATATGTTGATGATTTGTTGGTGACAGCGACAAGTCAGGACAAGGTGGAAGAATTCTTTAAAGCGATGAGTGTCCTCTCTATTAAGGATTTGGGTCAAGTTAACAAGTTCCTGGGCATGAGGATGGCTCTAAAGGACTCGAAGACTTACACTGTCGATCAGACTACGGCGATCGATGAGATGCTAAATCAACATGGTCTGGATGCAGCAAACGGCGTGAGGGCGCCCATCGGTGACGACAGCAACGACGATGTGTCAGAAGGTGTGTACCTGTCGGCAAATCGGGGCAAGAAAGGCGAGCCTACTGTCCGAAACTTTCAGTCTTTAGTGGGTAGCCTTCTATGGATTGCCCGGTGTTCAAGGCCTGACATTAGCTTCGCGGTTCACAGAGCCACAAGACGTACGCACCAGCCCACTGTCAGCGACTGGAAGCTGGCAAAACGCGTCGCGAGATACCTGAAGACAACAAAAGACATGAAACTCAAGATGAGCCTCGAAGATGAGAAAGATGTTATCACGGTGACATGTTGGAGTGACTCAGACTTCGCGGCAGATAAGTCCGACCGCAAGTCAATAACCGGTGGAGTACTTACGGTGAGTGGAGTCATCGTGCATTGGATCTGCAAAAAGCAGACCGGAGTATCCTTGTCTACCATGGAGGCCGAGTTTACCTCGGCGTCGCACGTTGGACGAGAGCTGCTGGGATTGCGAGAATTGCTGAAGGAGATTGGACTTCCTGTGACGGAGCCAATGAGCATGCTAATGGACAATCAAGCAGCAATCAAGATGTTAGAGTCTGAAGGAAGCATGGCGAGTGCGAAGCACGTGGATGTGCAGATGAAATTCATCTGCGATTATGCTAAAAAGGGTATCGTCAAACCTGAATTCGTCGAGTCGAAGTTGATGAAAGCAGACCTGTTGACGAAGACACTGCCGGCGCCAAGGGTCGCGGAGCTACGCGAATTGTTTAACCTTGTTTGAATGTTGCAGGTGGACCGGATGAAGCGCGTCGTCCGAGGAGGAGTATTGAAGAAGCAGTAGTCGCTGCAAAAACGTGGCAGTCGGCCGACCACTTCAGTTGAATGGCAGTTTCTATCCTGGGATGGTGTAGTAAAATCAGGGCGAAAATGGTTGGTGTCGAAGAGATGGAAGCATGGTAGAAACTTGGTAACGACAATAACACTTCTACATTTTGCATTGGCATCTTCCTATTCTAACACTCTCATCACGTCGCATTGCGCTTTCAACCCCGTCTTTCTGCTCATTCTTGGCCTCTAGATCATTCTCGGCTCATCTTTCAAAACCAGATTTCTCAATTCTTGATCGACGATACCAAACTGGACTTTTGCTCTCGATAGCTGGCCCTCGCTAAGTCATTGGCGAAGACCATGCAAAATCCTGTTCTCTACGCTCTCTGTCTTGTCTTATCTTTCGCCTTCGCAGTTCGCTGAGCTTTTAACTTGATCACTAGGTCTTCAGGTCCCCCAAAAATAGGTTGATGAACCGAGAATAATGCTGTTAACCACTTGCAGCATCAACGTCTACCGTTGCGTTGACCACCCTACTTCAGTCCTTGCAACTCATCGACGACCGACATTCCCCCCCCCAAAAAAAGCGCGTCTTCACTACCACTTTCGACAAAAAGCGCCTTTTTCCATCAACAAAGACACCTTTTATAAAATGCCTCCACGTTGAAGTTGAAGTGGCCATCACTCTCGATTCCGCATCCGCGCGCGCACCTCCGCAACGAGCGCCTCACGTCCGTCGGAAAGCATGTCGGTCCGCCGCGAAGTGGTCTCGCTCTCCCAGCTGCTGCGTCGCAGCGATTCCTCGTAAGCGCTCGCTCTGTCTCTTCCGCGTCACCTGCTACCTAATCCACTGAACGTCGTGCCTTCCAGTGTCGGTCGACAGCACCGACAAACAGCTCACGGCCCGCCGCCGCCGCCGCCATTGGCCTTACAAACCTCAAGACAAAGACTAACCAAGCCACGACTGGCGGATCAAGGTCCAAAGATCGGAGACAGTCGACCACCAATCATCAGCTCCGCGCCGTTCACAGACAAGCCACGGAGCTTCACTCAGAAGCGTGCGCGATGCCGCGTCCGCTTCTCAGCCAGAGAGTCTCCGCTCAAGCTCGGTGTTTGCACCCATGTCTCAAGAAGGTGATGGCTACATTTCACTGATTCACCGTATGCACAGTAGTAGCCACGGCTACTGCTTGTAGTACTGCGTGACTGACGGTCTGCTTGACTGTTTGTGCAGCGTTCGAGGCGGAGAGCGAGCAGTGGAGTGCACTGACGTCCATGTCGCAGTCGTCCGTGTCGCAGTTCCAGTCGCAGAACTTGCTCGGGTCGAGTCAAGAGGGAGATCAGGTGAGGAAAACACGAGATTGCCGTGACACGGGTGGGACCTTCTTCAGTGTCTTGTCACTGATTGTGACAATCATTGGTTCTAGCTGTGGCGGACGCCAGAGCTGCTGCCGACAGCTCTCCCGCCGCCTCCTGCAACTTGCGGCATACAACTACAAGAGCTTGAGAAAAGTATCTCGAAGGCTCTTTCCCAGCAAATGCTCGACCAGAAACAACAACAGCAGCAGCTCCTAACGGACTTTGTCAGTCCGCTCTCAACGTCAGTGGACGATATCCAGAAGAATCTCGCGTTGTGCACTGAAGCGCAGCACAAACACGACGCAGCTGTTGCGGAGCTTGCAGCAGGCGTGAACAACGTGATGGCGACAGTCTCGGCGCTTCGTGAGCAGGTTTTATGACACTGTTAGCTGGGCTGGATCAAAGTTGCTGCTGCTAGTGATACTCATGTTTTGCGTTCCACCACCCACAGAGTTGTAGCAATAGCACAGCAGTTTGTGACGAGATCCGCACGGCAGTGATGAACGAAACAGCGGGCGTGAAAGCGGTGCTCACGAGCCTCCAAGCCCGTTTTGAGACAGTGGAAGACAGCGTCAAGTCATGCTCAGGTCTCGTTGCGGAGGTACGTGAAGACGCCGGCACGAAGCACGACGCACTCTTGTCAGCTGTGGCAGCATCCGCTTGCTCTTGCACTCAAGAAGTCACACCTGTCGAAGCACCGGTGAGTGCTGAGAGACCAAGTAGAAAGCGAAAACGGAGCGTCGAAGCACGGGAAATGGATTCCAGGAGCTATACATTAGCCTCACTTCTTTGCTCACCATTATGTGAATCTCCAGTCCAATATCGAGAGGACGACGACGACGAGGTGTGGAGAGAGAAAGAGGCAAGTGGGATGCAATGCACGAGCCTTCAAGGAGCACTTCAGCAGATTGAAGCTCTCCGCGCAAGGCGTCGCAGCATTCTGCGAATATGGTAACAGGGGTGAACAGGGCTGCATCAGTTGGGCACAAGGTACCGTCTCCTATGCATGACAGGACATGCTCCTGGAGCTGGAAACGCCGACACTATATACAAGCTGTCGCTTTGGGTTTACAAAAATAGTCTCATGTTTTCGTCAGGGGTTCCTCGTGAGGCACAAACTGCTGTTTCGTATCGCTTTTTGCGTCTCCGGACGCACCTAAAACTGGGGTCGTGTCTGTTTGTGTTGTGGAACGGGAACAAATGATAAACCATGACATAATTAGACACTCGTCCTACTTTTACACCTTTCCAGACCATTTACAGGAGTCTAAATAAAGCCTACCGGGTAGCCAGCGCCGTGCGTGGGATCCTGAATGAGTTTAGCGTACTCTTCGCGGACGCTTTTGCAGGCCATCTTGTGGTTCACACCATTCTCACGGTAACACGTAGCTAGCTCTTCACGCACGACTTTAATCGTCTCCTGCGCAAGCTGCACGCGCTTTGCATAATTGCGCTCAGCGGCACGAATAGCCAGGATTTCGTCTTTCGAACGGAGCTGTGCGGCGTACATGACGAAAACGCGGGACTCGTGTGGCAATGTAGAGCTCCGGTGACCTCGAGCTGAGTGACGGGGAGCCTCGAGAAAGCTGCTGAAAGTGTACCAGCTAAGAGGCACCTTCGTACTTTTGTGGGGCAGCGAGAGCTCGCACGCGGAGTTAGCATCCGATCGTTATTAGGGATATATATGCCAAGTAGGGGTTTAGTATATTTTTCAGTTTTGAATCAGCATCAAAAAGGGTTCTTGTGATCGGTAGTCAAGGCACTTGATCGTAAACACATGGTTCGTACACGTTGGCAGCATTGCCGAGATTTGGAAACTCTTGGATCGAAAATCACTCACAAAAAAGTAATTCGGACCATAAAGACGGTCGTCACGGGAGAGATACAACAGTTGACATCAAAAAATGACCTTAAAAAGTCATCACAACGGAAGCTGCATGACTACCAGGGAGTCATTATCGTGCCCCCCTGCACTCGCACTCTACGTCCACTTGACTTACATCTGCATGTACCGGCTACCACCACCTCCACCCTTGGGTCCGTATCCCTCCGACGAAGAATACCCATTTGCGTGATTTGTTCCAGCTCTGTAAGCTGGAGATGCTGATTCCGTGTGACTTGAAGAAGCTGCCGTCCTTTCACCCCGGTATCCAGCTGATGAAGACGAGTCACTCGTATCACCAAAGGCAAACGAATCCATCGACGAGCTCGAAGAAGCATAGCTCACTGAAGCTCCTCGACCAGCAGCTCGACCACCTGCAGCAGCACGTAGACTGCTCACCCACTGCTGCTTTACTTCGCGCGATCTGGCGTGGAGCTGTAGCGGATAGTACTCCTCATTGCGGAACGAGACACCAAAAGCTTCAGGTACCGCACAATTGTCGTCGATAGTCGCCCCAGTGACATCCATGGGCGGATTGACCGAGCGGCAACGCTCATAGTCCTCCTTCGTATCGTAGAAGCTTAGTTGCGGTCCTTCCAGCACAAAGTATCGCTGCTGCCACTTCGCACGTGTAGATCCAGTAGCACCAGATGCCACGTACTGCTTGATAAGGTACCCACACAGGACTTGAGCAAAAGCCGACGAGGCAAACTCCGTTGCACGGTACTGACCCTGTTGTGCTGTATCCGCCAAGCGCTTCATAGTAGCGTTATGGTTTAGAATGTGCTCCAGTTCATTCGTCTTGAACTCCAGCGTCGAGCGCAATCCAGCGAGCTCGGCTGTACAACGTTGCTCTGCTTCCTTCACTCCCAGCTCACACTTCTGCTGCTGCTGAGTAGACAGCTCCTGCATCGCACCTGCCTGTCCTTTCGCCACTGCTACTTTCACACTCAGTTCATTCATTTGCTGCTCAAGAGCGCGCACCTCCGCCATATGGGCTGCGTTTGTGTTCTCCGTGCGTTGGATGGTTTGGGACAAGACACGCTGGCTGATGTATTCACAATACGCGGCATCGGCTGATGGACCCACAGCACGATCAAAATACTGCTGATGCACCACATCCAGGTCGTCTAGCAAAAAGGTCTGGGTTTCACGAAAAAGTTCCGCAGATGACTTTTGGCTATGAAGCTTCGGGTGTGCCAGGTACTCATTTCCGGGTCGACTTAAATCGTCCAGCACGTGCCTGCAATACGCCATTGATGCCGCTGCATTCTGCTGATGGTATGATTTGAACTCGGCAGCTACCGCTTGGCGGAATTGAGCCATATGATCATCATCACCACCAGCTTCAGCTTCATTGCCTATGTTTTCATTGACAACATCGCGCAACTTTTTCTTGGCCAGCTGCTTGCACCAACGATGCACACTGTTCAGCCTGCTATCCGAACAAGGCAATCGTGTGCGTTCCACGCTGTTCACGACACTCTTAGCCTTCGTGTCATCTTCTTTTGCACTTATATCCACGGGACTGCTTTGCGAAACCACTTGGTCGTCTTCAGCCTCATCCAGACCATCCGTCGTCGCCAATTCTGGTGGCAAAACTATGCTTTGCAAATTCCCGTCTTCATCAAACATGGCGTTGCTTCCCTGCCTGTTACCTCCCACTTCAAGTCCACCATTCAAGGCATCGTTCTCGACACCAATCTTTTCAAATCCAACATCGTTCTCGTACTGTTTAGCTGACACATAACTGCGAACTCGTGCACGCATCTCGGTTTTGTAGCACTCGACAGCATCTTCAAGTGCATCCTGACATTGTGCCTGCACGACGCGATTCCAGGCACTGGAGATCACTGGCGCCTTGCCGCTATTCAGTGCCTCGATATACGATTCCGCCAAGTTGACAAACATAGCTCCATTCAGTGATTTGCCAAACATTGTCTTGGGTTTTGCTTTGTCAAACAGCCTCTTGCAGAGACCTTCGAAGTTTAATCGAAACTCATCTCTTAGCTCATCATACGGCACTTGAGGCAAATTCCGTAGCTTTTGTTCATCGTTTACAGGTCGTACCAACGTGACACAATCTCGATGTCGAAAAAAGTCGCTCAAGAGCGCTCGAATCTCGTCTTTACGCACAGCGTCGTCACTCAATCCTCCTGTTGGCTCCAGTGCATTCTCCAGATACTGCTTGGACGAAATGCGTTTGCCGTTTTCCAGTAGTTGCAGCGTAAAGTCACGAACGACCCACATAAAAGTCGGGAAAAACTCGTGCAAGCGGTCGCCAGCGCTCGCTACATCCAGGCCAGGAGATGCTGTCGTTGTTGTTGTTGACGACGTTTGAATGTGCTTGGACAAGTTCACGACGAGCGAGAGGTCGTCGAGAGCGTTGCCATCAATCACTCCACGACTATTGTACACGAAATTTGACGCCAGGAGCAGCGCAAGTGCAAAAATGCGCGTGTCGTGTGTCTGAGCACGGTCCACGCTACCCAGTCCTTCCGTATCCAAGAACAGGACGCTCGTGTCTTCGTCAAGTGCAATGGGGTGGCCCCACATCCAAATGCCTTTGGTACATGCGTTGACGGTACGACCCACCGCGAACCCCTGCAACAAGCAAACAGGACAGGTGATAGCAATACATTATGGTTACGATTGTGTCGATCTCGTCAGTACGATCGAGCATCTTAGTCGTCAAGACACGAAAATAATTGCAATTATTGCAACTATTGCACAATACAATGATTGCAATTATTGGACAATACAATAATTGCAATTATGACACACTACAATAATTGCAATTATTGTCTTGTGCAAGAATCCGTACACTTGGACGTATGGAACCTGCGACGTCTGGAGTCGCGGCATGTTGCGCCAGTAGATTCAGGAGAAAGCTCTTGCCCGTGCGGTAGAGACCCGCGACAGCCACGACGACGAGACGCGTCTTGACGGTCTCCAGCACTGCGCGCGCCTCGGGGCTCACACAAAAGTCGCCGCTCGCGTCGTCGACCGTGATGAACGGCAGCGGCTGGACGGTCATCTTGTCGTCAGGGCGCGGCAGTTGGGTGCAATGCAAAGGTACCAGTGGGTGGTACATTCCTTCGACATGGGTCTTTTGTGTCTTTCATTGTCTCGCGCGTCGGTCGTCTTGTTGTTAAATCGAATCGAATCGATGTGGTTCGTGTGTGCGTGTGTGTAGATCTAGTGGTCCACACTATTCCTGGACCCACCAGCCATTTTTGACTACCGCCACACGCGTGTTAACTGAGTGGTGGTTCGCTTGCGTTATCGCTCACTATCACATGGCGCGAAGTGGCGCATCGGCTCGTCAGTCCTCGCGTGGACGGGGAAGCACCGGCGTTGGCGCGCACCCGACGATGCGTAAAAAGTCCAAGCTCGTTGTCACGTTTAACCCGGAGAAGCGCAAGTACGTCCGTTTGGCTACCTGTGTTTGGTTCACTGCGTTTCGTGAATCAAACAAACGTTTGTTTGATTGACTTGTGCTTTTGGCTTATTCTGTTGTTGTTGTTGTTGTTATTGTTATTGTTGTTGTTATTGCTGTTGTTGTTGTTATTGTATAGGGAGTATCTGACGGGGTTCCATAAGCGCAAACAAGAGCGTCGTCGCTTTGGGCTGGACATGGAGGCGTACAAGGTCAAGAAACTTCAACTGGAGGCAAAGAAGAACCGGCGAGCAGAGCAGAAGGAGAAACTGGCAGCACTGAATCTGCTATCGGACGATGAGAAGACAAAAGAGGAGGAAGAAGAGGAGGCAGATGAGGAGGAGGAGGAAGCGTCCGAGACGAAGAGGACGTGTGTGTCGCTTCGCTCTGGTGACGCCAAGGCGGTCGTTAACGTCACGACGTTCAGTGACGACTTTACTCAGGGCAAGTTTGGTGACGTGGTGACTGTCACGACGGCCGTGGGCGATGTGCAGAGTGATAGCGACGACAGTGACAGCAGTGTGGAGGCAGTGGAAGAGGCAGCGGACGACACTGCAGGTCAGCGCGGGTCTGGTGCGCTGCGTGCGAAGAAGTGGAAGGTCGATCCCGAGCAGCACTTGACGCTTTTCCAGCGGATACAACAGCAGCGCAAGGGCAAAGCACTGCCGTCGAAGCGCTCGAAGCTTAAAGAGGCACGGACTGCACGAAAGGCCATGATGGGTAAGAAAGGTAACAGCAGTGGCATCATTGGTCCGAGCAAGAAACGGGGGGCTGAAGATGGCGACGGAGCAGGTACTGCTGTCGGTAAACTCAGGAAGAAGCTCAAGATGAAGCGCAGTCAGAGCACTGGCCAGAAGCGTCAGAAGCAGCGATAGCTGGTCAGCCAGGTATGCGAGATGTTGCTACCAGCAAAGAAGGTATAGTCAATCTTTCACGCAACTTTTTTAATCTTCAACGCCACGGGTTGTTGTTATCCATTATACTAGCTGTTCTCGACTTGCCCAGATCGTGCACGTGCTTGACCAGGTTACTTCCACACCTTGATAAGCGCATCCCGGCCACTAGAGACGAGCATGGGGCTCGGGTTTTGGCTATTCCCTAGCTCAACAAGCGTTAGGTCCAGGATGCAGTCCGTGTGTGCCGGGGATGGAGGGACAAGCCCTCTCCGTTCCATGCTGATAGCAGTCTCTACACCACCAGCACCTGATGCTGACACGCCACCTGGAGTCGAATAGACAGACGAGTCCTGGCAAACCGTAATCAGTGGTGGATTTAACTTGCTCCAAGCCATCTCAGGCTTCGTAATGTTGTTTGTGGTCGAGAAAGGTGCTGCTGGAGTGTCATTAAAACGCCGCGAAGCAGAGTCGGGCATGCGCCACCAGTCGTGAGGAGGTGCTTGGTTGTCGTAAAATGATTTGGCTTCTCCATTACCACAAATTGTGTACGATTGTTTGCCATTGCGAATATCCCAGTAGCGCAATTGTCGGTCTTCGCCGCCCGTGATTAGCGCATCGCCAATGCCACGAAGGTGTAGTGACGGACATAGCATCGCACGAACACTAGGCTCCTCGCTGAGTGGCGAAGTTGAAATCTCGTCAAAAGCCGTTGCAATGCCATAGATGCCCAAGAAGCTTCCCAACACACTTCGGCTGCGATGTGGAATCGCCACGTGTAGAAGCGTCGGACATTTGGAAGCCTCAACCTCAGACGCCTGTACCTCAAGCGTCCTGAACACTGCCCGACACGCGCCAATACTGAGGTCAAACACAGCAACTTCTCCATCACCTGCTGCCACAAACACCAATGGTACAGACGTCTCATCTAACGGCAATGTATTTGGTAGTCCCAAACAGGGCTGAAGTCGATGAATGGCGCGGTGGGATGAATGGCGCCAGATACGGATTAGCACTAAAAAGCGCAGATCCCACAAGCACAAAAAGCCTCTACTTGTACCAACAGCTAACCAGCTCACGTCAAGTGAGTGTGTTATGCACGTCACGTAACCAAGCTCGGGAGAAATGCTGAGAGTCCAGGCTTCCTGCCGCATACGTAAATCCCATGCGTGAATTTTGCCATCCCGAGTGGCATAAAGCAGCAGAGCCTCTGTGACGTTGTTCAGGTAGTCGATTGCCATGACAGCACTATTGTTCGCACGTAGCTCCTTGAGACCACTGACTTGAACATTTCCACCCACAGAATTCACCTTATCCACACGGAACACGTGAACTGTGCCGTCACTAGAGGCGGAAGCAACAGAGTGACTGTTGGTGAGCACCTTCATATCAGTAATTACTCCACCCTGTCCGTCATACGTACAGCGTGATCCTTGATTCACGCTATGCTGCAATGACCGCACGGACCAAATCTTCACCGTTCCATCGTTCGAAGCGGATGCAAGAAAGCTGTAGTCCTGAGCAGCATTGACGCGAGTTACGGCCCCCGAATGCTCCGCCAATTCTGCCACTAAAACATTTTTGCGCGGCTGCCAGTTGCGGTACGAAGAGCTAGGGTAGCTGCCACCGCTGCTACCACCATTTCCACTACTCGAGTTGCTTCCGGAGGTTGTACTACTGTTCGAGCTTCCAAAACTACTGGGTGCCACACCTCCGTTGATCGCTGCGGCGGCAGCAGCCGCAGCGTTAAACGTCCCTACGCTAGGAGTATACGCGCTACTATTAACCTGATTCGACGATGATGTGACATTTGAAGCACTTGTGCCTCCTCTATCGGATCCTGGTGTCCCATTTCCTGCCGTACCCTTGCTCATGCCAATTCCGCTGCCCGATAAACAATACGGACTTGAAGCAAGACTGTAAATCGAGTATGGTGATCCGTCAGACAGCCGCAGTGCACCAAGATCAGGAGGCAATGGAGGAATACCCAGTGCGTTCAACCGCGCTAGTAATTTGCGAGGGTTTCCAAGAGCGGGGTCCATGGCCGACTCTTTAAAAGCAAAATAGTGATGGTAGGTTGTGTGAGCCTTCTTGTTCATCCTTTGCCGGGGAGGTGACACTGGCGATGCGTGGACGGGATGATGGTGCGGATCCAGCAAACTGTTCATTCCATCACCACCATACATATCGCGCATGTTCATGTTAAGCATGCTCACCATAACTCCACCGCTAGTTGGTGCAAAGTGGCTCGAGTCAATCTGGCCCATTCCCGAGTCGTCGAGTGCCGATGATACTGGCCCAGGAGGAACTACGGATGAAGGACCTGTGATTGTGACAGGTGATGCTGAAACGTGCGTGCTCGGCTCAACGAGACTATACATTTTGCCTACATGCGACAAGGACAGACTCTCCAGAGAAGGAGCTCCTGTCATCGACACACCATTCGACACTGCTGATATTGCTGATCCTCCGCGCTGAGATGGTGAGCTGTTACATGCATGAGAGCGAGATTTTGTCACCAAAGCAGTAGACAAAGTCGTTCCCGACGCCGACGTACTGCTGGCTGCTGCAGAAGAGGATGAAGGAATCCCAAAGTTGTTCGATTTCAGAGGTTGTGCTGTTGAGAGCGCAAACCGCATATCCGGTACAAATAGCACGCGAAGATGTGAGCGCGAGAGCTTTCGCGCGAATGGGTTGCTACTTGTACCAGCAGCGCTGCCGCCGATAGCCACAGACGCGCTTTTCACTGAACCGTGAGGTGAACCAGCTCGGTCGCTTTTCGAAAGTCTTTGCATACGCGCGGCTTGCTCAGTCTTGGCCATTTCCAACTTACTTCGCATCTGCATCGAGGCAATCGATACGTACTGCTGCATAAGCTTCAGTGACTGAATTTCATTTTTGCGTTGATCGTAGATTGAAGACGTGCTGTCCTCAACACTGTTCGAAATTGTCGCTGCAGTTACCGCTGCGGAAGATGCGACCGCTGCACCAGACAACTGCTGGCGAGACATACTATACGCATCCACGGAGTCCGTGCTCAGCACAACATCCCTGTTTTTTCGAGACTTTAATACATCACTGATTGGATCTTCCAATGACTCGCGCGAGGTGGTCGTCATAGCTGAGAGAGGCGTCGGTGGGGCCATGTCGTCATCACTGTCTTCAATTGCTTGTGAAACAAATCTTTGCATTTCACTTATGACTTCATTCAGCCCCGAAGAGGATGACGACACTAATAGTGCGCGGTCAAAGGTCTCGCGAGACACATGAAGCCGGCAACAGTCATTGAGTCGCTTTCTAACAGCAGGAACCTCTTCATCAGGCAAAAACACCATTGTCTTGCGCAAGAACGGCCGAAGAAGTGGACTTAAAAACACGTTAGCGTCTACACTGCGCAGTTTTAATGCAATCTCACCCATCAGCTTCAGCACGGCATCACGAATCCACCAACTAGGATGCAGCAATAAGGAGCATGTCATTCGAGCCTTTTCCACAAGAGTGCTAATTTTCTTTTGAAAGAGTCCTAGCTGACACAACCCAGTTAGGCACTCCACCGCCTTAGTAATCACAATCTCCTGCACATCAAACAGCGCCTGTTCAATGCAGGGTAAAATGTTCTGTTCGACCGCTTCGGGGCCCACAAATGAGCACACGCCAACAATAAAGTCGAAAAATGCTCCGCGTAACTCCCAATCTGGATCATTCAAAAACGTGATAAGCTGTGGCAATACTACGTCCAAGGTACGCTCTTGGCCAAAAAAAACGCACAGCCTTGTAATATCGACAAGCAATGCGCGCTTGACAAGAGATGATGAAGCCTTTTGGTCAGGGGTTGTGAGCTGGATCACAAAGCGTGAAATCATCTTGTGCAAAACACTCAACTCCTTATCAAAACTACTGGACGCCATATACAACGTGTTTAAAGTAGATGAGTCATTGCCCCGGGCAGACATCGCGGACACGGATACAGTAGATGCCGACGACGTCAGCATCTTCTGCTTCATAGCATGCGCGATCTCCAGAAATCGACGGCTTGTTTCCGCCAGCTGTGGCAAACACTCGGCAAATGTAATACGCACCAATTCGTCAGGGTCAGACTGAAAAGGGACCATAGCCGGTAGCACATACTGTGGAAACACAGAGGCATCGGCAAGTGGAAAAGATTCCACCAGTGATAGCAAGTAAGTAATCGTGCGAAGAGCTAAAGCGCGCACGGTGGCACTTGGGTCGTCAATAACCTCGAGCAGGTATGGAATCAGACGCTGCAAACGAGCTTCGTCACTCGTAAACTGACCCAGTGAGCGGATCAAATATAGCGCAGTCAGCTTCGACTCCGGAACTTGAACATGCCGCAGACTTGAACAAATCAATGATAAAATAATGACGATGCCGTTACGATCATGCGGCCACGGCTCACTACTTGTGTGTGCTGGCGGTTTTGTGCGTCGCGTGCTGCTTGAGTGTGGAGGTGGCGTCGTTGTGTTTAATTTCAATACAGTAGAGCCGTTAATATCCACATCAACTTCTTCTTTGCCTTCAGCATCCGCCAAGCAAGTTTCCTCATCCAAACGACAGGTCGACGGCTCGCGCGAACAATCGAGCAATAACGATGTCTCTTTCTTCTGTGTAAGCGCCTGAAATTGGTCATGAAGCTTTTCTATTTTCTTCTTTTGCAAGCTCGCGCTGAGACCGCGCATGTCGTTCTCTTTTTCCTTCATCTTTTGCAACTTGGTAAGAACAGCGTTGCCCCGCTCCGCTTTTTGCTTATCGTGCATTGACGGAACTTTCTGATACAGCTCCTCAAGTACACGCTGCGCTACATGCGTTTGTTGATCACCACCTGTTGCAGTTGCTAACCGATCTGAGCCGTAACCTTCTTTAAGTCGCAACTTGAAAAACTCTTCACCCTCCTGGTCTTCAACACCCGCTACTTCACGCACTAATCGTCCGTAATACTTGCACACCAGTCGAATACGTGCATCAGGCACTTTTCCACCACGACTAAGAACCAACACTAGGAATCGGAACAAGAAAACATCAAAATACAGCGGAAACAGTCCATTCGAGCTCGTGTACTTGGCCAAGTAGCCACTTGCCGATAGCCGAGCATTCGGGTCCAACTGCAACATATGCAGTAGCAGCTCTTCAAGACGTGGGTCGCCAACTTTCTTCAGCTGCTGACGCAAGCTTTCTGAATCTCCTGTGCGGTATTTCAGCAGTGATGGCAGGTCAAAAAGAGGTTTTCCACCCAAGAAAAGTTCTGCAATAACACATCCAGCCGAGAAAATATCCATCGACTCGAGTAAACTGCCTTCACGACGCGATCGCGAGTACGATGGCGGCGGTGGCTGCATAAATGAGGCCGTCCCTGTGCCACCAGCGCCAGTCCCGCCACCAGTACCCATGGCCAAGATCTGCTTGTCCACTTCTTCCACTGTAACTTCACTATCCGCCATTTTAAACAGCATGACAACTGCATCCGACGTCTTGGCACCCAATAAAGCAGCAGCTGCTGCTGCACTCACACTAGCTGCTGTAGCTGCGGCACTCGTGGGAACTGCTCCTCCTTTGCCGTAAAACCGCTCGGGCGCGACGCTACAGCCGCGCCGCGTGGCGTCAATGGCACAAAAGTAGTAATTATAATCTGCAGGATCATCTTCTGGAATATACGTTGGTTTAAATGGTGCAAAATCCGTCAAAAAGACCCAATTCCAACTTGTTACCATGACGTTCTCCTGCTTGATATCGCCGTGGCAAATGCCCTTGGCGTGGCTCTGGGCCAGCGCCCGCAAAAGCTGAAACGCGAGCCACTTTTTCTCCACGAGCGTCAAAAAGGGTCGCGAGCAAATTCGGTCGTACAAATTCGACGCGAAAAACGGTCGGACAAGAAACGCCACATGGCTCTTGTGCGAGAGCTGAAAGTCCGCGTACGGCATCACGTTCGGCTCGTGCTCGATCGAAAACGCCAGTGCCAAGCGCCGCAGCGCCACTTCGGCACGACTGAGGGACTCGCGCTCGTCATATTTCCGATAGATCTTGACCACGAGGTGCCCTTCGTCACACTTGCACGAGATGCTCTTGAGGAACTTGCCATCGCCGATCAAACTGCCGAACATCATGTCCATCGACCGCGGCGTGTAGTCCATGAGGAACGTCCGGTACTGCGACGCACTGTCCAGGACGCTCTGCGGCTGCGCGCGCGGCGCGGCATTGCCCATCGTACAGAAAATAAAATACAAACTGACCGGACAAGAAATTGATGTTTTGTACGTACGCTCTGGAGAGCGGGGGGGGGTACACTGTCGTGAGTGGTAGACAGACCTTTCATATAGCATAGTTTGGGTACACGGATGACGGATGGGGGGACCACACCAAGCTGGTCGCCGTGGCCAACCAACGACTTGGATCGCACTTCAGTCTAAATAGCCTGTTGTTCAGTAACGGACAACACATTTGCCAGGCGTCATATCCGCGTGCAGCTACTTCCTGACTACACATTCTGCTAACCAACTTACTTGCATATCTGACATAGGTGAATGTGTCAGCTTCGTTCGACACAATGAGTCGCTGGATGAGTTCAGTCGACCACATCGTAGTTAAGTCACGTGGTGAGACCTTACCATACACCGAGTTACCGCTTCAGTATCCTCAAGCACTACTTGTCCTTCTTTGCAGGCAAGCAGAGTATGCGCCCCAATCCACGGTGCACCTCGACTTTGATCTCCGGTCCAGGGAAAAGCTCTCCGTCAACGCAAATGAGGTCGTTCGCGTTGCTGGCACGTATCGTGAAAGCACGTGTACGAATGAGTTGGACTCGATCCAAATCCAGGTGCGAACCATCCTCAATCCCCATCATCAATCTCGCCAGCTGAAAGCGCGAGTAACGCGCCCCTGAAACGAGCATGAGGTGGAACAAGCCGTCCGAGATATCGGCGGTCGGTGCAATGTGAGCATCTGCCGCAGCGTGGGACGTGTTCATGCCCCAGAACATGTAAAACGATCCTTGCATTTCCAGCCACTTTTCAGCATTTCGACTGTCTTGCTCTTCCTCCAAACATGCGCAAATTGGCTTTGCAGTTGCGACAGTAGAGCTGAAAGCGTCATGGTATGTTTCGGGAAGGGGCTCCTCGTTCTTGACAGCACGATAACGCAGTCGACCAGGATAGTTCGTCCGACCAAAGCCGAAGATCTGCAGTGCCGTCGCAATGAAGAACCGCAAATCGCCGAAAAAGCGGTACCGCTCCGAGTTGATGTCCATATCGGCAACAAAAGCCCACTCCAGCGACAAGAACCCGTACATGTCAGCTCCGTTCCCATTGGTAGCAGAGAACAAGTCTAGATCCTCAACATGGCCCTTGACGAGGGAGTAGGCTGCATTAAGCACCGTCGGTTGCTCGCCAGCTCGCGACAACAACGATGCAGACAGACCATTGCCTGATCCACCAGGAATGATCTACGAGGGCACAAAACCGCGTCAGCACAGAATCAGCACAGGCATTTGCTGCCAGCACGTACTCCAAGCGGCTGGGGAACTGCTTGCTGCCAGTTTTTGCGCTGCATCAATCCTTGCAGCACTTTGATCAACAACCACAGTGTTAGTCCCATCTACATCAAGTTCAGCATGCCACCATGATCTATTCAACTGACTCTCCGACAGCAGTCCGTCGCCTCCCACCGCCACGATGCAGTCGAACTGATTCAATGGCACTTCTGCCATGAGCTTCGTCGCATGTCCAGCATGTCGAGTAACGACCGTTTCCACGACTATATTCGCCTGCTCGAACACCGGAGCGACCTGCTGCTCGTACGTCTGCTGCGCATCGCCCGTACCTCCTGCAGGGTTGATCACCACCAAAAACTACAGCCCCATTAGCATCAGTCTACTCACTCACTCAACGTCCATCATCTCTCTCGAACCTTTCGTAAGGGCAGGTCTTCGTAACCATCCAGCAGCTTTTCCGTCATCTCTCCAGCTCGTGGATCTGCAAAGAACTGGATGGCCTTCACTATCGTCGTCGCCACCTCACCTCCCATGTCGTTCGCCTCACATTTGAACAACCACTGAACCAGTACCCGATCCACACCTGCATTCTCCGAGGTACTGCCTGTGAGAGCTGAAGGTAGCACAGCCATAGCCAGTGATGTGAGACAGCCAAGCAGTCCACCTCTGCCGGACAACTTCTCGGACTTTGGCATGCACCCAAAGACAACAAACTCCCTGTCATTTTCCAAGTCACTGTCTGCTTCGTCGACAGGTACAAAGCGGTGGCGGATACTGCGCGTACACTCCGAAGCGCCGAGGATCCAGCACCAGGGAATCAGATCCGACACGGAGGAGACAGACGACGCCACAACAGAGTGCAGCTCAATACCCCTCGCCGTTAACTGAAGACGCTTGGGCTCATCACCACGGCGTTCACTAGCATATAACCGGCAGGTCACAGACACGGGACTTTGTAGATGGCGTTTGCACAAAGCCGTCTCCTCCATCCTTGAAATCGCTGAGGTACTGCCGACGACGATGATCACTTGAGACTTTCGAAGATGATGATCACCTGAGACTTTCGACGATCCCACTTTACAATGGAGACCGTGGACTGGCCATAATCATTCGACTGGTGCTCGGCGCGCGCACAAAGAAGAGGACGACTAAGACTGGACTCATCAGACCTTGCTTGTCTCGATGGTGCGTGCAGAAAGTGCAAGGCATGTGGCACTTCAGCAAAAAGTAGTCTGCTTGGCTTAGTACTTTCACGTACTTCCCAGTAGTCGATCCTGACGCACGACATCGGACCGAACCGTGATTTGACCATCTGGTAGAAAGCGAATGGTCTTGTCGTTCCCGAGCGTCACCTCGCGCAGCCCGTCGAGCTGCTCCATCATGGTTGTGCCATCTGGAAACACGGAAAACTCGTCGCCGCTTACGTGAATGGTCTTTTTAATGCCGTCAGCAAACTGGATCTCAATCGTGCCGTCGGGCAACGTGGTCTCAGTCTGTTGATTCGCAAATTCATACACCCTGCGGTTGTCCGGATACTTCGTCAGCTTCGTCCGAGCCTCGTAGTAGTGATAAACGCTGACTCCAGTGTCCGGGAAGAGCTGTGGCAGCAACACCAACCACAAGTAATGCCATCGTTAACGACTGTCGATATCGGCACCTCAACAAACAGCATCCTTTGTACCTCTTGATGGTCGCCGTTTGCGAACTTGATGACGACGCGGCCACTAGCGTCAACGTCCTTTTCACTACCATTCGGGAAAACGATCTTCCTGCTTCCATCCGTGTACAGCAACTCCCGCTTTCCACCCTGCAGCTCTACCTCGTTAGCAACAACCTTGTGCTCTGATGAAGATGTTGAGACTGAGGTCACACTCGCTCTTTCGCGGCCATTGCATTGTAGGTCGGTGTAGCCAATGTCGTACCGACCTTCGCCATTCCGAACTGCAAAGGATATCCGTTCGGACAATACAGGATTATTTGCACGCACGTGACCCAAGTCGCTGGTACAGTCCTCCTTGCCACTCGGACAAGTTGTTCTACCCGATGAGACCCCAGGCACGCACGAGCGATGAACGCCCTCGACTTCTAATCCGTCACGTTCCCATTCGTTGCGGTTCACCGTGTTATGCTGATTGCAGTCCGAGGATGCCGTACAGTCCATCTTCTCGTCAATCTCGGGTATGGTGTCGTCAGAAGGACTCCATCCCTGTGCGTCTACATCTTTAATGCAAACGAAGCCACTCATCGTATGTGAACCGTTCTCCTTACTGAGCACAGAAGGGAATGTGGAAGTTGCGCTGGACTTTGTTGTCAGTCCAGAACCATCTCGCGTCTCTTTCAGAAGCTGGTCGTAGTCTACCCACTGCTTATAGCGACCCTTCTTCATGACCTCAATTTCTTTACTTAGGTCACAATTTTTCTCTTCCAGCTCCTGTACGACATGCAATGGGAGCAAACACATGACAAACGTTTGGCAAATAGCGATCAATAGATTGACTGACATCACGTACATAAACACGTTGCCGCAACTTGTCACATGCGGCCTTCCATTTGCCCACACGTGCTTTTCCGTCAACTTGCATCTGCACGATCTGCGCCTTGAGCATTTCCACTTCCCCGCACTCGTTCAGATTTGGTCGAGATACTGCAATCTTCGTACGCAGCTTGCATTGTCGTCGACGCAGCTTCTCCTCTTTTATTTTCGTGCGCTCTTGCTCCCACTCTTTTTCGGTCAACGTTCGCTGTTGTTGCCCATATCGTGCATATTCGTCCCTACTGACTGCCAGATTTTGTACTTTTTGGTCGATAACATGCACTGCTTGATCTTGCAGTTGCGCACGCTTGTGTTCAATAGTCGATTTGGACCGCTCCTGCAGAAATGATATCGGCCGCGCAGAAGGAGCCACCCAATCTGCCCTTGTGCTGGTACTGCTGCTAACGATCGGGCTTGTGTCACCTTCATAGGAAGCCCTATCACGATCGCTGTTATTAACGTGCTGGAAGTCTGCCAAAACGGTTTGCGCCAACGACGAAACCGGGGCACCTCCTCCTAACTGAAAGTTCATCGTTTCCTGTATGCAATTCCTTCGACAACCGGGGGTCGCCGAAAGCACTCGATATTTGGCTGATTGATGCCTGTCACGACCACCATCACTAGCGAACCACTCTTGGTCGTTTGATGATGCATGCACGTTAGCAGCCACAACGTCTGGACATCGTTCGTGCTCTACACTTCTCTGTGGTTGCGAGGACAAACCATCATGCCATGGCACAGAACCGTCGAGGCTTGTAGCACTCAACTCCGAAGGTAGGTCACCACAACAAATCTCGGTTTCTGACTGCTCTCGAGAACGATCAGTCAATTCATTACATTGAACGATCATGTCATCCACCGAATTAGATGACTTGTTGGCAAACATCCGTGCTGGATCCACCATGTTGTCGATACTGTCATCAAATAACTCGTGCCTGGTCCTCTGCCACCTCGGTCGGTCTTCTCCATCAAAGTCCGATACCAGCGACAAATCGGACAGCTCCCAGTCAGTCACGTCCGACGTACTGTCATCCAATACCTGCTCTTGATCAGAAGGTGCCAAATCCAACTGTTTCAATTGCTGCTGTTGTTGCTGCTTTTCTCTCCAATTCAAAGCTGTTTCCGCCATTAACTCGTGCTCGATTGCTTCAAATTCAGCAATCTCCTGCGCTACCTGCTGTTCTTTTGCTTTCCATGCGTGTCGGACGCTCGTCATGTTGATCACGTCCGTATCTCGTGGCCTCAAAGGATCCACCGTGCGTTGCCAAGCTTCAGTCTCGTCACTTTCTGGCAGCTTCCACGGCAGCTGCTGGACCTCCTCACAATTGCCGGGTCTGTTGTGCTCTTCCAGCATCGCAGATGGGAACCACGTACCCGTGGACGTCCAGCTTGAAAAAAACCGCTGCCGTCTTTTTGACTGCTGACTCCCAGCCCGTTCTTCTCTTGCCGTCTCGATTGATGACTCAAGTGAGTGCGTTTTATGCACCTTGAGCTTCCCGTTATTTGCTACGTCAGCGATTGGAGACGTTTTCTCTACGCGATATGGTGCTGAAAAAAACGCGTTTGATTGTCCTGTAAGGGAAACATAGTAATCACACGTTTAAAAAGAGCAACCCACGAGAGCAGCTGTAGCTGCGTATTCGTTACTCGCACCGTTGGCATTAGAGACGAAGGAAGCATTTGCAGTCAACTTGAAACGAAGCTGATAATCGTTCGCTTCATGCGCCGTGCGTAGCTCCTGTCGACTCACGGCGCAAGAGGACGGAGACGAGTTCCTCGTGTCTGATTGCTGGGGTACCATTCGTTCGATTGCTGGGGTACGAACGTCCGATTGCGGGGTACGAAACGTCCGATTGCTGGGGTACGATGCGTCTGATTGCGGGGTACGATGCGTCGGATTGCTGGGGTACGATGCGTCCATTTGCTTGTATCGTTTTTTCGTAACCTGGTTACGATTGAGCAAAAAGAATCGACAGCGCCGGGTCTCGTATTTACGCGTAAGAAGCTGATTCACCTCTTTTTTATTCTTTTTACGCTCCGTGCATGAATGGCTGGCAGTGAAAAGCCGGCAGCACAGCACCGCTTACAGCTAGAGCAAGCTGGTCACGAATGTAGTCATTGTAGTATTTGACAGTAGAAAACATGTGGTTGCACGTAAACTGGAGCATGATGATCCCTTTATCTCTCGATACCTTCACGACGGTCATCTGAGCTTGCTTTAAAACTTGCAGTGGTGAAAATCGAGAAACTAAGCTAGCTGATATTTCCAGTATCCCCTGTGTGATTGCACGAAACAAGAGACTGTAGGCGCGGAGATGACGAAACTCTTTCTATCTGTCAATCCTCTGAGAGCGACGGTGAAGAGGACACAAAGTAAGCTTTTTAACTGCAATCGCGATCCGCCATCTATTCGTGCACTTTTCTTTTTCAGTATTCATTCTCTTGAGAGTAGTAGGTTACAAATGATGAATAAAGTAAGACGAAAGTGTGATTTCATGTATCAAGGCCAAAGCCCAAGGATAATGCAACCGCATTTCCTGTTTAAACGTCACGCGACTTGTGTTTCCACAAGTCACGAGTCCGTGGCAGTCGCAATAGAGGCAAGGATCCTCTTTATTGTACTCATGTTCCACTTCCAAGTTACGGCTGATTTTCCATGTGCACGAACCCATTTCGTAATGTCGGCCGATTTTGCTGCGGAGCGATATTTTGTGCAAGCTCCTGTGCGGCTTTCTTCTGCTGGAGCGACTTAGTCAAGTAAAGTGTTTGGCCCTGACTAGAAGTTCGGTGGCTTCCATCTTCTCGTCTATAGTTCCCACGATGGAAGCATCATCGAACTTGACGGACTGTGTGAGTTGCGACTCTTTGTCCTTAAGAAGTCCGAAATGCGTTAAAGCGATCAAGGTCTTTTCAATCTTGTCCAGTACGACCTTGTCAGTACTATACAATTTCGCGTCAGCAGGATCCAGTTCCTTGCGCAGCTCGTTCAAGTGGTACGTCGAGTCCATGGTATCCGCATCGAGATCCTTGTAGGCTGCACGAACCTTTCTGGCAAAAAAGGTCCTGAATTGCGGCATGGACATGCCGCAATCCTCATCGAAAAGGAGTTTGTACGTCGATACTGCGTCCGCGTACTGAAGTGAAGGCGTCAAGCCTCCGTGCGGATTCAGCACGCCTTTTCCCGCGCACATCGCGTCCATCGTGGCCGCGTTGTTACGGCGAACGTCGACTTTATTCTTCATCAAGAGAGTGATTTCTGCAACATCTTGCGCGGACGGCATACCGGCTTGTGAACCAGCACTCAATTCCAGTGACTTGAGTGCAGGGAGATCAGCTAGCTTGCTCATGGCTATAAGCGCAGTTTTGACGGCGTCCAGAGCCTCCCCAACGATCGAGGGTGGAGCCGCTCTCTCCTCATTTGTTCACGAAAAGTCGTAGCCGTTGGTATCGTCGTTGCCGTCTTTCTTGTCTTCCTCTTGCTCTTGCACGCGTAATGACCTGTTGATAACTGGGTACTCTCAACCGATTGCGCTGTGGTTGTTGGAACGGGGTTACACGAATGGTTGTGATAACCAGGTACATTGGTGTGATGTTCACAGAAAGAGATCAGTTTCGCTGGTAAGGCGTACTTTTGTATCACATACGCTTAGCGATAATTGCGTACCTTATCGATTACGGATAGACGGTATTTATCGTAATAGAGGTTTTAATGGACGGCGTAGTTCTGGTGCGGCAACACCAGAAGAACCTCCACGAGAACTATTCGATTGGGTAGCATAGTTTGAAAGGTTAAAGACGCAAGTGAGGTCTATGATCGCTATAAATCAGTAAGAATATGCCGTTCCCCTTTTTGATCAGTTTCATACACGTGTCTTATAGAGCCGTCTTTGATCGTAAGAGTCAAGAGCCAGTATTGAGGCTAGTACTCCTGGGCATGCGTTCCACATGATTTCTTAAATTCATTGGTCCTCTGGACCCGAAATAGAAGCTTGCAAGATTGTTAATGTACTAAGAGTTGTGTCTCACTTAGTCTACAAAGGTTTGAGACCCTTCGGGTTGATACCCGTTTAGGTTGATATGCTAAGAGACTCTACGAGTCTAGAAGTGTTCCTGCGACAAAGGAGTAACGTTAGCTCCGCTGCATATAGGGTACGATATCGTCATAACCTGTTTTAAAGTCTTTTTGGTACTACGCATATACAAATGAACCTAGTTTTCACAAGAAGCAGCACCTGAGGACATCAATGCCGGTGCTCCAGCTACTGAAAACAATGTCCTTCAATTGTGCACGTTGCGTAAGACTATCAACAGTGGCCCGATGGAATCAGACATCTGATTCATGGAATGTAACGAATACGTGTGAAACTAAGAGAATGAAAGCAGACTTGGACTAATGCATGAATAGAAGTTGTGGCTGCTTCAAAAGGTAGATTACAATTCCTGACGATGTAAAAATCGAGTAGAGCTGACATCCCACATTCGTCAAGACCCATTTTGGTGTCAGTTCTTTGCTTCATGTAGCACAGACCATCTCAGGGCACTTTTGCTCATTTGATAACCCATTGGATCTTGATTGTGCGAGCGTGTAGTCTTTCGTTGCATCATTTTAGCGTGATGAGGAGATCCAGCATTGTGATTCAACGTGAAATCGAACATGACGTGTCGCGGTGTCTGAACAATTTTGTGCGACAAGTCGCGTTCTTTGGCTTCATGAGAGCGCAACTGGTGGGTGTACTCGACAAGCACCAGTTTAATGATCTTGTCCATTCTATCAATGCGGAATAACACTGCTTAAAGAATAGATCAGGAACCGACATGACTTGACGAGATTATACAATACCAGGCGGAACTAATAAAATCCACACGCCTCCTGTGCACACGACGCGAGCAAATACGCCATAACATGAATTAATATAACAGATTAATTCTGCTACTTACTAGCACGTACATAATTGACTGTAAAGCGCGATGAACCAACACCCTGTCATACAACGTCAGCTGTATTTAGTAAATTGGACGATATTACGCATCAGTGGGCGCGACAACTTCAAATCCGCAAAATATTCCAAAAATGGTCTTGATAGACTTTTCGCAACGATCAAAAAGAAACCAACGGTGAATAGACTGAAATAAAAAAAATGCTTTGCAATACGTAAAAGTCATATCCTTTTCTCTAATCATGTCCTCTCATTAGCCGATTATTCAGGGTCATTTTAAATTTAGATAGTTTTACCAGAAAACTGAGGATAGATTTTCGGTCCCTTGTTGTATGTAGCAGGTTGCGTCGTGGCGTTGTTCCACAGGTCGACCATCTTTTGATCAGTGAAAATCAAGTTGTTGCTTGAAGTGTCAATCAAGCATTACCGATATCGCTCAGAGCACTGGACAATGTCTGAAAACATTCGACGATTGTCCAGGCCTATAACGCTTTAAAAACCATTCAGAATAATTGCTCGTCAGTCCTAACCACAATTTCAACTTTTTCAAGAATTGTCTGGAGATTCAAACAATGAAAAAACGTTTATTTAGCGAAGTCACTTTGACAAATCTATCTCGATATTGATTCTAATAATCGGCATCGCTTGGTCCTTCCCTCTGTAGACTTAAAAAAACACCTCGTTTTGCTCATTGATTAAAATGGGTCGTACAGAGTGGTTTACCACTAACGCACAAAGCATTGCTTCTTGTTTTGCTGTGAGACTCATTCTCCCGTGAATATTAGAACACTGCGCAGCATTCATTTGCCACTTCTTTTGTATTGGCGGACCGGTAGCGGTTGATATTGACAAACACTAGCTACAAGATTCAAAACGGCGAAAATTTGGGAACGACCGTAAATATCATATTTTTCAATGAAACGAATTTGTGTAGTAAGAGCAAGAAGAAGGGGTCAAGCAGAAGATCAGAATCAACAAGTACGTAAAAAGCTACACGTATCAATAAGTGTTGCGAAAAGAAAAGACTAGCAGGTCCAATGCACATGAAGTTATCGGAGATGCAATCGCCACCGACGAGAGATGAGAAAGTAGAAATGCACCCGAAGCCGTACATATCCTCATTTGAATGTTTGCTCTACATCCCAACATGTACGCAAACTTATGTGGCGTATGTAGTCGCACAGCTGTTGCTTGTCCTGGTGAATCCGGGTCATCAGCATTGGAAGGCTGCAATATTTGTTCTCAGCCACCTCAAGACAACAACGGACTACGATACAACTTACGACGGCAGCGCAAAGCACAAGTTGCAGCATCGAAGGTCGCGAGCGAAGGCAGTTGTATCGACGACCGACAATCTGCGTCGGAGATAATGGTGATGATTGGTGATGCGCCAGTCGTTTTCATGTTTAAGTATTATCGCAAGGTAGCTTGAAGCTCGGTCGAGGCGGAGTACATGGCTTTGAGCCTGTTTAACTTAGGATTGCTGTGGGTCTGTGCGATGCTTGATGATCTCGGCCGTTAGTTAGTGAAAAATACGTTGTTCTGGGAAGATGATAGGGTGCAATCGGACTTGCCAATAATGCGGTCTACGATGCTAGGTTCTGAGCAAGTCGACATTCGTCACCACTTCATACGGGAGAACGTGGCTCAATACATTATCGTGTTGTAGTACATGTCTACGGAGATTCATCTTGCAGAAAGGTTGGACAAGGCATAAGGGACTAAGCGACCCAAGTACTTGCTACGAGCAAGTAGTATCGGACCAAGGTGCAGTCAGCTTTAGCGGTGAGTGAGATTGCTGATATTACACCGTAGAATACATGTTTGACAGGCGAATGTCGTTAGAGGATCTGATAAACGGCTAATACCTGAAAGGCCATGACGTTCGTAGAATGACGTTACTAGATGCGTCAGTAATAAGGCTATAAAAGAAAGGTATCAGACCTAGCTCAGGGTAGCGATCTAAGGACCGAAATGTAATCAAGTCCTAATCATGATATTACTCGAACAACAAGCACCGTTATCAGGGCTGCCATTGTTCAGCACGTGTCCTGTCCCAAATGGCCATCAGTTAAAGTTATTAAATAAACAAATTTCCCAAATGGCCATTAGTCAGCGTGGCGTTTGAAATATCAGCACTAGGAACATCAGGTATCGTTTTGACGCAAGGAAGAAAATTACCTAGAAAAATGCAGCTCAATGCTACTTCGTCGCCCTGTGTCCAGGGGCTCAGTTATTCTGGACTCGTGTTAGATTAAAGCTGCGGGTGTCAAGTGTATACAAACGGCTTGCGAACCTTTGATGAGTAGGATACTTTTGGGGTGTCTTTGTCGAGTACGCAAGTACGTTTTTGCACGGTTAAAACGGTATTTTAGTAAATCCCGTCCCTAGAGTAGGCTCGACCTCCGATGACTTGCATAAGATAAGTTGGAGGCTCTGCGCATATAGTGCCAACGAATGATCACTATACACTAGGTATTGTACTGCACGAATTATGACTGCTATGGTGAACATTCGTAAGCGGAACTTCGAACAATGGTGTCGTCTGCTATAATTACAACTTGTTGTCAAGATAGAGCAGCCAAAGTGAGAAGACGAGGAAAATCGTGAGCAAGTTGAAGTAATTTGATGGCGGACTGCAGCGAGAGAGTACTTGTACATAGTGATAGCGATTGCCAGGCGGCTGTTTATGCAGAAAGATACTAGTCTTACTGTATCATTAGCGCCTGGAATGGTTGCTTGATAGCCAAACTTCTGGTGTTTGCCAGTGGTAGTGATAGATGCTGGTAAAAACCATGTTTTGACGGTTTCAAACAGTGTGAAAGTGCACGACCATCGCTTTGTACCTTCACTGTGAGCTATCCAGGTGACAAGATGATACTTTGATGAGTTGAGATGGCTGTTCAGGGTCGTACGCAGTGCTGGATGAACATCGACAATGCTTGTTTTCGACTATACTCAATGTATGCAAACCATTCTAATGTTTCACGCAATGGTCCGACATGTATTTCGACAGTAAACAACGATCGTCCACGCTCAGACATCCCTCGGAAATGCCTGAATCGTCTGAAGCGGCTTCAAGTCACATCGTGGTGAGGCCACCAATCAAATTGCGCAAGTGCAGATCCGTCTGTCTCGATGTCACTGTTGTGTGCCCACAGAACCCGTCCTGAACAGACAGTCGTCACTGCAAATAATGCACGCAAGTGTATATCAAGGGTTAGTCGACCTTCTTGCGTACAGTGTGTCGAAATTGAGTGGAATCGGTCACGAGAGAAAACACTCCTTATCTTGATAGAAGCATCTGGTGAAACGACACTGCCCCAGCTGCGATACGGTGCAATCCCAAACGTATCAGTGTAAAATGTGTAGAATTGTGTGCGATGATAACCAAGCGTTTTGTACTACATTGCGTTGATAACCAAGCGTTTTGTACTACATAGTACATCACGTTATGCGTCCACGAGCAATATTCTAAGCACGAGAGCCAAGCAGCGTCCAATCTACGTCTTTAAGCACCTGCATAAGTGATAACTACTGTGCCCAGGATAAGTTAGAGATTGAATGGAACGGATCATCCTTATCGCTGTTCCAGGTTAGCCTGTGCGCTCCGGCTGAACGAAAAGCTCCGAGTTAGACCACATCTCGATACTTTGTCGATGTTTTTATACTTGCGAAGCCGCTCGCTGTGCAGGTTTTTCACGACTAGTTGTTCAAAGCGGTTCAAAAGATACCGTCGTGTCATGAGGGCAATCTGTCAATCTTTTGTGCTTAAGCAATTCATACACAGCATGTATAGTTTACGTAGGTAGCCATTGAGGTGTTCGTCCTGCCAACCCACGTACCAAAAAGCTGGAACAAGCTATGAAGAGTCGGCAAGACCAATCTGTGTTGCTCACGCTGGAACGAAGCTAGTGCGCGTTCAAAAGGTTTAGTTTTCCTGCCGCTTCGTCAGAATAGGCGACACATGTCCGATTATCGCCCGAAAGACGATTTTTGCAAGCCAGTACACATTGGTCGCCACGAAAGAGTGCTTGCTTTCCTTGTGCATCATTTTCGGCACTTTCAAGGCTCGACAGGAGGTCGTACATATCGGCCGGCAGTGACGCCCACCGGTCATTTGTACGTGATTTTTACCACGATTGCACGCCAGGTACATCACATGTACAAATGCTTGAAGACAGAATTGCAGAACTGTCTTCACGCATTTTGTGATTTACCTACATTTTATCGTGGACTTTTGTTGTCGGAAGCGCTCACCCGTCCGCCCAAACGAAGCACGAGGCGGAAAATGGTTTGGCGGTATACGAACAGTGTAGGTTCAGTCAGGACTTGACATTTAAGGGACGATGATTGTTTGTCTTGGACACGTTTTAGTCATAGAACGTTAGAACGTGGATACTTATGCTTCCTCAATGTTCAACACCTGCAATCCACAACCTAGGTACACAACTACCAGGCGGAGCATCCTGAGAAGGAGAAATAAATGCTATGGGTGGTTTAGCGTCCGAGGTGCATCCTCATTCATTTTACGCGACCGAAACGAAATAGGCACTAGCGTCTTGTGAAGAAAGGTAGGTTGTCATTTGCACCAGCAGTAAGCGCGTGCTGGGATAAATGCGCGTGTGCCAAGATCGTCAAGAGAATAGCGCATAACTCGTATAATTTATCTATCTCGTTTATCATCATTGTGGTGGTCGTGGCGTACATTGATCCAGGTGACCACTAGTAGCAGTGTTTGCGCTTTTGTGGCTATTTTGATGTCTCTAACATGTCAACGGGCACTCGACAAGCAGGTGCTACTAAAAGTTTAGCCAGCGGACTGTTGCGTAGATGAACTTATTGTGATAAAGCTGATTCACCGGACCACAACGAAGTGGAGAGGACACAACGATAGCTCCTAAGGCTTACACGGTTTGCCTCCTTGTTTCGCACTAGACCAAAGAACATTGCAGCTGCATCTAAACCCTCGTCGATCATGACGCTCGTTCAAGCGAGCAACTAGTTGCGTCTGTGCGCAAAACTACCTCTTGACTGTATCAATGCAAAAGCTCGAGACGCACTGTATGAAGAAAACACTCGCTATCGGGAAAGAAAAACGGTGATGAACGCGATGTACTTGTCACGAACCGGAAGTTCAGCAAGATCACGAAGGATCAGGTAATGGTAGGCAGCCCTTTTGATATCGGCGGATAGAGCGGCAGACAGCGGCTCGTGACCCGACGACTTTCCTGGTGGTGCGGGTGCTCGCTTATCTTTTGTAAGGCTTTTGCACTTAAAGTTGTCCTTGTGTCACGTCCAAGAAGCCTCATGTTAGGTCTGCAAGAACGTATAGGACCGCCGACGCGTACATTGGCGTGTGTTTGCACTAACGACGATCGGACGTCCACGAGAAGACAAAAGAACAGCCGTGATGATGCTGTCTGTTCTCTCCGACAAGTAAGCAACAAAAGTCGAGTCCGGTATTCGGTTGTGACACGACGAGCGCGACAGCGCTAATCGTGACAAATCGCACCGTGTATTTCCTGGTCGAGGTCAGAGCAGGGTCTGCTTTGTTTGATCCTTACAAAGGTGTCTGTCCCATACTGAGTGATACGGAGTGGGTATGCGCTGTAGAAAGTTTCCTCCAAAAGTCAGACCTCTTGGATTCATGGTGAGTCAGAGCGTCAGATGGAAGCAGTGCACGCTGCGAAAGGCTGATGAGACGAAGACTCGCTAAATTTGCTTGAGCAGATTATCATGAGCCGAAGCCAGCTGGGCTTGTGGCACTGGATTACAGCCGGCACGCGGAGTTCTGATGTGGCAGCTGACTTGACGTGCACTCACTGCTGTCGTGCACCTACGAGAATGTGTTTTTGCAGTGTCGCGGACATTCGCCTGTGGTCGCAGTCACGACGGCCAAACCTATTCACATAGCCGTCTCTTTTACCTGCAAGAGTCATCGTTCGTACTGTCCGCATACTACTTGCTGACCCCTTCCAACTGTTCAGAGCTCGTCGATAGCGTTACTGACGGTGTTAGGATACGACGCAGGAACGACGATAGCTTGTCTCCCAAATCGACGCCGCTTTTTTAGCTCGGAAGCAATTCTGTATCGCCATATCGACCTGTGGACGCATGCGCATCGTTTTAGCGCATTACTTGTTGCGGCAAGATTGAATCAAGTTATCTGCTGCCAGGAATTCTTTGGCCACTCACTGACATCATACAAGCACAAGGCCATACTGGACTATTTGAGCCGAGTCCGCCGCGTATCGCGCTTGACAATTCGATGAAGCAGGCAGGTAGTCGAACGGTAGGAATGAGTGTCGTCGCACCTTCACGCATTCCCAGACTATAAAGGCCTGCTACGCCAAGCCTTTCATCCTTGGCTGATCCGCTTTGATGCGGAGGCACGCTGCTTGGTAGCGATATGCAGTAGCACGTCATTGTCCTTTTCAAGTTGGGAATCACTCCAACAGTAGTACTTTAGCAGCTGAACGTATGTCATACCAAGTACTCGATTGATTCGAGTCGCACAAACTACTGATATGGGAGGGGCGTAAAGAGACCACAGCGCACGCTTTTCAGGAATGCCCTACGAACAAGTGTGTTCGAGTCAATTAATGCAACACTTGGCTGGCGAGAGTGCAGATGTCCAGTGGCGTCAAAACGCTTTAGCCAATGTGCGAACCAGTGTGTGCGGCAGTGTTGCAGAGGACCCAACTTCCTTTTGCATCGAGCGCCTCTGATTTCTGGGAAACCGGCCTCCGTCAGTTTGAAGGCCGTCGCAATGCGTGAACATTGGCATGCAATAACAGCCGTACGTGGCGTCTGGCTTCACGCTTGTCGTAGCATATGTATCACGATCTAAGAGGACGCCCGGCTTACACAAGTGTCAGTCACGATACGTTGCCACAACCGGCGCTCACATCCTAGCTCAGGATGCTGTAGACATCGGTACACACTACCTTGCAAGTAGACAATCAGGTGGGTCTCTTCTACAGTCCCATGCTCGATAATGACCACATCATTGCGATATGTATACACAAGGGAATCATTCGATCGCCGCTACCTTGTTGTACCATCGCCGGCAGTATAACCCACTCAAAGAAGATCAACCTAAAGCTGAATTCGAACAGGAAACTTTCGGTCGCCGCAACACCAAGACCGACTTGCCTTTGACGATATCGTTTCTTTCCTACGCATTGTATCGTCTTCATCGTTTCGTTCAATGCACTTCTCTCGTTGAAGCAGCGACTGCGTATCCTTCTTCGTTAGTGGCATTCCTTCGTTTGTTTGTCCTCGTCTTCTTGTTGCATGACTTCTACCCACTGCCACGGACCGGTCTGTGCTTAGTATGGTGATAGCTGTTGCAGCACATAAATCCTGGAAACCCAAGCGATTGACGACCGGTTTGGTCCACTTTTTGTTCTTAGGCCCCATGAAGTAATCCTGATGGTGACGAAACAACAGGTAGCGGTAATCAAGAGGTTCCCGGTTTTATCCATGTCCATGCGTGTAATACCTGTCTACGTCCATTTGCGCACAATCGTCCGTAGGACATGTCCGTGAGTGCGATCTTCAAAAGGACGACCAGAAGATGGAGGACCACGATAAGAGGGACGCCTCATCCATGAAATACGTTACTGCATCCAGAGCGACAAAGCGTTGCAACATGTCACGAGTCCGTATGTACTTGTCAATCGCCTTGATGAAATGGCATCTTCGCTTTGGTAAATCGAGTCCAATAGACCATGTTGTCGTCCCGTTGAAAACACTTCCGGTGTAAAGGCGACGTCAATGTATTGAAAGTCGTCCTGTCGATCAAGCCTTCAGTCTGCTCTCGTGCAGTCGAAGACCGTTCAGCCCATAGGTGCCAACTTCCGGTTGTGCAGAGCTCATTCCGCACTTTGCTCTCGACAGCTCACTCGTGCATCACTTGCATCACCCCGTTCACACATCTTCTCTCTTTGACGCTGTCCTGCTGCTCACCATGCATCTGAGCTACATCATCGCTGTCCTGGCCTCCGTCAGCACTACAGTCCAAGCGATCTCCGAGTCACAGCAGCTCGAGCCGTTGGCTGTCGTCACTTTAAACGCAGCACAATCGGTCGAAAGTACCGCTTCCGACCCTCGCGTCAGCAAGAGGTCATTACGCGTGCAAAAGCAAGAGGAGGACAAGCCAGACGGCGAGTTTAGCAACGCCGACTTTGCGTCAACGGAGGAGAACAGAGATCTAGCTGCCGTGTGGTCATTTGTCGGGACACGTTTTGGAGGGTATTTACCATCGAGTGTTGGCGGAGTAAAGACTGCGGTCCAGCCGCAGACCGTAGCGATGTCGAGCAAACTAAATCGGATACCTGAGGCGCTCGTTGCGGAGCCTCAATCCCTACAGCACATTATCAAAAAAGCACCTGAACTAGATCTGGTCAACCCGCAGCAGGCTCGAGGCCAGCAGCAGTCTATGAAGGAGACGATCAAGGTGCCGAAGGACGCACTCCAGCTGTCGACGGATCGGGATGCTTTGCTCAAGCCCTACACCAACCTTGTCACGGAGTATTCCGAAAACTTCCGCAGGGAAGGTTGGACGGCGGCGCAGTTTCAGCGCGTCTGGGAACAAGACTTCCAGAAAACTCGCGCGCTTATTGATCCCGACGTCCTCTACTCGTTGCTGTATCGGGGACGGATGCTCGACGACCTTGAGGGCATTGATGCTCCCGTTGTGGAAAGGATTTTCAAAGACAGACTGAACAAAATCGTCAACGATCCGATCGCTCTAAAAAAGTTTGGGCGAGTCATGCAAGAAACGGAGGATTTAAACGAGGCTTCATTGAACACTCGACGCGTGTCGGGTAAGCCCAGTCGGGAAAAAGATGCTGTCAATTTCCTGATCGATTTTCGTGGTGCTTTCAACCGGGCTTTATTGCTGCACGGCGACAGGTTGGCGCAGGCGGTGAAGCAGAAGTGGAGCCTGACGCGCACGAAGAAAGCTCTGGGAATTACCGACGATACACCTTTGGACGACGTAGCATACACGGAGCTAAGGAATATCATTGCGGCTCGCCTTGTCGAAGACAAGGTCAAGAATGGCGGAACCTCCGCTGTTAAAAATGAAGCAGCTGAGGTGGTAGAAGCACTTATACAACACCCGCTTGCCAGAATGTATCTTTCGCATGCTTTGGAGAAAGAACCGTCGGAGGTCTTTAAGACTCTGCTGGGCGCGGAGAAGCCGGGTCTTGACCTGAAGGATCTGGAAGAAGTTCTACATTCCTCGGTGGTCCTGAAGCGGTTTCGCGACTTAGATCTAGATATGTGATGCAGAGCCTCGTGCGGTTGATTCGTCTGTTGCTGTTGGCTTACAATCGATATTTCCACACTTGTTTTTCCCATTGCTTGAGTATTTTTGTATGCATCCACACCGTTTCTAGTCTAGAACACGCTTCCACCTCACTCGAACTGCTCGACAACAACACGAGCTGAGAATTAGTGGACGGGCAACTGCCATGTGAATTGATGTCGGAGGACGAAGTGTTTGCCAGTTACAATGCTGCAGGACACTACTGAGACACGAAAAGTGTGAGGAGGTCCAGCAGCAACAGCAGCAGTTGAGGTTGCCAGAAACTGACGAGGCTGAAGCTTGTCAGAGGACGTGGTATCCCTGGACGAGTCACGATTCGGACGTGATGAACATGACGAAGCATGATGTGATGAGGCACCGTTCGAAAATGTGGCGATTCGCGTCAACAGGTTCTTCATTCCCATCCGAGAACACATTCTTTCTGCTTCCATCCGTGTACAACAATCCTTTACTTACCTTGTGTTCCAATGAAGGTATCAACGTTGAGGTCACACACACCTTACTCCTCGCAATCAATCAATGTAGGTCAGTGTAGCCAATGTCGTACCGACCTTCGCCATTCCGAACTGCAAACGAGCCAACCGGACGTTACAGGATTATTTGCACGCACGTGACCCAAGTCGCTGGTACAGTCCTCCTTGCCACTCGGACAAGTTGTTCTACCCGATGAGACCCCAGGCACGCACGAGCGATGAACGCCCTCGACTTCTAATCCGTCACGTTCCCATTCGTTGCGGTTCACCGTGTTATGCTGATTGCAGTCCGAGGATGCCGTACAGTCCATCTTCTCGTCAATCTCGGGTATGGTGTCGTCAGAAGGACTCCATCCCTGTGCCTCTACATCTTTACTGCAAACGAAGCCACTCATCGTATGTGAACAGCTCTTCTCACTGAGCACAAGAGGGGATGTGGAAGTTACGCTGGACTTCGGTATCAGTCCAGAACCATCTCGCGTCTCTTTCAGAAGCTGGTCGTAGTCTACCCACTGCTTATAGCTACCCTTCTTCATGACCTCAATTTCGTCACTCTTCCAGCTCCTGTACGACATGCAATGAGAGCAAACACATGACAAAACGTTTGGCAAATAGCGATCAATAGCTTGACTGACATCACGTACATAAACACGTTGCCGCAACTTGTCATTTGCTGCCTTCCATTTGCCTACACGTGCTTTTCCGTCAACTTGCATCTGCACGATCTGCGCCTTGAGCATTTCCACTTCCCCGCACTCGTTCAGATTTGGTCGTCGAGATACTGCAATCTTCGTACACAGCTTGCATTGTCGTCGACGCAGCTTCTCCTCTTTTATTTTCGTGCGCTCTCGCTCCCACTCTTTTTCGATCAACGTTCGCTGTTGTTGCCCATATCGTGCACATTCGTCCCTAGTGACAGCCAGCTTCTGTACTTCTTGGTCGCAGCATTTTCTTCGATTTTGCAAGGGCAGCGTCTCTGCTTGAGACCTGACTCATTGCCCAGCTCATAAATTTTCTCTTCTATTCAGTGGGCAGCATCGTGCTGCAATCAATAACAGGCACTGCTTGGTCTCGCAGTTGCGCACGCTTGTGTTCAATAGTCAATTCGGGCCGCTCCTGCAGAAATGATGTTGGCAGTGCAAAAGAAGCTACCCGATCTGCCCTTATGCTGGTACTGCTGCTACCGATCGGGCGTGTTTCACCTTGATAGAAAGGCTATCACTATCGCTGGTATCACATTGCTGAAAGTCTGCCAAAACGGTTTGCACCAACGATGAAACAGGGGCATGCACCTCCGTATAATAAGAGATTTATAGTGTCATGCCGCAATTTGTGACTTCTTTGACAATCGAGGTCCACCAAATGCACTCGACGTTTGGCTACTTTAGATAAATACCTGTCACCACCATCAGTACCAGCGAACGAGTCCTGGCCGCTTAATGAAGCGCGCACGTTAGCAGCCACAACGTCTGGACATCGTTGACGCGGTACACTCATCTGTGGTTGCGAGAACAAACAACCACACCATGGCAGAGTACCGTCGAGACTTGCAGCTTCAACTCTAAAGGTCCATCATCTTGACAAAGGCCACTTTCCGAATACTCTCAACATCAATCGATCGACTGATTGCGGTCCAACATCCTGTCACCAACTTCCAAACCATTGACACACATCGGCGCCACTTTGACTGGTTCGTCCCTTTTTAACACCAAATCCAACACCTCCCAGCCATTCACACTCCCGACGTTTTGGCCTCCCATACCTGATCTTGCTCAGGAGGCGACAGACCCAGCGATTGAAATTGCTCCCAGCTGCTGTTTTCCTCTCCGATACAAAGGCAACTCGGCAATTGCCTGCGCTTCCCACTGTTCCTTTGCCTTTCACGACTGCCAAAGGCGTTGCCAAGCACTTCTGGCAACCTCCGATACTGCTGCTACTACTGGGTCTCTCCACACGATGATCGGGTACGATGCGTCCGATTGCTGGGTACGATGCGTCCGATTGCTGGGGTACGATGCGTCCGTTTGCTGGGTACGATGCGTCCGATTGCTGGTTACGATGCGTCCGATTGCTGGTTACGATGCGTCCGATTGCTTGGGTTGTTTTTTTTTCGTAGCGTAATCCGGTTGACAAAAACAGTTGGCAGCGCAGGATCGGTATTTACGTGTGTAAAAAGCATTTTCAGCTTAATTTCGAGTCTTCTGACACGGTGTGCGAATGGGTGGCTGCAAAAAGCCGGCAGTACAGCACTAACACTAGCCGATCCAGTCAATTGTTTCATCGATCATTTAGCAATATAGACTAGGACCTCAAGGTCGCATTTAGCCTGAGAGCGTGATGATCCCTTTACCTTCACGATGGTCATCTGCCTGAGCTTGCTAGATAGCGTGCAGTGGTGAAAATCGAGAGACTAAAAAACATTGAAACTTCTAGTATCCATTGTGTGATTGCACGAAATAAGAGACTTGGACTGTAGGCGCGGAGATGACGAAACTCTTTATATATCTGTCAATCCTCTGAGAGCGACGGTGAAGAGGACACAAAGTAACCTTTTTAACTGCAATCGCGATCCGCTAGCCATCATTGTACATTATCTATCAAGGCCAAGTTGAAAAGGCCCCCTTTGATATACATGAATGCTTTGTAGGGATAGCTTAGAAAAAGCGGCAATTTAATCAGACGAAGAAGAGATGATAGACATGTATTCAGGCCAACATCGAGAAGGATTGCTGCCATAGTTGTTGTTAGGCAACAGCATCATCGATCGCACAACGCTCAGATCGACATGTGCTTGACTAATTCTCGAACCCGCATCAGTAACTTCGATGCCTCCATGACATCGGTGTGTTGCACCTCACCAAGCTCTATATTGCCTTCGTCTAGTAGATGGACAATTTGCTGCTCCGACTTGTCGCTTCCTACGGCTTCTGGCAGATACTTCTGAGCAAGCTTGTCCTTTTCAAGATCGTCTACGACATGAAAGGCTTTATTTTGTACAACTTCAGGAGTGCCTTCCTTGAACAAGTCGTTCTTCATGCGGGCCACTTTTAGGCCGACCAGCATCTCGAACGCAAGGCTGTCTCGTCGTGTCTCGTCGGTAATGCGCAGGTGGTTTTTCATTTCTGGCAGTTTCCACCCTTCAACCACAATCTTGTAGTGATTCTTAACCCACTGATCAATTTCAGCCTGCTTTTTCTTGGCTGTTTTTTTGTCGAGTAGTTTCACGTAGGTGTGGATCTTGACCAGAAGCTCAGCGGCGTCCTCCTCCATTTGCGAAAACCCGATCTTCGGTCGAGATAGCGCACTGTAGATCTCGTCAAGTTGCCTCGTTTCGTCCATGAGAGGCCCGAACAACTTTAACGCAACCGGATTCTTGAGAAGTTGCTCCAGTAGTTCATGGCCCTTATCAGTCATTTCTTTTCGGGAGGCATCAACAAGGCCAAGGTCCTTGAGCAACCAATCCCGATACACCATCGAGTAGAAGACGTCTGGATCAGCACCGCTGTTAGCGTCCGTGGCATCTGCTGCAAAGATAAAACCACGAACTTTCTTCGCCGTCAGCGAGTCATCCAAGTGCTTTGGAAATGACTCACGAAGCGAGCGGTACTTTTTCAGCGATTCCTCTATCGTATCCAGCCTCACCATGGTGTTCTCCGGTACATCATCGAGCTCCTTCACGAGTGCGAAATCCCCATCCAGCTCCTTCACGACACTTGGTCCCCAAACCAACTTTTCCAGTCGTTCAACAGCTTTATTAGCGTCTTCTGAGTCTGCTTTCTTCAGTGCATGCACACCAAATGGGACATGCAACTGTTTCACAACCGAAGTCTTTGCCGAGTCGAGCGCCACCACAACCCTCTCGGCCTGTGCCCTAACAGCTGAGCTGACGGCCGGCACAACCTTCCAAACTTGTGCAACATGCTCAGCCCCTGCCGACAGAACTGAGCTGATACCTGGGCCAACCTTCTTGGCCTGTTCCTTTACATTTGCAAACACGTTTGAGATACCAAACATTCTCTCCTCCTCCGTTGACGCAAAGTCACCACTAGTAACGATGGCGTTTCCGTCTTCTTCTAGCTTCTGCTCGCGCAACGATCTTTCGCTCAAGCAAGGTTCTGACTCGGTCGTCTCGACTGATTGCGCAGCGTTCGGGATGGCGACAATTGATAGCTCAAGTTGCTGTGACTCGGAGGTCGCTTGGACTGTAGTGCTGACGGAGGCCATGACAGAGATGATGTAGCTCAGATGCATGATGAGCAGCAGGACCGCGTTGAAGAGAGAGAAAGTGTGAAGGTGAAGATGCAAGTGCTGCAAGAGTGAGCTGTCGAGAGCAAAGTGCAGAATGAGCTCTGCACCACCACTTTGGCAGCTGGCGCCTCTGAGCTGAACGTTCTAGGCTTACTCTTGTAGCATAAAGGCGACTTCGGTGCAGTGCAGGTTATCCAACTAATCAGGCAAGCCAGTGGATATGATTACTCAGGTGACTTTCTGTGCATGCTACACCCGCTCGCCTTCACACCGAAAGTGGCATTCAGAAAGCTACTGCGTGATCTGTCAGACTCGATCTACACGAACGAATGCGTCCATTCGTTGAGGCCATTTACTGATAACACACTGACTAACCGACCCGTTACAGTGGCGCCACGTCTCTTCGTAAACTGTCAGGCATCATTGACTGGCTGGGCGTCGTTTCAACCTGGTCCGCGTTTTCATGTTGTTTAACATACCGAAGGGTGGCACTCCCGAAGAAAGTCCTCCGGACATTTGTGCACTTGTGCGCGTAGACGAGTATGCCGTCCATATATGGATATAAAAACGCCACGATGATCTAGTTCGGATTCGAGCATGGATGCACAGCTTGCGCGATGTGGAGCAAAAGATCAAAGAAATCTCGGCAGCAGACCACACGTTTGACAATTGCCTCAACGAGGAATGTGCTAGCTGTTCTAGGATACACTTGTCGAGGAGACGGATGAATGGATTCTATCATTGTCTTAGTTTATTCGTTTCTTGCTACCGTGATTGACTAGTTGTTCTTTTCTCCATCACTCCTATCCACTCAATCAATCATCCACTATGCTGTCCACTCAATCACTAATCTTCCTACATCTCTCTAAGTCATCAGCCGTTTCTTCAGCCGCTACTTCAGCCGCTACTTCAACCGTTACTTCAAACTACTTGCATGCTGTATGCTTCTCTCCAACTTCGACACTGCGCTAATCGACTCTCTATGCCATCAAAAAACATGTGCTGGCCGTGTTGACGCCGGCTCTCACTGGCTCTATCATTTCTAACACTAGCACATCTCTGTATGTTGCTGCCTGCCACCTGCCACCGATAACGGTAATCCTTGTAGCTCTAGCAGTCGATAATCGTGATGCAGGTTTAGCCGTCGTGACCGCTACGGGTAAAGAATATCTGCCTCACTCTGAATCGTCGGGATCGGCTTGCTTATCGCCTGGACCATCCCCGAACCGTGTCGCATGCTACCGAATAGTGTTCTAGTCTTTGCGCATTCCATGCCATTGCGTCGCGAACGCCTGCTGTCCGGACTATCTTTTTCAAGGTTCTGTACCGTGAAAACATGAGGGGGATAGTGGTGCGAGAACCTTGTGGTGTAGCGCCAAATGCTCCCCGTTTTCGGCAAGACAAAAGAAGGTGAATGTCAGCAAATTGCTAGCTGTGTGTGCGTGTGATCGAATTCTAGACATCAATAGTGAGGATTTGCCATGGAGCGTAGTACCGAGTCGATGCAGAGGTAGTTGAAGTCAGGAATGAAGCAATGCATTTCCGTGTCACTTTTAGCTGACTCTGTCTCCGTACATTGCTGCTGCTAGTGAACTAGCACGTTAATGCACACGCCGCCTGTCACAACGAAGAAAATTCGGGTGCAAGCTTGAACTCGATCGACACGATGCACGAGATGTCAAGATATTGCGTGACATTTTCCACTGAGACACCTGAATTCAAGGGTTGACACATCTTCATTCAAGCCGATGCAGACCGATGAGTTCGTATCATGTGTAGGTAAGGTGAAGCTGAACAAGATCGTACATGTGCACACAAAAGCATGAGCTTTCTTGTTGCCCACATAGAACAATTCTACTCCAGATGAAGCTCTCCTTCGATTGCAGCAAACCATGGAGAAAAGATTTATGCCTTTGTTCGCGATCCAAAGTCAGTTCTCTCGTTCTGCTTGGCCACATTGTCGCCACCTCGTCCACATACTAATGCTTCACGCGTTTGACACTCCGGTTTTCCTGTGCCTCGGGCTCTAGTGCCGTATCCCCACTCTCAACACTTTCGCCATGTAGGCAGTCAAAGTCAGAAGTATCTTCTGCTACATCCTGCTGCTCCAGATGAGCTTTTGCTACGAGCTTGGAGATGGTAGTAGCAGTCTGTCTTCGCAACACACTCTTGTGCCTTCGACCCTTGCAGTGCAGCTTGAAATCCTGTGCGCTCAGCAACTGGATCTTGCATGTTTTGCAGAAAAGCCCCAGTTTTCCAGAACAACTTTCGTAACTACTTGGTAACTCGCCGTCCTGCACAAGTGCCTTTGCGTACCGCTCAGGTGCACCAGGCAGACTTCTGGACATCTCAGATACTTGCCCCTCATGTATTGCGTTCCTATCAAGCGTTGCAGCCATGGCCTGAAATCGGTCCTGATGCTCTTTGTAGGTGTTTTGCAAGTTCCACAGCGAATACATCTGCATACCGTTCTTCGTTGCAGCTAGCTCAGGAACAGTAACGACACGAGCTCCTGTCGACCGTCCGTACTGATTGCCACTTGCCAACGAATCCTCGGAGAAACTCGGAATCATACGCATGACATTGTACTTGGTATTTTGATACACATTGTCTACCTCCGCAGCAGCTTGTAAATAGTCACGCACTACCTGGTCTACAGGCAAACGACCTTCCTTTCGGAAGATAGATGGATTAGCAAGAGCACCGCGCGCAATGAGGACGGAAGATGCACCCGAAATCTTCCGCAACTCGTCGATGTCCTCATGCATGAAGACGTCTCCGTTCGCGAGCACAGGAACTGACAGTGCCGATACAATGGGTGCTAGCTTTTCCCAACTTGCCTTGTCACGAGGACGCTCATGAATCTGCCGCAGGTGCACGCCGACTGCACATGCTCCAGCATCTTCCAGTCGTTTCGCAGTATCGATCTATCGAGAAAAAAAGTTATATGAGGAAATCCCTCTGCAAGAAAAAATGAACAGAAAGAAGCGACAGGCGTACTGTGTCGCGCGAGTCTGGCAGTAGCCGGATTTTGCAAGAGACTGGAATGTTCAGGTTTCGACGGAGAGTTTTCATAATCTGTTGACGTAAGCTTACCAAGTTAGAACCCAGAACAACTTCACGCAACGACGCAGCGCCGCAAAATAAACACAACTCGTACATCGCAAGCAACTTCTGGTTTCTGCAACAACGCTGCACCCATCCCACCTTGGATGGAGAAGTGTTTAGGGCAGCCCATATTAATATCCACAGCTACTACGTCCCGTGCGCTACAGGAAAAGAACAAAAGAACAGGGACAAGAAGAAGAAAAACACTCTGCCAAACAGTAAACAAGAGACAGCAGTCCAGCAACCACGAGTTCTCTCACAAGAACAAAGACAGTTGCAGTTGCGCAACGCACACTGTTTCCGCTGCCTTGAGCGCCAGCACGGCATCCGCTGTTCCGATCTGAAAAACCACCTTTTCAGCCTCCTCGGAGCACGTGCGAAAGACGACCGAGTCGCCGTTGCGGCTGACAAAGTCGACGGAATTAACCACCGCTACAAGAGAAGAAAAAATAGCAAAAAATGGTTAGAAAACCGCAGCACAGACACCAATATAAGAGGTCTTTGCAAGGCGATAGCAACAGCAGTTAGTCGCACCATTAGGTACACGGACCGAAGAAATAATGCGCTTGTCAATGATCTCTTCGCCGTAGACGAGGTCGGCGCCGTACCGCAACGACAAGAGACGCAGCGGTAGAGTTCCCTGTATAAGAAAAACACGAGGCAACTAAGCTACACCCGTAGAACCGTTGTTGTTGTTGTATTGGCCTAGCAAAAGCGCCTAAATGACCACAGAGAGAGAGAGAGAGAGACGTACACAACGGACCATGGGCGATAGACACACTTTGTTCGTGTAGAGCTCCGACATGGGAAACCGTGCGAGTGGATGTAGCCACGAGAATGGGATGAGATATCTCGCGGGTTTACTCTTTTTTTATGGTTTGGACGGATTCAGGAGCTCTCGGACAGGTTTACGCTATCTCAATCGAGACGTTCGGGTGGTCAGTGTTTGATAATTCATTTAGGAATGCTCAAAAGTAGCTCGTGCTAAAGTTCGTTCCTCGGACAGACGGTCTCAATTAAGGGTGCGTCGGCTCATCGAATCATCCGATTGAAAAGCCAAAGCAGATTATGAAAATCTCATCGCTCTCCACGCACGCCTTTCAATCAGCTTTACTCGATAGAAACGAGTCAGCGACCGCATAGAAACGAAAGAAGAAGACGAAGAGCATATCGCAAACATGGCCGTCGCTCCCGTGTCGACGTCGCCCTGGAACATGGCGACGATGCTGAAGACCAGCGGGATCTCCCGCGACGTGCAGCAGCATCTCATCCGCGTGTACGCGACCTTGGCTGCCTGCGTGTTCTCGGCCATGCTCAGTGCCGCTTGTATGGTGGCCTTTGGTCCCGAGCGCTGGTCGCTCTTGAGCTCGGCCCTCGTGTCCACAGTGGGCTCAATTTGGCTCTGCCTGGAGCCGGAGCAGAACTACAAGCGTCGGTTCGGACTCCTCATGGCCATCTCTGCTGCAATGGGCCTCACGGTGTCCACGCTCATCGCGGTCGCGATCCAAGTTGATGCTGGACTCCTCGTCTTGGCCATGTGAGTGTGATTTTAGGTCAGTCATGTGGGGGAGTGGGAGAGAAGTAGTGATGTAGACTTTGTTCGGTGTGTGTGTGTGTGTTAGGCTGGTGACGACGCTGGTGTTCACGTGCTTTACTGCAAGTGCCCTGCTTGGTGGGGTTTGTTGCAGTGTTTGCTGTTCTTTTAGAGATGTTGTGGACGAAGCTATTGTGGACTGATGTGTGTGTGTGTGTGTGTGTTATTTTTTGTCCTTTTTGTAGCCACGCGCTGCTCGTACTTGTACCTGGGTGGGATCCTGAGCTCGGCGCTGTCGCTGATGTTTCTAACGAGCGTGCTGAATCTCGTGTCGCACTCGTCGTATCTGGTTAACATGAACTTGGTACGGCTGGCAGTTGTGGTGTTTGGAGAGAGGGGGAGATCGACAAGGCAGGCTAAGTTTATGTGGTTGTGCTCATAATTGACTGTGTTTGATTGCTGCAGTATGGCGGACTCTTTCTGTTTTGCGGTTACGTTGTGTTTGACACGCAATTTATCATTGAGAAGGCAAGCGCGGGAGACAAGGATGTGCTGAAACACACGCTTGATCTATTTATGGGTACAGTTCCTTTCGCTGCGGTTATTTGGTTCTTTGCAAATGTACCGGTTTCTGAGAAGGAGCTGACGTGATGTGTGCTGCTCGCAGATTTGGTGTCTATCTTTGTGCGTATTCTCATTGCGCTCTTGAACAATAAAAAGGGCGAGAAGCCGCCGCACCACGGCCGTCGTAACTAGCGAGTTCGACATTTCGGTTCCGTAACGTAAAAATGCACGCTATCCCTTTTTGCATTTATGCCCGGTTCGAGCGCGTCATTTCTAACCCGTTATGATGATCAGCGCCACGTCATCGCCCCTCACATCGTTCGAAGATTCTCTCGACTTTTGACCACTCCTTGTGCGATCGCTGCGAGGGCTGCTTACCTTACCTCCTGATTGGTCGAAATCGCATTCTCTAAACACGATATCTTCGCGACGTGGCGGAGGGGGGGGGGGGTATCAAACGATAGAGAAAGATAGAGAAAACGCTCACTTCCGCGAAAGCCCCGTACGAAGCACACGTCCAAATGTACGTCCGTCCATCCTGTGCCAACGACACATCTCTGCCCCGCAACGCTCATAGCATAAGAACCACTTTATTTGTAGCCATCGCACTATCGTAGTAGCTACACGAGAGAGATGGTCAACTGCACGAGCACTTGTACACTGCCCATTTTCTCTAAACCCGTCGATAGACCCACGTCCACTTCACACTGACATGCACCTTTCTCTATCGTTTATGTAGCCACACGCGTGTGTGTGTCCTGAAGGATACTTACTCGAGAACAGCAGCAGCAGCAGCAGCAACAAAGTGCCACGTACGACGTTCGAACCTCTTTAACAACGTCATGAGTGACAAGAAAGAGGAGTTCAAAGCCGGGATCATGGACCGGAAACGGTCGCCCAATCGCCTCGTTGTGGACGAAGCCCTGAACGACGACAACTCGGTCGTGGCCCTCAGCATGGCCAAGATGGAGGAGCTGCAGCTCTTCCGAGGGGACACGGTGCTGCTCAAGGGCAAGAAGGGTCACGAGACCGTCTGTGTCGTGCTCCAGGACGAGACCGTGGACGACCACAATGTCCGCATGAACAAAGTCGTGCGCAAGAATCTGCGCGTGCGGCTGGGCGACGTCGTGGGCCTCCACACGTGTGGAGACGTGCCCTACGGCAAACGCATCCACGTGCTGCCCATCGACGATACAATCGAAGGCGTGACTGGCAACCTCTTTGACGTGTACCTCAAGCCCTACTTTGTGGAAGCCTATCGTCCGGTGAAAAAGGGTGATCTGTTCCTCGTCCGGCAGGCCATGCATCCGGTGGAATTTAAGGTGGTGGAGACGGAACCAGGTCCTTACTGTATCGTCGCTCCGGATACGATCATCCACTGTGAAGGCGAACCCGTCCGTCGCGAAGACGAGGAAAAAATGGATGAGGTTGGCTACGACGATATTGGCGGATGTCGTCGCCAGATGGCTCAGATCCGCGAAATGATTGAGCTGCCACTGCGTCATCCGCAGTTGTTTAAGACACTGGGGGTGAAACCTCCTCGAGGGGGTTTTGTTGTATGGTCCCCCGGGATCGGGCAAGACGCTGATTGCGCGGGCTGTGGCAAACGAGACGGGCGCTTTTTTCTTTTTGATCAACGGTCCCGAAATCATGTCAAAAATGGCGGGAGAGTCAGAAAGCAATTTGCGTAAGGCTTTTGAGGAGGCGGAGAAGAATGCACCGGCTATCATTTTTATTGATGAAATTGACTCGATTGCGCCGAAGCGTGAGAAAACCAATGGTGAGGTGGAGCGACGTATTGTATCGCAGTTACTCACGCTGATGGACGGTCTGAAGCAGCGTGCCAGCGTGGTGGTAATTGGTGCTACGAATCGACCTAACAGCATGGATCCTGCTCTTCGTCGTTTTGGTCGTTTTGACCGTGAAATCGATATTGGCGTTCCAGACGAGAATGGACGTCTTGAAATCTTTCGTATTCATACGCGCAATATGAAGTTAGACGATGATGTGGACCCGGAGATGATTGCCCGTGACACGCAGGGTTTTGTGGGCGCTGATATGGCAGCTTTGTGTACCGAGGCTGCGCTACAGTGTATTCGTGAGAAGATGGATGTGATTGACATCGAGGATGAGACGATTGACGCCGAGATTTTGGATGCGATGTCGGTCACTCAGGCGCACTTTAAGTACGCTCTCGGCGTATCGAACCCGTCTTCGCTACGTGAAACGACGGTGGAAGTGCCTTCGGTTACGTGGAAGGATATTGGTGGTTTGGAAAGTGTCAAGCGCGAGTTGCTGGAGCTGGTGCAATACCCCGTGGAGCACCCGGAAAAGTTTGAAAAGTATGGTCTTAGCCCGTCAAAGGGTGTACTCTTCTATGGCCCACCCGGTTGTGGTAAGACACTTCTGGCTAAAGCTGTGGCCAATGAATGCCAGGCGAATTTCATCTCGATCAAGGGTCCTGAACTTTTGACCATGTGGTTTGGCGAGTCTGAGGCTAATGTCCGTGAGGTGTTCGACAAGGCACGCGGTGCCGCTCCATGTGTCCTGTTTTTTGATGAGCTGGACTCCATTGCCCAACAGCGTGGCAGCAGCGCTGGCGATGCTGGCGGTGCCGGTGATCGTGTCATGAACCAGCTTTTGACGGAGATGGATGGAATGGGCGCGAAGAAGAACGTGTTTATCATCGGTGCCACGAACCGCCCTGATATCATCGACCCAGCCTTGATGCGTCCGGGCCGTTTGGATCAGCTTATTTTCATCCCGATGCCTGACTTTGAGTCGCGTCTGAGCATTCTGCGTTCTGTGCTTCGTAAGAGCCCTGTGTCCAAGGATGTGGATCTTAACTTTCTAGCCCAGCAGACAGATAAGTTTTCAGGTGCCGATCTTACGGAAATTTGCCAGCGTGCTGCCAAGTTGGCAATTCGCGAGAGCATTGCCCGCGACATGGAGCGCGATCGTCTCCGTGCTGAGGCTGGTGACGAAATGGACGATATTGAGGAGGAGGATCCGGTGCCAGAGATTACGCCGCGCCACTTTGAGGAGGCCGTGCGTAATGCGCGCCGCTCAGTCAGTGACCGTGACTTGGCACAGTACTCTACCTTTGCACAAACGCTTCAGCAGGCACGTTCGCATGTGACAGCAGGCGGATCTTCGTTGGCCAACTTTTCGTTTCCAGGCCGCAACGTCAGTGCTAACACTGGCAGTGGTGCTGCTGTGGCGGCTGACGAAGAAGATGAGGAGGATCTTTACAGCTAAGCCATACATCTAAAGCAGCACGAGTATGAAGGAGTCGTCCGGTGCAGTTGAGTGAGAAGGTCGGGACAAGAGCGAGTGCTGTTTTGCGGATACTGATTCTTTTTCAATACACCGTGCCGTGCCCGTTAAAGCGACGCAGTTTGCACGTCTTTGTAGGTGACTTCAACTCGAAAATGCTCTCAATGCGCGACTCGCATAGTCAGTCTGAGCATCAGATATATGGTGATTTAAACCAACGTCGTGGTTGCGTTCAATGATGAAAGATGGCGCTGCCATCTTTGCTAGTTTACCAATAATGGTCGGGCATCTTCCACGAGCCGATGACATATTTTGCAGCTAACAACGTGAAGAGCTCGTGCGTTCTAACCTTCTCAAGAATGGTGAGCGCTTGCATAGCTGATGAGCCATCCATTCACAACCTCCATTTTGCTGGGAAACGTACCTCAGCCATAGTCAGTTCTCATAATAGGGGCTAAGAAACGAAGAACTGGCTCAGCTGAGATGCTATAGGTTGTGTTGAAATGGTACCGTACGGATAATTTCAGCAGAAGTGGTGAGAGCTCTCAAGGACTCTTTTATAGTCGCTGTCAATCACCATCCGACTGTACGTCAGGACGTGCAAGATTTACCTTACGTAGGAGTGTATCCCTTCCATCGACGGCACTTGCGAAACTGTAGAGGGCTTTGGAGTTGTCAGGTGACTATACTTGAGGCAAATTGCACAGAAGCCAAGTACCTGAGGTACATGTAGTGCGAAACTTAACTTCGGTACACCTAGCTAATTGATCCCCACTATTGTACAAATGGATGAGGGTTTCTCTCAGCTACATAGTCCAATAATGAAAGGACCCGTGTACGCAGCAACCGACTTTGTGATTTTGTCGTGCAGATATGACATCGATTCGGTAGCTCATTTCCTTTCTGTTCGTGTGTAAATCATATTTTATATCATGAATAAGGCAGAATGGCCGATCGAAGCTACCGTCTGCTAGAAGACATCCGTGCCGCTTCACGAATTACAATGATCAGTGCTTATTCACTCGTCTCAAAGTAAAAAGCTCTCCATTTTTACCATTGTCATCGACTCTTCCTGTAATGATTGCAAGCACAATGTAGTGCTGTATCACCTGGAACGGAAGTTGTGCAACGTGATGGATCCTGCGACAAGAACACGCAATAATCGGTAATCGATATTTTTCATGATGCTCCACAACGTACCACACGTAGTGACCACCTAGAGCGTTGCTCAGAGTCGACAGTCTCTACGTCGCAACAGCAGCCTTTAGTGCCTATCTTTTCGACACAGCACGACGTACGGTGGTCCATGCGTGAGCGAGTGTCCGCGAGCGGTACATTAGCAGGGGGCTAAACGACTGTTCTTATCGCTCATTATTGCTATCGCAAATGTCTGAACCGGTAAACAGAACTGTTGATATCAATGCGTGAGAACTGTTGGTCATCTTTATAAGGAATACATGACGCGACTTCAACCTGTGAGCATGCCATGTAGGATTTGCTGCTTGGCTGTGTGTCGATGCACACTCGATGAGACGTGGCAGCAATTCCGCGACAGAAGTCCATTACAAGGTGTCTGGGAGATGCTGACCGAATGTATATGCGCCAAGGACTGCACATACCAAATCGGGTTTGAAGCGGTGATGGGACTGCCAGTACTTCCTAAGCAGGTATTTATGACTCTGTCTTCTACCCAATTTTTTCATTGACGCTGGAAGCGGCAGCATCTTCATCGAGTGATACTGAAGATTGTATATACGATAGGTGGCTCTCCTATCGATAGCTCATCCAATTGTGAGAAGGAGGCACATTTTGCTGAAGCAACTGTTTCGCAACTATATAATCAGTTGATAACTCTTCTGTCCACTTGTGATACGTAGGCAGCAGATCACGCAGCCAATTGCGATAGCTAGGCATCGATTGTTTAGGGACTTGTGCTTTTAAAATAGGAGCAAACTGCAGCACCCCCTACATGTAAACGAAAAAAATTGCGTTTTCATGTAGGACGCTACCGATCAATGCGTGTTTTCAAAAACACAATAATACCAGAATGATCTGTGCACAGGACACCCTTACACTAAAATATCAGCGATCTTAGCATCAACATAAAGTTTACCATAACTAGATCTATCCAAACGACGGATCAGTGGTGGTTTCGGATAACGCATTCAGAAAGACTCACAAATCGTGTCTTGCTCGGGATATCCAACTCACTGATGTTGCTGATATTACTGCGTGTCGATGGCATGATGTACCATCTCGGCCAGTTTCCCCTTGCTATTTTGTCATGCACAACAGTTTATCGAAGTCCGTTTTGATCATGTCGATGCAATAAAATCGCTAGCTGGTTTATTGAGCAATGTAAAAATATTGAAAAACGTTGTCACAGTCAGCGTCAGCACGATGCTGCTGCTACTCTGGTAGATTGCCGTTCTAAAAAATGAACACTCTGTCACATTTAACTAAGCGAAGAGATTGAGAGTGACACCAAGTGAGGAGGTCACATGTAGTTGGCGTCTCGTCGATGTAAAGCGAAGAATTGCGTCACAGTCTTCACAATTAGTGACTTTGTCATCTTTTCTTGCGAGGATTCCTGATCGCAAGAGTGCTTTGTCACTTACACTTAGCCGATAATGCGTGATGAAGATGCTCGAATCATCGGAAGTTTTTTGTTTACGATCCAGTGCAATGACATCACTTGTAACGGAGTCACACGTAGTTGGGTACCTAGTACCCTGTGTCTTAGACACACGGATGATATCCCACTGAAAGAGATACAGAATATCTTATAGATTTGTGGGGGCTAACTGGTGCTAGCCACTATACACACCTAGTGTTCTACGTATGCTTACTTAAGCCGCACCGGGATCCTTCCCATGTGAACTTTGAGGCGATGGCGCCGAAGACGAGGGCGGTGCCCCGGATTGCTGAAATCAAATCAGCAAGTCCAACTGAGCCTCGCTCCGAGTTTGAGCATGCTTCATCGCCTGAAGGATGCTCTGCATCGCATCTAGCATGCATTGGGTCTTCCTCAGGGTCTTTTGAATGCCCTTCACTTCGAGAGCCAATTTCCCGTGGCTACCGCCAGTACACCGGCCGCCACCGACACTGCTAGATGAGCACGGTGTCGTCAGTTTTATGTCGAGAGACTACTGAAACGACGACGTCGTCATGTCTACTACCAGTATCTGGCAAAGTGGAGGGGGTACCATGAGTCTGAGAAATTAAGGGAATACGAGGTACCCCTACGGCAAGACTGCCCTCATGCTTTGGATGTCTTTGAACATCGTGGCCAAGATCATCTTGAGACCGAGGGCCGTTCCCCACCACTAGTGGTGTGGGTTGGTGGGTTGGTGGTCCTTTTTTGACCAACCGCGGCTACCGTAGTAGCCGAAGCATATCGCGTGGAATTAAGCAAACGGCCTCTGGCCTTACGCTTGGCGTAGTCATACCGAAGCTTGCGCTCTATACGTTCATCAGCCGCATTGGCACTAGCTTTCAGAGCAGATATACTGCTGGGGCGACGTATGCGGTGCACCCAGCGGACGAAAGCATTGTCTTCTTCGCTCTCTGTTTCTCCTGCAGACAAGAGAATGGGTATACCCTCTATCGGTGAGAAGGTGCACTTCGTGCTTGCATTTTAAGGCGTGCCTTGTATTGACCTTGGGTCGTTAAGTAAGGCTCCAGGCACCTCTAGCGAGGTGCCTGTCCGCTCGCCACCTCCTCAGGAGACTTAGGCTCATGGCCAATGACCCACGTTGCCAACGATTGGCCGGCCGCTTGACGTTGACGTTCCTCCACACTGGGTGGAATGAACACATAGTTACGTTGGTGCTCAGGGGCTGCGACCATTTGTGCATGGCGCCGAGTGCTTTCTCCTTGTTAAAGGATTAGCTGTTGTTGCTCATCGAACGGGTTCTTGATGATAGTATCATCCGAACCGGGGGTTGAGCACGGCGCCATTGGCGAATTGTCATTTTCACGTTCAGGGGATGAACAGGGGCCAGTAAGAAGTTGTACTTCAGACATTTGTGTATCGGACATTGTTCCTGCATCACCCGGGACACTGGTATTGCTACCATAGTCCAATACCACCCCCATTTCGAGGTAATCACTGAGAGTCGTCGAGTTCGATGAGAACGTTCGATTAGGACGAGGTTCGATTGACGTTTAGGGAAACGTCAGTCTGGTGGGGGAGGGTGTAACGGAGTCACACGTAGTTGAGTACCTGGTACTCTATTTTTAAATCACACGGATGATATCCCACTGAACAAGATATGGAGTATCTTATCGGTTTATAGAGGCTGACTGATCTCAGCCACGAGATAGGAGAGATCTTAGTTGTACTTACTTAGGTTAAGATATTCTATAGGTGTAAACGTAGATAAAATTCAGTTCCCCTTTTGGTCTTAAAGACACGTGCCTTGCGAGGTGTCTTTGGTCGTTGATCGCTGATCACTAAGAGTTAGCAACACCTTCCTGAGGTAGCTAGTTACTCTTGAGCACTACGTGCTGTCGATTCATTGAATCGTTTGGTCCCCTGGAACAAGGACCATAAGCTTTACGCTTGTTGACTCATTGAATCTAATTCTTTAGAGCTAAGTTGCTCTCTGAACGTTAAGTCTCCCTCTGACTTAAGGAGCTGTGTAGCTCCGCTACGTCACTCGTTATCTTCTCCCCCAACTAAACAAACACTGCATACCACCGGCTAGATAGTCCAGGACTTTGTAGCGGATGTATGGCCTTCAATCTGAATAGGGAATGTACACAATTGCATGTGCAAACCAAACGTAGACCCATCACCTTCTCTCGTATTACCCACATCAAGTGTGTCAAATTAGTCGCGCCGAAATTGTGACTTGCAGTGGGAATCCTTCATCTGGGATTGCAGTAAAAACCATCAAAACTAATTCTTAGGACCATCTTTTTGCGCCATTCAAGCAAGGATATCAGTTAAGGCAGATTAGCGTGCGGCAAATTTCACTAATTATTCCTACGTGATTTTAGGGTTTCCTATGTATCGTAATGTACGCTTTTGAAGACTAAGCTTGTCCGTACCTTGATTATTGTAAAATGAAGTACACATTTGATCGCGACTTGATGTTATATTCGTTAGAGCACTACAAAGTTGGGCAGGTCCAATAACATAAGGCAAAATGATCGCTTTGCTGTCGACTGACGATTTTGAATGCCTTTTGGTTCGGAAGTAAATTTTACGAAGAGCGTCATCATCATATGCAGCCTCACACACACTAATATTGCAGGGAGTGCCGCACGCAAGAACTTAAGAAGATGAGTGTATGCTACCTAAATTGGCTAGCCAGTTACACGAGTTGCTCGCTAATCGTTGCTAGTTTCTCGGTAACAATCAACAGCGCATCCGTCGTGATTTCGAATACACTTGATATCGACTGACGAAAACTGCAACCAATGTGACAGCAGTACGATGCCTGATTAATCATTTGTCGTCATTTATCGTCTTTTACACTGATGAATAATTATGCTGCCCACGATTTAGAATACTATCCTTAACTGCCATTGTTTAGTGCCTGTTCGATCACATGTTACTCCTTGTAAACTTATGTACAGACTCCACGCTGTACTTAGGTGGAATTTCGTTACTATGAGTAGCCTTCCAATTTATCAAAGTTTCATTCTCCCTGGCGACTTACAACAAGAACGCTTGCCAAGACAGCGAGTAAACGCGTAGGATGTTTTCAGCGCTCAAATTCAGCTCATCCTAAATCTACATGTAATGGAGTCAAGGCTAAGGTTTTACTCTTTGATTGATTGAAAGAAGGGTTTAGGGATAATGCTTAAAGATCTTGTGCTGATAGAAGAGCTTTTGACCATTTGGTTTTTGTTTCAACACGCTGCCAAAAAAATTTACGCTTACCAAAGATGTGGGAACGAAAACGAAATCAACCCATGGAAGGATGTCGAAGGATCGCAAAGTATCAACGACGCTGCGAAGAAGAACAAGCGGGTTTTTTCTGCAGCTTGACTTAAAGTATGGGAGGGTGTCTCGTATATCACTTGGAGATACCGCTGTAGTTTACGTCATTTCCGAATAGTGTGCTTAAAAAAGGGTGACGGGACCACTTGTCGCTTGGTGGTGACTGACTCGCAACTCTTTTATTTGGCAGCAATCGTCGAGGAATTCGCCAGCAAATTTCAGAAGAATTTGGTTGGCTACTCACCGGTTATGCAGTCTAATCCAATCTTGATCAACCCGAACATAGGCGCCAGTCAAACGGCAATAGTTATCATGACAGATCAGTATATTTACTCGATATTGGACAAGTACTACCGTCAGGTCGTAGGTCGTAGTCAGGAGGTCCAGTTGCATACAAAACTTTAGAAAAAGTGTCATTCAATGTTACGGGGTACAGGAGGAACATACTGGATAACCAGTGTAAAGTTGCTATTACCGACAGCAGTGTGAGTGATTCCTCGCTACCTTTGTAAAATAAGCAGAGGAAGGGAAAGTAACTAGGAATTGAATAGTAGCTGATAAAAGTAAACTATATGAAATATCTTCAAGTCCTGATCAATTATCTCATGTTTTTGTCCTATCTTGATTACATCAATCTGCAAAAGTGTAAGCTGAAGTCTTGATCACATCTCATTTCGCGTGTCCATCGCTGATTGGACCGCTACTGGCTGATATGATGGCCCATATCAGCCAATCGGTGCGTGTTTCCAAATATTGCCTCTTGTGGCAATTCACGAGCATTATCAACCATTATGATTTAAGAAGTAATTGCATGTAGCAGGCTCACCGCGTCACTTTACCCCCTTTAACGATAATCAATCAATAACTATTATGTTGATGAGGTCACCGTTAGAATACATCAGGGACAGGGAGCATTTGTATTGGTCTGATCCACTCATTTCTGGATTTTCATCGCATGGTAAGCAACTTCATGCGATGCGCGGCGAAAGCTGCTTGGAAGGCAGCTGTGCGTGTTAAAGCGGCTGCTCTTGACGATGCCTCGTCTGCTGCCGCTGCAACTCTTCCTGCAGCATCAGTTGCTGCAGAGGCACGTGTTAAATCACCATGTGTTACTGATAATGGTTACCAAGTGCAGCTCATCTGTTTTAGGGGCGTCGGACGGTGGGTCCGGCTCGAAGAAGACACCTAGTTTGCCCGAGTATATAGAGCGTCCCAATACGAGCCTACAAATATAAATCGAGCGGGTATTCATTCTAATCGTCACTAAAAGAGTCTTTTTAGTTCGGAAGATGAGCATGCTGACTCATCCGCCGCGCCTTCTACTATGTGGGCACCTTCTAGCGATTGCGGTAATGATTTTCACCGTCGTGATGACTATTCTAAGTAGTACCAATACTTCCTTTGGTACCACGAATGAGGCTCTTTATGGTAATGTGCTGCGTCAAGCTTCTGAATGAAAGCATTGGTGTTATTACTAATGCTTGGGAATGACCGGTCTGGCGAGATAAGTCTTCATCATCGAATTCCATTATTCAATGCGAGGTTGTTCCACGGCCTCAACGTCAGCGCTAATAACTTAAGCGCTGAAGAAGTATCTGTTTGATAAGCTTTTCTGAAGTATCGTTGGTATAGTGACAACTCCGAGCGAGACAAAAGCTCGTTGCTACAGGTGTGGAACGCTTTTATACCTAATGTGCAACGCATCTGGCGCGAAGCTTGGCTTCAGAAGCTTGACCTAGCTCGTGTTAGTTGTGAGGAACGAACCTTGACATGAGCAAAAGTAAGGTGCACTATCTGTTTTGTAAAAAGATTTCCATGCCTCACGTGGGGCGACACATGTTCGTGTTGTTTCGACAACACTTAACGCATCCAAAGGGAGGTTTACTCCCTTTCTTCACCCTGAGTAGGACGCACGTCCCTTTTAAAATGCATAATGCAATTGCTAACCTGCAATAGCTCTATCATCTCCATGGGCGCGTGTATTCAGATGACCCTTCAAAGTCATCGGATGTGTCTCATTGCAATGATGGACGAGAACTTCAACTTTAACAATCATATAGGCACAAATCTCCCAGCTGTCGTGCGACAGCGCGCCAGAGAACAAGCTAACTCGCTCGCTGCCGCTTCAAAATGCGTTGTGTCAAGATACGCTCCACGTGAAAGCGTTGTCCACCGTACGATTCTACCAATGGCTATGGCAAGGACGGGAATGTCAACTCTGAAAAGTTTGTTGGATCTGCATGTGGAACTTGGTCGTCTCTAGAAACGCTTACACGATATGTCGTTTTTGTACCAAATAAGAGAGACAGGTACGTCTATCTTTTAAAGCTAAAGTGGAACGCCTTTGCCTATATCGATCAGACGACCGATATCAGTTCGAATTCTATCAGCTGGAGAGCGAACGGAGGCGTCAAGCCTTTTGCGATGAAGGGGATGCTATTCTTCGCAAACATACCGCACTACAGAACCAAATTGAGAAGCTGGCTCGGGACCAAAAGAATCTTTTGGAGGTTCTTAAGCGTAGTGGTTGGATTGTCCCGAAGAGAGACCCCGTGATGATGGTACGGGTGGATATGACCTACATTTAGCGTAGGATGCGTACGCATCGTGCAAGGCGACGCAGTCGTGTACGCATTGCATTTGGGGTGTAGTGCACGAAACAGTTGGATGTACTTAGGCAGTAGTTTACTACTACTCTCATTGGTTAATGCGTGCTTAGGCAGATTTGCCGCAGACAGCAGAGCTGAGTCTCCGACATTTAGTAAAAGATCGTTTGCCCTTTCATGTTTGTCAGCGTTCCGTTTCTGCCGATCGACCGCGCTAGAAATTAGTGTTGCACAAAACGGACTACTGCATTTTGAGCCATTAGAATTTTTTTGCTGACTCCCTTTCGTTT